ACTGGAAGGAAAATCTAGGTCATGTACTAGGGCTGGGACGAGTCCAAATTTACTGCCCGAGTACCCACACCCCTATTACTCGACCCTACCCGGGCACCCGCTAATGGTGTCAAGAGATAGGTACAACATGTCCACTTTAGGAATAGTTTGACAGTAGCAAAATGTATAGATACACGTATAAAATGATGAAGTTTTAGCTTTGTTCAAACATATATATGTCAGAAGGAACGTGTTCATAGTCATGAAGAAATGCGATCATTAGAGACTTAAAATTGTCATGTAACTATGCAGTTATATAGTGAATTTTTGTCATGAAACAATATATCACGTGATAACCACGGGTCCGGGTAGTCCTGTGGGTACCCGGGTCCTACTCAGCACCCACCCGACCCGAGTACCCGAGTACCCGAGTTGCCCGTCCCAGCCCTATCATGTACCCTCCAGCACACATACACTGTATGTGTCGCCTGCTATGAATATCTATTGAGTCACCTTGCAATGATGTTTACACTGCAGACCTATCACATGATGACAAAATCATGTGATCAGAATAGCTTCCTCATATACGTCTGCTTCCCTCGGGGGTGTGTGTTAATTGATAACCAAAGTTATTGATGAGGTTTAAACACTGATTTTGACACAGTGAATCTAATGTTAAAAGATGATATTAGTGTATGAAGCAACACATCTTTTTATTAGGGCTTCAACGAGTACTCGAGCACTCGGGGCCGGTTCGGTTTTAGTGATAACGGACGCGAGTACTCGATAAGGGGAGATCACTCTGTTTTAATATTGTTTGAATAATGTATTCTTTGTAGAAAGTAGATGTACATTAGAACAATTGAGAATGTCACATAACATAGACGTAATTATTGTTTTTCCTTCCCGACTTTAAGAAATTGAATGTATCAAGGCGATTATTGCTTCTTTGCTCCGACTCAAATGCCAACTGATTAGGTGGTATATATGTGCTATTTCAGTGCTTACAAATCAAGCGACAGGTCGACAGTTTGGTACAGTTTGAAAACGTGACCAACTCATGAATGAATGAACTTTTAGTACTACATTTCCATATTTAGCGGCCTTAGTCTTGCAGCCCAGCAGCTGTGTATACGTGTATGTCACGGGATGCACATGATCGATTTTCTTCCTGCGAATTATTGTTCGTGCTTGTTGGCAGGTGTCGTAAGAAACGCTGATCGTCAGAAAAAAAACTTGGTTTGTGTTCAATATGTATTGTTGTATTTGTAGACGTGACGTAATGTTTTTGAAGGTCGTGATTAAGATTAGTGCAGTCACAAGCAAACACTGAACACTTCCATACACTTTGACAGATAAACAAGTTCCGTGGACGCTTTCTATTCACATTTCAGTGCAGTTCAATTATACTTATAACATGTTTTAATACTTTTAGATGGCAATTTTTATCTAATGAACCAATATTCTTAAAGGACGACCTATTTTCGGGTACTCGAGTACGAGTCGAGTTTCACCCCTCGGGTACTCGAGTCCAAAAATTTGGACTCGTGGAAGCCCTACTTTTCACCAGATATAATACCTCTCTAAAGGCATATATATTATAGGTGGCCATTCGGTCAAAAAATACAAAGTTGAAAAAAGGACAAAAGTACACAATAAAGGTCAAATATACTACGAATAAAGAACTAAATGTTACTGATAAAGGTCAAAATACAAAACAAACAGACGCCGGTTAAACTAATACAAAGGTCGAAAGTATTATTAAGAGTCAAATGTTACGAAAAGACGTCATAAGAAAAGAAAAAAAAAACAATGTGTTCGAAAGAACGTCAGTGAGCACGAAAGGACGTTACAATAAAGAACGTCAGTGAGCACGAAAGGACGTTACAATAAAGAACGTCAGTGAGCACGAAAGGACGTTACAATAAAGAACGTCAGTGAGCACGAAAGGACGTTACAATAAAGAACGTCAGTGAGCACGAAAGGACGTTCTTTATTGTCAACGTCCTCTCGTGCTCACTGGCGTTCTATAATGTAAACGTCCTTTCGTGCACACTGACGTTCTATAATAGAAATATAGAATACTAAACGAGCTCCCGTGTAATACCAATTTTATGAAACGAGTGAATAGTTGTGGTATCTGACGAGCGAAAGCGAGTCAGATACCACAACTATTCACGAGTTTCATAAAATTGGTTTTACACGAGAGCGAGTTTAGTATTTTATTTATTACTTGTCATTTATAATGTTTTTAGAATTATACTGTTGAGTGTAAATAGGCTGACACCTACACGATCCATGGCATAATCCAATTGAATAATACTTCAAACACGTCAAAAGTTGAAATGTATGAATTTAATATCATACAATGGTCCAGCTTTAGAATTCAGGCGTTCGTCCCACAAAATTATCGTAGTGCTAAGGCTATCACAACTCACATAATTTAACTTAGACTAACGACTGTCGTTGCGCTAGAGTACGATCGCCTTGTGGAACGGCGCCTTGCACCTCAAAGTTTACAATGACGTCACAATACCCGATGACGTAATTTGTTGAATTTTGTTGCAAGATCCATCGGCGAAACAATGCCATGTGACGTCAGCCTAGCAACAAGGTTGCTGGGGTCATCGAGTGTGCATAAGCTCCTCCCAGTGATCTATGTCGTTGAATACGCCAAGGGATGTTGAGAGCTTTCAATATTTGTTCGTGAAACGTGTTCCGAGAGTACATAAGCACGCGTTTTGGTATAACACAATGTGTAATAAAGCTGTATGTTTATTAAACGGGTGATCTCTTCACGGGCAAGTAATAAACGTCCTTTCGTGCTCACTGACGTTCTTTATTGTAAACGTCCTTTCGTGCTCACTGACTTTCTTTCGTACACATTGTTCTTTCTTTTCTTATGACGTCTTTTCGTAACATTTGACTATTAATATTGTGTACTTTTGACCTTCATTTCAACTTTTTATTTTTTAACCGGCGTCTCATTGTTTTGTATTTGACCTTTATTAGTAACATTTAGTTCTTTATTCGTAATATTTGACCATTATTGTGTACTTTTATCCCTTTCTTTAACTTTGTATTTTTAACCGAATGGCCGCCCATAAAAGGTATCAAATCGGAGTTGTTTGGTTGGTTGGTTTGTTGTTTAACGCCGCAATATTCCAGCTATATGACGGCGGTCTGTAAATAATCGAGTCTGGACCAGACGATCCAGTTATTAATATCATGGGCATCGATCCACGCAATTGGGATCGATGACATGCATCAACCAATTCAGCGAATCTGACCTATTCTACCCCGGAATCTCAAATCGGAGTAAAAGGACTACAAAGATATTTAGTCATGATGTCCTGTGAGTTAATATTTAACGTCAGATGGGCAATAATTCAGTCATACAGCGATATATCCCATGACAAATTGTAGAAACTTACTGACAAGCAAAACATTCTGAATTCTTACGCTCCTTGGATGTGTAGGCTCTTGTGTGCAAAAGTATATGTAGTGTAGCTTCTATGAAACAAAGGATATATGCAGTGTAGCTATTGTGTAACAAAGGATATATGTTGTGTAGCTTCTGATGTGTAACAAAGGATATATGTCACGTAGCTCTTGTGTAACAAAGGATATATGTTATGTAGCTTCTGATGTGTAACAAAGGATATATTCCGTGTAGCTCTTGTATAACAAAGGATATATGCTGTGTAGCTTCTGATGTGTAACAAAGGATATATACTGTGTAGCTCCTGTGTAACAAAGGATATATGCTGTGTAGCTTCTATGAAACAAGGGATATATGTTGTGTAGCGTACTTTTTAGAAATCACTGTGATTTCAAAAGACATTGTTTAGACTTAAATATGTTATTCACTACACTGCTGCTTTGATTCAGATGGTTCTATCTATTCCATGCCGCATTCTCCTTGGTTATCAAACTATCAGAAATACCAAAGCATGTTACACTTTGTACCCATGTAGTGAATTGAACCTGGGCCTTTGGCATGACAAGCGAACTCTTTAACCACTAGGCTACCCCACTGCTCTGATCACATTACAAGGAGAAGAAACATCAGGTCAACGCAAGAGTCACCTTGTCACTTGAATGAATATACCATAAGGACCTCACAGCTCTCTCCTCTCTTGTTTCAAAGCTAGCCCCCAATAGCTAATTCCCCATATCGAGGCCTGACAGGTATTTGACCACCCCCAGCAAGGCTGTCTTATTATCATCATCACAACGTTTTTCCCCCCTTTTCTTCCAACCGACCTTGTATCAGTTAGATATCATGGATTATCTCCCTTAGCACATCAAGGGTGGTTAATTCGTTTACAAAATGTTGTGCTAGAGAATAAAAATTAAATCTAGAAAAGTGATCAGTACTGGTTGTTATTGTTCTGCCATGTGTTAATTCCTTATATTTACCAGCACAGGTTTTTAGCTGCACTAAACATCATTTTGTTTGGTATGGCAAGAAGAAGTGGTGCACATCACTGAAAGCAACAATCACAGCAATGGTGCAGACTTAGGATCATAATTTGGGTGAATCTTGGATTCAGACACATGATCAGCAGATCCTTGCCTGACAAAGGGATACACAGCTGCACCTTAGTCAACAGGCCACTCATGATATCAGTATGCATTGATGATTATTTCTAGATCCTAGTTTACTATAATTCCTCACCAACAAAAGCATGCATTTCCATGTTGCTCCTGTGGGAGAGTAGAGAAGTTTCAATGAGCTTCTTAGGCAAGAGGACTCAACAGGATTGTGTTACAATGTGGGATCTGATCTACTTGTCGTCTAGTCCTTACTCAATTATTTCCTGGTTGTCATAGTATAAATATATTGAACATACAATGTTGGATACCTCTGATCTATACAGATAGATCTTCAGTGATCCTATCTTATTTTCTGAGTTCTTTTCAGAGTTCTGCCCCTTGTGTGATTCTTTGTGAGTAGGTCCATATCAGTGAACGGTTTTCCAACATTTCTCAACAAGTAAAAATAAGGACGTGTGAAGTTAAGTAAATATTTTATTATCATGATCATGAAATTTCCACTTTGTACAGACAGACAGACAGAGAGACAGTTTATTCAGTAATTTAGGCATCAAGGCCAATAGTACAATCAGAGACCATAAAACTATTGTATGGTCTCTGGTACAATGCATCTACTTTTTACAATGACATGTGTATATGATAAATGAACTAATGTGTACACATACATTCACATCTTTTGCCCATCATAACCATGGATATTTATAATAATAAACATCTCTAGTATATATTCTATAACACCTATCAGGGCCCTTTCATAAAGCTATCTTAGATAACTGTCACCCCCATACGATTACATAGGCTTAGCGGTCAGACCGTGTTGTGAAACGAGGCGCAGAGCTATCTCTCATGAATTAGTAGTACTTTAGTCTTAATCAATCGCTACCTGGCCAGACCAGGTCTTGGTACTGTCATGCAGGTCCTGCTAACAGCCACTTGGCACGTCAAACACCGACTTGTCATAAAGAGGACTTGAGAATCCGCTGAAGGACAGGCTAATGTTAACATTAGCTGAAACAATATAAAGCATTGATATGCATCATGATATTTCATGGTCATCACTGAAATCTTTCATTTAGATAAAGACTGTACGAGAAATGGATGACTAGCTTCATTATGATGATGTTTCATATTAATCTTACGGAGGCCCAGGTGAGCCAGTTATCAAAGACTGAGCACTTCACAGAGGAGAGTTGCCTCCCTTAGATGATCATGTGTTACCTCCGATTTGGTAAATGCCTATATGCTTTGTCAAACTTTAGGGTTTCATCCCACAGTGAGCTGACATTCCCTCATGTCACTGAAATACTGTAACAATGGGGAAATTAAAAGAGTAACCAATGCAAGTATATGACGGAACTTACGACTACTGATGCGCTCCAGAATGGGGATACAAGAATCTTGCGCCACGCTCAGGGTAATGTTGAGCTTGTAAGGTTCAATCGAAAATCTCCAGACATTGAAGGCGACGCCAATTTTAGGGGCACCAACGTAGCTTTCACCAAGGAATGTCGCAGAATCTGTAAGGAGGAAAAGTAGGCATCCATCAGCCTCTGGTGTTCTTGCTGTGTCACCATCACCAATGACGAAAGCAACTCTTGACTGTTTGTATTGGCGATGGCCAGTAGAGTAGCGTAGTGGTTAAAATGGTTGCTCGTCACACTGCAAGTCTGGGTTTGATTCCCCATATGCATGTGTATTTATGTACCCTCACTCACCATTGCAGTGTTACCATCACAAATAGCGGAAGCAGTTTTCAACATTTGTATGGATGGGCGGAGGAATCATCTGGTTAAAGTGTTAGCTCGTTACACAGATCTCCACATATATACGATTCCCGTTGCCCCCTACCTCGGTCGTGAAATAGCTGGAATATCGCTCAAAGTGTAGAAACAGCAATATTTCAAACCAAATAACGGCAGTCTGTAAATAATAGGGTCTGGACCAGACATTCCTGTGATGGACATCATGGGCATCATCAATCCACGCATCTGGGATGCATTCAACCATGTCACCCAGTCTCACAACCCTGTCAATTTAGTCGCCTCCGTTTTAAACATAGTTATTCCCAAGAAGTGAACCGGGTTGTGGAACACGTTCTTTCAACTTGGATCTGCATTGCCGTATTACAATATGTTAGCAGAAGTAGTAGTCGCCTCTACCGACAAGTACAGGTCGCCAGACACCTACATTCATCCCCAGAATCGAGTGCCTGTTCCTTGTTAATGCTCACCTGGTATACATGGGATCATAGGGACTATGTTAGGAAAGGATGTGCACACGCCGGCTGGAGAGATCCTGTACGTCCTTCCCTGAAAATATACACATAGACATGAAGGGGATGCAGTTTTATACCTCAGTCGTATATGCAGAACCCAGTGTTCCGGAATACTTGGGTCTTTCAGATGAGCCGTCGGTGTACGATGACATGTCACTGGTCTGTCAGGTTATACAATATAACCACCCAGGCTGGTGCCAGTTGCACCTCTCTGTTATATCAGGGGTCTGTTCCACAGTGCTATGAAGACATAAACTGTAAGATTTACCATGGTAGTAGCACGATGATCACTTTGTAGAAAAGGGCAGATGAGTAAATTCTCATGGAATGACTGATAGTTGGAAGAAAGAAAGCGAATATTTGCTTACATCAACATAAATATGCGCATTTAGGTATCATTGTATTATTTTAGCAATTTACACCTTATAATGCAGTTTACTGTTAATGACACTTCACCAAATCAGTGCAAGCTAAAACAACAAGTGTATTTTACCACAGTGCCAGCCTGAACACCACAACATGCGACACCCTAGAGGAGTAGTACAAATCCTTACGATGTTTACCATCAGGCAACCAGTCACAAATAGTTGTCCTTGTCATAATTTGTCGTATACCTTCCATATCAATCACTGACAAAAGAATCGTTTCGTTATTATTGACAATATTAATCTTGTTGTATTATCCTTTGCAATTAAAATAAATTATTCAAACACCCTGTAAGCAGTTTCCTGTTTCCCTTGCAGTGACACGCCATTGTAAGATTGTTGGTGTCATTGAGCAGCTAAAGTAGGTTGAATAGCAGGACTTACTTTGCTGTGGTCAGTGTCCAGCTAAAGCAGGTTGAATAGCAGGACTTACTTTGTTGTGGTCGGTGACCAGATAAAGCAGGTTGAATAGCAGGACTTACTTTGCTGTGGTCGGTGTCCAGCTAAAGCAGGTTGAATAGCAGGACTTACTTTGCTATGGTCGGTGACCAGATAAAGCAGGTTGAATAGCAGGACTTACTTTGCTGTGGTCGGTGTCCAGCTAAAGCAGGTTGAATAGCAGGACTTACTTTGCTGTGGTCGGTGACCAGATAAAGCAGGTTGAATAGCAGGACTTACTTTGCTGTGGTCGGTGACCAGATAAAGCAGGTTGAATAGCAGGACTTACTTTGCTGTGGTCGGTGACCAGATAAAGCAGGTTGAAAGGCAGGACTTACTTTGCTGTGGTCGGTGTCCAGCTAAAGTAGGTTGAATAGCAGGACTTACTTTGCTGTGGTCGGTGACCATCCTGTAGCTTTTGACAGGGGCAGACCCTGGGGTTAACTGAAAAGTCTGCTGGGCTTCCTTCTTCAGGATCAAGTCGGAGTAGAATTGCAGGAAGGGCTGCAAGTCGAGTACACAAATTACAGTGAAAGAAGTATTTAGGGAATGACTGCAAGTCGAGTAATCAGATGCAGTATAGTGAAAGGAGTATTTAGAGAAGGGTTACAAGTCGAGTAAATAGATTATAGTGGAAGTAGTATTTAGAGAAGGGTTACAAGTCGAGTAAACAGATTATATCGGAAGTTGTATTTAGAGAAGGGTTACAAGTAAACAGATTATAGTGGAAATTTTGTCTTGAGATAAGGTGCACGTTAGAGTAAACAACTTGTAGCTGACATATTTACACATGCTAGAGTAACAGATTGAATGCTTGTCTTTCTGATTTGTTATAACTACGTACGCCTGCTTTTCACCAGAGACCATAAAACGTGGTCTCCGTTTTCACATATTTTGTCTGTGATGTCTAAGGAAGCTCTAGGCTTACAATGATGATACTTCATTCTCCTAAACAACAGTTAAAGTTTGAATGCAAGCCTGCCATCTCCCAACAGTTGGGTTATGTTTGTAAATATGTCTGAAACACGAGCATATTCTTAATGACGATCGACCCTGTTCATTTCTAAGTGTTATGCTTCCCAGAGAATCAGCTCTACATCCCTGTCTCTCCGAACACCTATTATCACTATTTGATAGTGATTCCTAAGCACATGCTCATGATATAGACAGAATCCCACAATCGACTCTGCTTTTGGCAGAGATTTCTTGTTAATGCGGGAGTTTTTGTCGCTTTTATTTATGTATGAATCGATTTGTGTTTTCTGACAAAGGTGGAGCACTATATATGAAAATAACGCTCCTCTCTCGTAATTACACTCACTCAGTCACCGATACGTCCTTATCAAGATGTACAGTATGTCAAGAGGCATCACAACTGTCAGTAGTAAGACGGAGAAGTGTTGGGTATAACACCCATATGTCTGTCAAGTCAAACACGGCTCTACATTAATAAATCTTCTTTCCATTCCAACACAAGCTGTCTACTTACCATCGGGTCTAGGCTGAGCATTTCTGGTTGTACAGCGTAAGCCTGCCAACTGTCGCGGAGACAACATTTTGGTGGGTCTTTTGCCAGAGCAGACGACACCACACAGATCAGGAAAATGTAGATTGCCACCATCTTGAAAACGATACAATAGGTGCCCTGTAGCGTGAAGTGTCGCATTTGAAGGTAGCGCTGTCGTATTTGTACTGGTAGGAAAATCTAGGTCATGTACCCTCCAGCACACATACACTGTATGTGTCGTCTGCTATAAATATCTATTGAGTCACCTTGCAATTATGTTTACACTGCAGACCTATCACATGATGACAAAATCATGTGATGAGAACAGCTTCCCCATACGTCTGCTTCCCCCCAGGGTGTGTGTTAATTGATAACCAAAGTTATTGATGAGGTTTAAACACTGATTTTGACACAGTGAATCTAATGTTAAAAGATGATATTAGTGTATGAAGCAACCTCATTAAAAACACATCTTTTTACCAGATATAATACCTCTCTAAAGGTATCAAATCGGAGTAAAAGGACTACAAAGATATTTAGCCATGATGTCCTGTGTGTTAATATTTAAAGTCACATGTGCAATAATTCAGTCATACAGCGATATATCCCATGACAAATTTTAGAAACTTACTGTTAAGCGAAAAACAGTGTCCTTTCATGTGTATGCTCTTGTGTGCAAAAGGATATGTAGTGTAGCTTCTATGAAACAAAGGATATATGCAGTGTAGCTCTTGTGTAACAAAGGATATATGTTGTGTAGCTTCTGATGTGTAACAAAGGATATATGTCACGTAGCTCTTGTGTAACAAAGGATATATGTTATGTAGCTTCTGATGTGTAACAAAGGATATATTCCGTGTAGCTCTTGTATAACAAAGGATATATGCTGTGTAGCTTCTGATGTGTAACAAAGGATATATACTGTGTAGCTCCTGTGTAACAAAGGATATATGCTGTGTAGCTTCTATGAAACAAGGGATATATGTTGTGTAGTGTACTTTTTAGAAATCACTGTGATTTCAAAAGACATTGTTTAGACTTAAATATGTTATTCACTACACTGCTGCTTTGATTCAGATGGTTCTATCTATTCCATGCCACATTCTCCTTGGTTATCAAACTATCAGAAATACCAAAGCATGTTAAACTTTGTACCCATGTAGTGAATTGAACCTGGGCCTTTGGCATGACAAGCGAACTCTTTAACCACTAGGCTACCCCACTGCTCTGATCACATTACAAGGAGAAAAAACATCAGGTCAACGCAAGAGTCACCTTGTCACTTGTATGAATATACCATAAGGACCTCACAGCTCTCTCCTCTCTTGTTTCAAGGCTAGCTCCCAATAGCTAATTCCCCATATCGAGGCCTGACAGGTATTTGACCACCCCCAGCAAGGCTGTCTTATTATCATCATCACAACGTTCCCCCCCCCCCCCCCCCCCCCCCCCCTTTTCTTCCAACCGACCTTGTATCAGTTAGATATCATGGATTATCTCCCTTAGCACATCAAGGGTGGTTAATTCGTTTACAAAATGTTGTGCCAGAGAATAAAAATTAAATCTAGAAAAGTGATCAGTACTGGTTGTTATTGTTCTGCCATGTGTTAATTCCTTATATTTACCAGCACAGGTTTTTGGCTGCACTAAACATCATTTTGTTTGGTATGGCAAGAAGAAGTGGTGCACATCACTGAAAGCAACAATCACAGCAATGGTGCAGACTTAGGATCATAATTTGGGTGAATCTTGGATTCAGATACATGATCAGCAGATCCTTGCCTGACAAAGGGATACACAGCTGCACCTTAGTCAACAGGCCACTCATGGTATCAGTATGCATTGATGATTATTTCTAGATCCTAGTTTACTATAATTCCTCACCAACAAAAGCATGCATTTCGACGTTGCTCCTGTGGGAGAGTAGAGCAGTTTCAATGAGCTTGTCAGGCAATGGTCCTAACATTGTTTTCTGGCAGTCATGGTATGCATATATTTAATATACAATCATGTTTGATATCTCCGACATATATACATAGATCTGCTGTGGTCCAATGAGATTTGCTGTGCAGGATTTCGCCCCTTGTGAGTGAGTGAGTATGGTTTTACGCCGCTTTTAGCAATATTCCAGCAATATCACGGCGGGGGACACCAGAAATGGGCTTCACACATTGTACCCATGTCGGGAATCGAACCCGGGTCTTCGGCGTGACGAGCGAACGCTTTAACCACTAGGCTACCCCACCGCCCCTTCGCCCCTTGTGATTCTTACCTTACCAACCGTAGTACGTTTTTTTAAAAGTAAAAACAAGTACATATCAAGTAAAGTAAATATTTTATTATCATGATCATGACAATACTTCTTTTTACAATGACACGTGTATACGATAAATAAATTAATTTGTACGCATACATTCAAATCATGTGTCTATCACAACCACAGCTAATTATTACAATAAACATCTCCAGCATATTCTCTATAATAACTCTCAGGGCCCTTTCCACAAAGCTATCTTTAGATAGATGATTGTAACTTCCTTTCTCTAACAAAGGCATAATATAATCATAGCGCTAAGACCATGTCGTGCAACGGGGTCCAGATCTGTCTCTTACGAATTAGCAGTACTTAAGTCTTAATCAGTCCAGACCAGGTGTTGTCATGCAGGTCCTGCTAACAGCCACTTGGCACGTCAAACACCGACTTGTCAGAAACAGGACTTGAGAAATAGTTGAAGAGCAGGCTCGTGTTAACATTAGCTGAAACAATATAAAGCATTGATATACATCATGATATTTCATGGTCATCACTGACATTTTTCATTTAGATAAAGACTGAACGAGAAATGGATGACTAGCTTCATCATGATGATGTTTCATAATAATCTTACAGAGGCCCAAGTGAGCCAGTTATCAAAGACCGAGCACTTCACAGAGGAGACTTGCCTCCCTTAGATGATCATGTGTTACCTCCAATTTGGTAAATGCCTACGGTTTGTCAAACGTTGGGGTTTCATTCCATGGTAAACTGATTTGCCATTATATTACTGAAATATTGTTCAAAGCATCAAAATCCAATCACTTAATTGTTTAACAAGAATGAGGAGATTAAGAGAATCAATGCACCAGACGTCAACTTACGACCATTGATACCCTCTAGAATCGGGGTACAAGAATCTTGTGTAACAGCTATGGTAATGTTGGCCTTGGTAATTGGTTCTTTAAATTTCCAGACATTGAAGGCAACGCCATAATTACGCAAGCCAACGTAGCTTTCACCAAGATATGTTGCAGATTCTGTAAGGAGGAAAAATACGCATCCATCAGTCTCTGGTGTCCTTGCTATGTCACCATCTCCAATAATGAAAGAAGCTCTTTAACGTTTGTACTGGAAAAGGACGGTAGCGTAGTGTAGTGGTTAAAGCGGTCATCACTGTGCAAAGCCTGGGTTTGATGCCATATGTATGGTTGCAATGCGTGAAGCCCAGTTTGTACATCGCAGGACGTGCTATGGAGGTAATATTGCTCAATGTTGCATAAAACCATTCTCATTCACTATTGCAGTCACCACCACCACTAATGGAAGAAGTTCTTTCACATTTGTATTGGAGATGGGCAGACTAATGGTTGAAGCGTTGTCCAATTATGCAGACCCATGTTCGATTACCCAAATGGATACAATTCCTGGTGCCCCCTACCCCTGTCCTGATATAGTTCGGATTTCGCTAAATGTGTAAAACCCTACTCACTAACCACACAACAATATTCCATCTATACGACGACAGTCTGTAATTATCGGATGTGGACTAGACAACCCTGTGATTGAAGTCATGAGCATCGATCAACGCAAACGAGATGATTACATGCATTCAAAACCCGTGAAGATTCTGGGGTAGAATAGGTCTTCAGCAACCCATACTTGCCGTAAAAGGCGACTATGCTTGTCATAAAAGGCGACTAACGGGATCGGGTGGTCAGGCTCGCTGACTTGGTTGATACATGTCATCGATCCCAATTGTCTGGATCGATGCTCATGATGTCAATCACTTGATTGTCTGGTCCAGACTCGATTATTTTACAAACCGCCGTCATATAGCTGGACTATTGATGAGTACGGCGTTAAACAACAAACAAACAAACATGCATTCAACTAAGTAACCAAGTCACACCACCTGATCTACTTAGTCCCCTCTTACAACATGGATAGGATGCTTGGAATCTATAGTCTTTCCCGGAAACTCCATGGGTTTGCTGGTGCGTTATGAAAACTCACCTGGGATACAAGGGGAAACCATAGGTATCGGGTAAGAAAAGGATGTGCACGCGCCCGCCGGAGAGATCAAGTATCTCATACCCTGAAAATATACAGATAGACGTCAAGGGGATGCAGTGTTTATACCTCAGTCATTATATGCTGAGCATGGTGCCCTGGAAATACTGGAGTCTTGTCCACGAGCCGTCGGTGTACGATGACATGCCACTGGTCTGTCAGTACGCAATATAACCATCTAGGCTGGTGTTAGGTGCACCTCTCTGTTATATCAGGAGGGGCGGTCGGGTAGCCTAGTGGTTAAAGCGTTCGCTCGTCACGCCGAAGACCCGGGTTCGATTCCCGACATGGGTACAATGTGTGAAGCCCCTTTCTGGTCCCCCCACAATGCCAGGCTGAACGCAACTCAGCATGCGACACTCATGAGGAGTAGTACAAACCTGCAACCAATAACAAATAGTTGTCCTCATTATACTTGTCCACATACATGTGCAGCAGCTACCTTTTATATCAAACACTCACAAAAGAGTGAGTATGTTTTACGCCGCTTTTAGCAATATTCCAGCAATATCACGGCGGGGGACACCAGAAATGGGCTTCACACATTGTACCCATGTCGGGAATTGAACCCGGGTCTTCGGCGTGACGAGCGAGCGCTTTAACCACTAGACTACCCGGCCGCCCCCACTGACAAAAGAAACAATGTGTGATCACTGACAATATTAACCTTCCGGTAACCTTTAGCGACCTTTACCTTTGCAATTGCAGTAGTTTATTCAAACACTTTGCAATCTATTTAAGAATTGGAAGCCCGGTTATTCTAGAAATGTAATCATGCAAACAAAGTCTATCTGTGTCAGTGTCAGTCCTGAGCAGGTTGAATAGCAGGACCTACTTTGTTGTGGTCGGTGACGGTCCTGTTGCCGGCAACAGGGGCAGACCCTGGGGCTAACTTTATGAACCGCTGGGCTTCCTTCTTCAGGGTGTAGTCAAAGAAGAATTCAAAGAAGGGCTGCAAGTCGAGAAAACAGATAATGGTGTTGGCAGTATTCAGAGATGGGCTGCATGTCGAGAAACAGATAATGGTGTAGGCAGTATTCAGAGATGGGCTGTATGTCGAGAAACAGATAATGGTGTTGGCAGTATTCAGAGATGGGCTGCAAGTCGAGAAAACAGATAATGGTATAGGCAGTATTCAGAGATGGGCTGCATGTCGAGAAACAGATAATGGTGTTGGCAGTATTCAGAGATGGTGAGTGAGTTGGGTTTAACGCCGCTTTTAACAGTATTCCAGTTATATCACGGCGTGTCAGCTTAATGTGGGAGGAAAGCCCGAAGTGATGCAGGTCTCAGACGTTTACCACTTCGGTGAAACCTACGAGCACGGGTATGGTGCTGACAAACCTAGAAACATAATCGTGGCGAACCGGGATTCGAACCCACAATCATAGGTTTCTGGCGTGCCAAAGGGACGCAACTCTGCACAGCGAATCGCGGCGCCTTAGACGACTGGGCCACCCGTGCCCCCTATTCAGAGATGGGCTTCAAGTCGAGAAAACAGATAATGGTGTAGGCAGTATTTAGAGATTGGCTGCATGTCGAGAAACAGATAATGGTGTAGGCAGTATTCAGAGATTGGCTGCATGTCGAGAAACAGATAATGGTGTAGGCAGTATTCAGAGATTGGCTGCATGTCGAGAAACAGATAATGGTGTAGGCAGTATTCAGAGATGGGCTGTATGTCGAGAAAACAGATAATGGTGTAGGCAGTATTCAGAGATGGGCTGCATGTCGAGAAACAGATAATGGTGTAGGCAGTATTCAGAGATTGGCTGCATGTCGAGAAACAGATAATGGTGTAGGCAGTATTCAGAGATGGGCTGTATGTCGAGAAAACAGATAATGGTGTAGGCAGTATTCAGAGATGGGCTGCATGTCGAGAAACAGATAATGGTGTAGGAAGTATTCAGAGATGGGCTGCAAGTCAAGTGAGGTGAGGTGAAATGTGGTTTAACGTCATGTTCAAAATTATTGCACTTATATAGTGAAGTGCTTGCACATGTGTTTGTGGCTAGTCTGGACTTATTCACTGAGATACTATGCCGCAGTTTAACATGGATAACACATTCAGACACAGTATACATAATGTTGTTGACACAGTATTCGGGGATAAGATACATGTTAGAGTAATCAGAATGAATGTTGACACAGTGTTCGGGAATAGAATACATGCTGGAGTAAACATATTTTTGTTGACATAGTATTCAGGGGTAGGATACATGCTGGAGAAGCAGATTGAATTGATTACACTCCTCCGTCATTGTTGACTCTTTGGGACCAACAATTCGATATTCTTAGGATTTTACCCAAAATAATAAGTTGTCCCAGAAATTGCTTGAAATAAAAAGTAATGCTTCAAACTGTTGAAAAAAAAAGAAATTGTCTGCCACAGAAACTACATTGTTGCAAAACAATTATAATTTTTAAACCTATCCTATCTCACTCTATTCATTTCATCCTTTTTCTTCCAATCCCTTGTGTGGAAACTTCCTTGAACAAAGTTTCCAGCTTCTAAGCTTCATTTGCCCAAACACCCCAGCATCGCCATGGTCATGCACCAGTGCGGCATGCTGACCTCGATCTGGCTACTTGACCCCTGTCTCATCATTCTCTTTCTCTTCGCCTCCCTTGTGGAGACGTGCCTATTTTTTCAGAGAATATTGAGGCCTTTCTTTTTCTCAATACAGGAGTTTGGGGCACTTCTTATGCCTAAGATATGGGCAAGGATCTAGCAAAACGACCAGCTTGCAAGAAGTGTCGTCACATTTTTTCACCCGCGGATCCTCAGAAACTTAGTTGTGATTGTCGGGGCGTATGTCAACCATGTCAGTGTTCAGAATGCACTCATCTGTCCCTGGAGGCATTCACTGATTATCTTAACAAATGCCAGAAGAGGGGCATTGATCACCGATCAAAATCTAAAGATACAGAACATGGACCCTCATCGTACTACAAACCCAAGCATGTGACAGAGACTAGCAGTCGTCCATCTGTAAAATCGGTGGTTAAGCAAACGACACCAGCCACGATTACTTCGCTCTCAGTGGAAGAAGATACAGTATCTGACAGTTTTTTACACGTTGAAGTTACCGCTGTTTCTCGACAATCTATCATCAGTGATCCGCGACTACGACGAACTCTATGTCAACAAATACGTCGGACACACGTTTGGTGCTGGCAGTAAATTAAGACCAGTCTACCGAGATATGTCCATCTACTCAGACCCTATCTATTGGAAGTCAATCATCGACTTCGGAGGTTGATGTGCGACCAGTCGATCCCACGCCGACCAGCCTCATCTCTACTCCGATCAATCCAGTTACTGCAGCTCCACCTACAGAGACTAATATTGACTGTAGCAGTGTGATAGCGACAGCGCCAACTGGACTTTGGAAAAGTAGAGATCGATCCCGACTAAGAAGATCGACATTGAGACAACGGTCGACATTCAGAGTCAACTTCTAAGGGTCGACATTCTATGGAGAGCTCGACATCGAACCAGGGTCGACATTCGTCAGATCAATGTTCAAAGGGTTGACATTAATCAGAGGATTAACATTCCACGGATTGATATGACAAGGAACATTCAAAGGAACGCGCCTTCTCCAGTCATCGATCTCGAGATCTATCTGACAAGACTCTACATCCTGTAGATCCACAATCTAAAGGTCGACTTTCAGATCACTCCTCTCAAGGTCAATCGTCTAAAGAGCACCTTTAAACATCAAAGCAAGGAGAAGATTATTCTGACTCAGATCATCACCACTCTACAGATCGACATCGTCTCCTTGACCAATTGCGTTTGTCGGACTCAGATAGGATTGATAGTCGTCTCGACACTACAGATATGGAAGAGATATCAAATGGGATCGACATGCACCTGCATCTCAGCGCTACCAGCCAATGCCTTTCTATCTTTATCTGACTCTGGGATATGGAGACCATCCCTCACAAACTCCAGTGATGAACCCTACTATCAGTACGGATCCCTCAGTATCGAATCCCCTACCAACTTCAGGGGATCACAGAGACCAACTATCTGAACAGATTGGATCGCTACTACAATCCCGTAATGAACAGTCAGGAAATAATACAGGGGATATTGCTCAGGGATAGGACTATCTACCCATTCAAATACCTCTCCTGAAAACCAGTCTTCGCCTTCACAATCTACGGGCAGTTTTGGCAGATTAGTCTTTTATCCTCACCTGGATTGCAGATACTCTTAACCCATCTAGCCCATCATGATCTCACGATTGACTATCGATATTGTCAGGTATAGAAGCAATATGCATGTCTGTGACTTACGCCAAGACTTCAGAAGAAGCATATATCAGAGGACCATCAGCCTTATCCTTACCCTTATCCAGAGCAAGTTCCAGGACGTGATGGAACTAATTACTTATCCGATGGGAACACTAACTGTTATGAGACGTCAGACACTCCTGTAGTACTGCCCGTGGGAAGAGCACCACAAGGTACGACCCTACCAGATGCCTTGGTCATCTTCACAACTGTTTGACAACAGAATACAAGACATTTTACCCACCTTACCAAGCCCATTATGAAGTTCCTGCACGTCAGAGAAATCGTCTTCGAATTGTTTATCGACGACTGCATCCAGGCCCATCCTAATTTGACATCTCGCCTATGCGCAGAAACTACTCCACCAGCTCGGTTAGTTAGTAAACATAGAGAAGTCGGAAACCACACCCTCTCTACAACTGCAATCTATTGCAGCACTTTTTGACACAGATCTCGAAAAGATGTTCACCCCTCCGAACAGATGGAAAAAGATACAACGGCTCGACTACAATTACTGCCAATTCAGCGCTTTCTAAAACTGTTGCTTCAGAGCGACGATTGCCGGGTCCCAATTCAGCTTCCATTACACCTGTATGTCCATCTACAATGATGGCTATCCAGAACGAATGTCTGCTCCGGAGTTCCCCTAGAACCCTTTCTACCAACACACCACCTGTTCGTGGATGCATCAACAGTAGGTTGGGGAACGCATCTGGAATATCAACAAGATGAGATCCACACAGTCAGCCTCCCTACTGGCTCTGACATTGGAATTTTTTCAAATGATGAATCCATTGAGCATCAACGCTCGAGCTTGACACATCATGGGAGTAAGCAATGTCATAGCAGACTCCCTTTCAAGTTCGGATCGACCATCCTCAACAGAATTGCATTACATCCAAAGAACTTCGAGGAGATTTGCCACCTCTACCACCATCCAGATGTCGATCTGTTCGCCACTAGGTTCAACACACAACGCCTCAGATTCGTCTCTCCGATTCCGGATCTGGAGGTGTGGAGTATGAAGCTCTGGTAATCCAGAAGATCGTATCCACAAAACAATTATGACTGATTTTGATCGCACCTTAATGGCCAGTTCGCAGCTGGTTCACCGTGATAGTAGACCTCGCTAAGGGAAGCCATTATCTACTCCCCTTGCAAAAAGATCTTCTCCTTCAACCTCACTCCAGCTTTCTACACCCATCGCTGGACACCCTACATCCATGCGCCTGGCTCATTTACAGAAATCCTTAGTCGCTAAAGAGTACTCAAGGCAAGTAGCAAAGACCATTACAGAGACCCATCGTGCTTCCACCAAAGCACTGAACGATAATAAATGGAAAGCCTTCGAGGGATATTGCTGCGGTAGATCTATCACCTCACCGACTAGGGCCTCCCCTCAACAAGTTGTAGAATAACTTCAGCACATACGCTCCGCTTGGAAGTTGAAGGGCTCTTCTTTATCTACAAATTTAGCAGCTATTGATTCGGTCATTGCTTCCACAACGGGCGTGAAAATTGCTGTAGTTCCCGAACTTCTATGCTCTTTTAAATTCGCCGACCAGTCGTCCAAATTTCGTCAACCAAAATGGGACTTGAATGACACTTGACGCCATCAGATTATGAGACCTTGGCAGAAAAAGACTTTGAGCAAGTCACACTGAAGACAGTTTTTCTTCTAGCCTTGGCCACTGCAGCGAGGGTCAGCAAGATACACGCCTTGGATGTTAACAGGATTCAATTCGAGAGGCACTGCCATGGCAAGGTACATCTGGGTCTGCGATGGGATTTCACCAACTCCCTGGTCATCCCAACAGGCTGTTTACCATCCCGACACTGGCCTCTATTCTTCAACCGGAGGATCGAGAGGACATGTCACTATGTCCTGTTTGATCTTTATGATTATATCTAAAAGCATCATCAACACTTTGACGATCCCAGAAGAGATTGTTTATGTCCATCTAACAGATGGTTACCTCAGGTTTCCTGTACAGCGGTCTCCTTCTGTTTATGATCTACAATACTCTGTGCCTACAATCGTATGGAATTGCCTCCACCCCAGACATCGAATCCTCACGACACGAGTGGTGTCGCATCTGCCATGGCTCTACATATCAACTGTTCCCTCAGTGCTATCATGGAAGGATGTTTCTGGAAGTCTGACACAGTCTTCGGCTCCCACTACTTATGAGATATTTCCGTAACTGATGTCCAAGGGCTACACCACTTCGGTCCGCTAGTCCTGGCCCAAGAATTAAGACAGCCTGTCAACGCAGAAAAATTGCGAGTACACTCACTGCAGTTGCGCAGTCATATCGTGTACAGCATGAATAAATAATTGAGAGCCACTCCCTTTTGTTTATTATTATCAATTATTCCCAGAATGAGGCTTCAATCGTGAAGCAAAAAACTCATCTGTAGAGACCTTAAAGAAGTCTTATCATTACGCAGTTCGACGGTCTCCCAATTCCAGTATCAGCCCACTGCTGCCTTTAACATGTGATGCAGTAATGGTTTGAAGATCGATCGATCGTTTCCTCTTCTTGTCTTAGCTATTCGATCCATCAGTAGGATCGATAAAACAGCTTCGACAAAGCGTTAAATGGGAAGCCAAACAAATATACCTGCCTCAATAGAGCGTACGTGGTTGAACAGCTCGCCTAATTCAAAACTGTGCGGTCGTCATATTATGATGTCCTATGCGAAAACACAGAAGCGCATGATATTCCCTATGACATGACGCTGTGTCCAAGTAGCGTACAAGGGTTTTCAAGATCACTCAACAGCAGTGGGGGCGGTCGGGTAGGCTTGTGGTCCGAGTTCGATTCCCGACATGGGTACAATGTGTGAAGCTCATCTCGGATGTCCCCCGCCGTAATATTGCTGGAATATTGCTAAAAGCGGCGTAAAATCATATTCACTCACTCACTCAACAGCAGTGATTCACCCATAAAATCACGAGAAAATATCTCCAGACGAGGAAGTGTAACAGTCCTAGGATTGAAGCATGTTGACTCCAGCTTCCTTGTGTACATCTCATGGTTACAGTCTAGGGTAATCTGCGACCCACCATCGAACTGTAGGATAATTGCATACAGTGAGTTAGTGTAAGTTTAAAAATTTGTAAATTTTACAATAAATTGTATATTAATAATACTTATCCTATGTCACACGATCTATGCCCGCCCAACCAATGCCTCTTCACAGTTACTCTTGCCTATCAGCTCCAAGAAAGAGAATGATGAGACAGCGGTCAAGTGGCCAGATCGAGGTCAGCATGCTGCACGAGATTCGGGTGCTTGACCTGACTGCAGGGACGGTTGACATGGTGATGCTGGGGTGTTTTGGCAAATGAAGCTTAGAAGCTGGAAACTTTGTTCAAGGACGTTTCCACACAAGGGATTGGAAGAAGAAGGATGAAATGCATTAAGTGAGATAGGATTATAATTATAATTATATAAGTATTATAAATATACAATTTATTGTAAAATTTATAATTTAAATCACAGTTTTAATTTGAAAAAATATCTGGTTTTTTTCAGCTGTAGTTGTAGCTGAAAAATTATCTAGTTTCCTAACAAAATCCCAGGCCCCCTCCCCACAGAATATAGAATATGGTCGGTCACTTAGTCAGTTTGAAACATCTCTATCAACGTGTATCAAGAGGTGTTAAAACTATCAATAGTAAGATGGATAAGTGATATGATCTTACAGTTGACTCTGTTTTGGGCAGGAATTTTTATGATTGTGGAAAGGGTTTTGTCACTTTTATTGTTATAAAACCCTTAAGTCAGTTGAGACAAAAAAAGGCTGTATATTAATGAAGCTTCTTCCATTCCGACACAAGCTTTCTACATACCTGTGGATCAAGGTTGAGCTTCTCCGTTTGTAATACATAAGCCTGCCAACTGTTAGGAACACAACATGTGGGTGGGTCTTTTGCCAGAGCAGATGCCAAACAGATCAGAAAAATGTAGATTGCAACCATCTTGGAAACAATGCAAAAGGTGCCCTGAAGGTTGAAGTGTCGCATTTTCAGGTAGAGGCGCTGTATTTGTACTGGTGGGATAATCTAGGTCAAATACCTTTTTGCATGTGTATGCGTCGCCTGCTCTTAATATCTCTTGAGTCACCTCTCCATGATATGTACTGTATATACGCCCATCACGCAAAGACAAAATCATGTGATCAGAATTTGTCCTCATACCTGTGTCTCTCTACACTAATATTACACACAGGGCGTGCATTTCAATATTTATAAAGAAAGCTGTCTGAATTCTGATGCTCCTTGCATGTGTAAACTCTACTGTGTAAAAGGATATATTGGATATATTATCGAAAAATCTTTAGCTTAATAGACATTTGAAGCAAGTTTATTGTCTACTGTGCGATCTCTAGACCCATCTCACCTGTGACAATGTATTTGTCTATATAATTGCATGTTCCTTGACTTCTGAGTCAATTTGTTGTGCAGACTTTTCATAAAGTGAAGTAGAGGTTCATTTACTTTTGGATGACCTGACTGAAAGTCAAGTGTGTTATGTTATTGCCTGCTTGTCTGCTATCCTCTGTAAACCAGGATTAGAAATTAACAACCCCGGGGCTAGTACAAATTCCTGCATGCTAGAACAATTTCCAAATTTCCCCATTGTTTCAACATAATAAGGCCATTTTATCTTTACCCAGGCTAGAAAGCTTTTCAGTTTAGTTGAAACATCCAACAGTAGTTATCATTGTTAATAATTCTAAGAATACTACCACTATTACATCATAGCCATAAATCCTGTATTTGGGTATAGTTACTTCAACAAAAGTCCTCTTTACTGTCAACTACACACACTTAGTTGTTCCCCTAATAGCATATGTAGTTCTTCAGCTCCTCTGTGCAAAAAGACGTGAAAAACGTCACTTCTATCTAAAATATCTAACCACTTTAGGCAGATGAATTGGGGAAATGGGTGGGAGTACTTCCTGATGTAATAGAGGTAGTATCCTTAGAATTATTAACAATGATAACTATTGTTTGACAATTCCTGCAAATCTTCTACCTCTATTACATCATTGTCAGAATATACCAGAGGGATAAGGCGGGATCTGTCTCTAGTAACTCCCTGTGTAGTTGACAGCAATTCAATACTGTCGTATTAGTTCTTGTATATTACCGGATCCAAACCCTCTAAGGAGGTGATTACTCTAGAATTTCTCTCAGGGGACTTGAAATCGGGTATTATGATTATATCAGTCAACATGAGATACCTTCACTTCAAATACCCTAGTATTTGCTGATAATCATGAAATGATGTCTTTAGTTCTATTCTAACTCATCATTTATCTCAGATTATGAGAGTGACGTCACTTCCGGGGTGTACTCACCTTCTGTAGCTGCTGATGTCAGATCCTCGCCTCCCCTGCTATGCTAGTCTTTAGCCATCTAGCAACCGTTGCTTTAGTGATGTCTTTGTCCAGGTGGGTCTTGTGTCATAGCGACTGATTTACGACAACCATTGTCTGAAGAACATTTGATTTAAAAGGCTAATTACCCTGTAGCCATGTCTCCATAACTTAATTGTCATTACGTTTTAGGCGCTAATCCCCATTGTTAATCCTCACCAACATTTCATTGTATATTGACTCACAGCCAACCTGGGGCGGTCGGGTAGCCTAGTGGTTAAAGCGTTCGCTCGTCACGCCGAAGACCCGGGCTCGATTCCCGACTTGGGTACAATGAAGCCCATTTCTGGTGTCCCCCGCCGTGATATTGCTGGAATATTGCTAAAAGCGGCGTAACATCAAACTCACTCACTCACAGCCAACCTGGGCTACTATATCACTCCCTTTAATTACTTTTATTTATAGTTTGACATTTATTGCCTTAATTGTTCATCCCTTGAGCAATGTCGGTTCATCACCCCTAGAAGTCCCATGTCCAGAGCAACGTCATTATCTTTCCATTGTTGTTCATTACTATATATGTGCTGCCATTACACAGTTACTATGGTGTTAGTGAAGCTTGGTATTCCGAGTGCTGGTGTAGGGACGACCTCGAGCAGGATGTGACGCTCGTAGGAAACGTCCTGAGGTTGAGCTGGAGCTCCGCTCACCTCGTGTATGCCTGAGCTGGAAGGTCCGCTCATCGCTGTGTTTGTGTTGTCAGAGCAGGTATTCTTCTCATTGTGTAATTGTTGTTTATTGTTAACATGTTGTGCATAAAGCGTTCTGGGACAGTGATGTCGATTTTGTCCTTTATTCCACCAAGAGCTAATTCCCCATCAACATGAGCGTTGACACTTGCATGAGATTAAGAGACATTTTTTATGTCGGCGATGTGGATCAGTGGCTGTCAGATAGAACTTGAGAGCTCATATAGGACAAAGGAGGCAACCAGACTAACCCACTGTAGATACCAAGGCGGGAATAGCTATAAAGTAGCTATAAAGTCCGGTAAGGACCGCACGGTTATAGAGGTCTAGTTGGGAGTGTGAGTGAGTCTGGAATAGTGGAGAGCTAGGAGTTCAGATACTCTACCTGTGGTAGCCATGGCTAGTGAAAATGATGCTTTACAAGGTTTTTGGAGGTTTCCAAGAGGTTCGTACGGAACGGCTAGTAGAGCAGACAGGACGACTGATAAATTCCATTATCGGAAGATCCAGGGAATGCGAATATCCTCTAGGCTGAATGCTCGCATGAGTCTGTTATGCACCAGATGTGTTCCAATCATCAATCCATCGAGCTGGAGAACGGAATGGAGGGCGGATCTATATCCTTTAATAGTTCCATGTTGGAAGTTATTATCCTGTCCTAGGTGTAAAAGGAAATTTCCAACCATGGGAATGTCCACTGGGACATTTGTTAGACCATATCTGTGTCTCCACTGGACGAACTTGTCCCATCTGTTGTCATAAAGTTGGGTGGATGACGATCTCCGTGATCTTGCGACAGCAGTAGAGGCAGCTTGAGAGTGAGTGAGTGAGTTGGGTTTAATGCTGCTTTTAAAAGTATCCAGTTATATTGCGGCATGCCAGCTTAATGTGGGAGGAAAGTCCGAAGTGATTCAGGTCTCAAACGTTTACCACTTCGGTGAATCCCGCAAGCACGGGTATGGTGCTGACAAACCTAGAAACATAATCGGGGCGAACCGGGATTCGAACCCACTATCATAGGTTTCTGGCGTGCCCAAGGGACGCAACTCTGTGCAGCGAATCGCGGCGCCTTAGACGACTGTGCCACCTGTGCCCCCTGGCAGCTTGAGAGAACCCGAAGGCCTGCCTTCTCTGTTAGATACTTTCCAGGCGGTGATATGGAGGCTTGGAATATTGGAGTAAAATGGGCTCGACCTGGGCTGACCCAGGGGATCTTTGCGAAGTGGAAAAGGGAGTGACTCATCCATCAGGAGCGAGAGTAGTCTGGGATACCATGTCCTGCTTGGCCAAGTTGGAGCGATGAGGATGACCTTGTCTAGGAGAGACCGTAGAGGGAACGTGCAAATAGCTGAGTAGTTTCCGTCATCAGCGAAAGGGACTTGCTTCCGCCCTGCGTCTGAATGTAGGCTACTGCTGTCGTGTTGTGGCAATCAGAACGGATGATTTGATGAGACGATCTTTCCAAGTCTGGAGAGCATAATAGATTGCTTTCATCTCTCTGCAGTTTATACGTAGAGCTGTTTCCCTCTCGGTCCATAAACCCTGAACTTGGAGGTCGTCCATGTGAGCTCCCAAACCTGAATCCGAAGCGTCTGTGAACAGGTGGTGTTCGGGAGCTGGTAGGGTGAGAGGAACCCCCGACATGACATGATCTCGTTGAGTCCACCAGATTAGATCTTTATGTAGGTGGGGAGGTATGAGTACCTGTGTATCCAGGGTCTGAGATCATAGGGAATTGATCCAGTTCTGCAGCGGGCGTAATTGTAATCAGCCTCTGTGAGTCATGTCTTGTAGAGAAGACAGCGTTCCCATGAGAGACATCCACCATCTGATCAATCTAGTAGGATGGTCTTTGGCTGAGTTGATGACTGGATCCGCTATTCTGGTGAATAGCCAAGCGGCTATTGATATGCCGAACGCTAAAACCTGTCATTCGTAACGACGGTCGTTTACTGCAAAATGGAGGTACGTGATGTGGGGTGGATTGGCAGATGGAGATATGCACCCTGAAGGTCGATGCTAATGACAAAATCTCCTGTTCCGAGTGATGAATGTAGTTTCCTGACTGATTCCATCTGAAATCTTGGAGACGGGACCAAGTACTTCTTGTTGAGTGTTTTGAGATTGATGATCATTCTCATCTCTGTGGAGTTCTTTTTCGGTACTAAAAACACCGGGGAGCAGAACCCCGAGTTTCGTTGGTATCCCGCAATCTCCGAATGGCCCATTTGGTGAGAAGGGTCTTAATGACAAGGTCGGCTGTGTCCAATTTGGCACCCTTCAGGTGAAACCTGCGTCCCACCGGGCGGGATACAAGTTGAGGGTGCTTGAGAAAATGAGCTTGTACCCGTGATGGATAACATCTAAAATCAAGTAGTCGGTTGTATCCAATTTCGGCGTATGACAAAAGATCCCCTCCCACTGGACCCTGAGACGGCATGTTGAATGGCAGAAGTCGCGTATCCTAATCCGTAGACAAAGCCAGTTGGATAGGATCTGCGGTGCTTGGAGGGGGGAGAAACAAGTCATCTGCTGTCCCCGTGACCTCTGGACTTGAATCCAGAATCTCTGGCCAGTTCCTGTGCTCGTTTAGGAGGGAACTGTGATCCGTGTGCCTTGACTGCCAAGTTGATCATAGATACTTGGAATCTCTGTCGTGTCCTGTCTGACTTTATCCAAGATCATGCCCAGCTTGTTGTTAAAGAGCGTCAATGATGTGACTAGCTGTTACATCTGTCTGCTTGGCATGCTTGGAGACAGCCCTTGATCTAACTTGAGACAAGAGTTGTTGTCGCTGAAGCCATAGAAGCTGGGAGGCAGTCCAGACCTGTGGTGAAAACATGTCCTACTGCATACAGATGATCGCAGACTTTAGATGAGTCCCACTTGATCTTTTCGGATGGACATCAGAGTTTCTGCCGGGACATCATCAAAGGTCGTTAGTAGAGGTGGCGTCACGTGTCGAATTCCGGCGATGAACCAATTCAAATAGGTGCCAATGTCCATGGAATACTTGTTGACAGTCAATAAATCCTTGACTCTGGTTTGTCATCCGTCAAATTCTAAGTAATGCCTATAAAACAATCCATCTAGCTTCATGAAGGACTTGGAGAGGGGTTGAATCTTGACTCTTCCATGCATGGGGATTCTCTGCACTTCCAGCAGTAGTTGTGTGGATCGCCAGAACCATAAACTGACCACACTTCTGACACATCGATGACGCCATAATAAGTGAAAACACATATAAAAAAAACACCAGTATACTTACGTATCCAGCTAGATCATTACCAAATAATATAGTATTTCTGAAGAACATAACTAAACAGTGTGACTACCTATACCAAGTGCTAACAAAAATCAGGTGTTGACTCTAGCACACATAGGAAAGAAGTGAGGTTTTTACCGCCTTTTTGCACAGAAGAGCTACATGTGCTATTAGAGGAACAACCAGTTTTGTGTAGTTGACAGTGAAGAGGACTTCTGTTAAAAATCTGAAGATTTAGTTACATTGTGTCTGCAGCCAAAATACAGGATTTATGGCTATGGCTATGATGTAATAGAGGTAGAGGATTCGCAGGAATTCCTGGTTTTAAACATCTCAGGAACCAGTCCTAATGTAGCTGAAAATTGCATCTATTTTCCCACCAATCTAAATTCATTCAGGAGATGTCAATCTGATTATAGATATGGTCACCACGGTAGCCATAAAAAAGAAGCCATATATTGCCATTTTTTGCTATTACTTGTTTTTAAAAAATATATTTTGTATATATAAACTGTATGTAATTTTGTAAGGGGGTTCAACATAACTAGACAGTTTGAATATCCTGGTATTGACCTTTGCATCCCGGCCATGGTTTAAAATTGTCTCACCTTGATGATTGTTTCCACCTTCTTGGCAATACGTCTTTTGGAAAGAGGTTTATTCATACAAAGAGATTATGTGTGACATACTGATTTTACAAAAAGAGTGTCACAATACATGAAGTTTAAGTTTCTTAAAATCAGTATGACAGCCATGCAAGTGAAATCATTTCTTTTTTATCCATTATTTTGAACTCCCCTTTAGAAAAATGTCAAATTGTCGACATCATTCTCACCTTATGTCACAATAAGATTTGAATGATGTCAAAAATGCTGTCTGGATGACATTAACAATACACTGGTAAACATAAAGTGATATTTGTACCTGTGCACATACAATGTTAATGAACTCGGTTATTTCTAACCCGATGGGCAATAAAAAAGTTTCTGAACATCTTCTGTGGCACAGAAATTGAATGTCAAGCATTAGGGCAGTGTATTAACAAAAAATAATACATAAACGTAAAAATATAACATAATATGAAACGTAATATATTGCAATACAGGTGTATTGGTATACGGATTGAGACATATGGGAGCTCAAGTGTTTGACACTGATTGACACTGATTGTACATGTAGATCCAATTTTCTACATATTGAGTAAACAATAGATCTACTCAGTCAGTCAGTCACTGCCATCTTGTAGTCATGCATACAGCGGGATAACATTGTGAGGGAAAAATTACTTCCACTTTCTGAAATTTTGTCTATCAATTCCGAATGGAAATGTAGCCGGGGTAGTGGTTATGATCCGGCTCGGGCTGTTGGGAAACACAGACACAGGCAGATGATGATAATGTGTTTATTACAAGGGGGTGGCTGCTGTTGAAGAACTATCTGAAGAAAAGAAAATGTCCTTCCTCCTCAACAGCAGCACATGAAGTCATATATTTGCAAGTTCACAGGTATTATTTATCTTAAATATAAAAGTACAAAAAGCCATTTTATAACTATGATAAAACTAACTTTAATGTTAAATTACTGTTATAAGTTCACTATAGGACACTTGAAAAGCACATGGGCCAAAATGGACCATGTGGTTAATTATTTTACAAACAAGTTTTATAATATCAATATTCCAATTACTAATTTAATATTACTTTAAATATTATATATATTATTCAATTTAATTCAGCACCCTAATATAGATATTAATTTCTGACAGAAGCAGATGAAAACAGATTGAAGAAAAGAAAATGTCCTTCCTCCTCAACAGCAGCACATGAAGTGAGGAGGAAGTCAGGTATGGAAGGAAGCTACCTGTAGAGGACCAGGGTGGCCAATTAGAAGACAGATTGCATTAAGCATCAAAGGAAGTGTTTAATGCAAGATATAAATAGACTGAGGGAAACCCTGCAGGTGTGAAAAATGTCTAAAGATAGACAGAAGGTTTAAGGGGAAGATCTGGTGAGAGCTTCCCAGAGATTGAAAATAAGGGTGTTGAGTTGTTTAAAGAGTTATTGACTGATATCCAACTGTAGACAAGACAAACATTGAACATATAGATGATTATGATGATGGTGTATGAATAATGATATAACTAGGAAGAATATGATAACGGTACCCTGCTACAGAAACATCAACATTGAAAGAATTTCTTTGTGGGTATTAGGTTAAACAATACAAATAACGAAATATACCTTTAAAGTAGTTCATCACCAGGAAAATATCTCCTCTGTATCATGCTGTAGTTCTCTTGCCCTTGCTTCAACTGCCAAATGTGATGGGTTTGGGCTTTGACAAGCACAGAAATGTGTGACACGCACCTCAAAATGACCCAAACTTGTCTGCCCATGACCTGCTCATCTTTTTCCCTATTTTTACCTACCGGGTAATATTCAAGCTGAATGATACTAAAAGGCATGTGGATCATTCCATAATCGAGTCTGGCTAGACAACCCAGTAATTGACATCATGACCATCGCTCCACACAAGTGGAATACGATGACATTCATCAACCAAGTCAGCGAGCTTGACCACCCATTCGCGTTAGTCGCCTTTTACGGCAAGCATGGGTTGCTGAAGACCTATTCTACCCCGGATCTAGAAAACGTACTGTTTACTATTGCTGCACAATGTGCCCAAGTAATTCAGTGAAATGTGTTGGGGGTCTAGTGGCCAGTTGGTTTTATGATCTGCCCTTTCTGTTTTGCCCCTCCTTAGTCTTTATTGTCTATTACAACATTTTGTCTTTTGTGGGCGAGATTAATGTGCAATGAAATGTGAAACCTTGAAAAGAAATGCCTCAATTATTAAATCCAATATGGCCACCATCAAAGGACCTAAATCTGCTATGAAGTTTTATATGTATTAGCTGTCGAGACATCGTTTGGAATTTATGTATGTTTTATATTCAGAAGAGAAGTTTCAAGAAGACATGTACTACCTGAAAATGCACTCCAGAAGAATTGAAACTATTATGACTGCCAAATCATTAGTCTGTCATACAGATCCTGAAACAAATATATTTAAAATAGCCCATGCAAGTCTATAATATTTAGCAAGTCTAGATTACTGCAGTATCAGTTTGAAAATGAAAACAGTCTCTGGGCTCCTTTAGATTATATTTCATAACTTAAATTTAACAACTGTTTTTATCCATAAAATATGTACATGTCAGAGACTAGATGTTAGTGTACCAAACCATGTGACCAATGACCAAAGTTAAAAAGCCAAATATTGAAAACATTGAAAGTTATCTAGAACTCAAAGTCATCATGTACATAAAACATTTAAACACATTAGGATCTGTGGCCATTGTGTTATGCTTGAGCCCATCAGGATGGGAGATCTATGTTGTAATTCAAAATAAAAGAAACACCCGAATATCTTCAGAATGAATTTATTCAAAATAAAATAGTAACATGAAGTATCTTTAAAAGCAAAAATAATACTTTATCTTGTTGGACGGAACAACCTTCACTGTTTTGGCAACAACTGTTATACATGTACATTGATATGTGGAGATTATGGAGCTAAAAGGAATTACTGTGGCTCCAATTATTGAAAATGAAACAAGATTAACAAGAGCCATTAATCAAAACCACATTCACTTTGTCCTTATACTTGTAATCACCAGAGGCCAGGAATGTTAACAAGTATGGCAACAGTCTTCCTTCAAGTCTCCTTGATATTTAAATCTTATTAAATAGGCAACAACAACAAAAATAGCAACTTCAATACTTCAATACATGTACATGTATATGTATAAAATACTTTTCCTTTCAAGATGTAGCGCGATGCACAGACATTAGGCATAACAGCGTTAGAAATTGGCACTAGTCCTAGAGTTGCCCAATAGTTGAGGTATCACGAGGACAAGTAGAAATTAGCCACTTTTAAGGGGTGATCTGTATGTTATCATTATAAGGACTAGTGGACTGAAACTGTCTAATCCTGCATAAGAAGAGACATGCTGAAAATGCTCCAATGACACATTCCTTCATGTGCCAGGTGAATCGGAGGACAATTCTTCTGCTTGTGAGATTCAGTATGATTAAAGCAATATGAACACAACCACCTTAACACAACGGTGACAACCCACTTGGCAACTATCTGTGTGCAGAACAGGTTCACTATACTTACTAAGGCTAGAACAAGCTATCGGTGTAACAGCACAAAGATAAATGATATGCTTCTTTCAGTACTCAGTCCAATACCGAAAATTATCATGTTTTGGTTTTGCCTTGAATTTCATACATATCGTAACAAGATAACTTGTAATTGCATTATTTCATCCCCATCCAATACTGTTTGATGCAAAAGGTTAACGTTAAAAATCTAGAAATTTCTTAACATTACATCAACATGACCACACTTGAAGTCATTGAATTTTGTATGTTAGTTGAACTATTTCTTCCCTATCCAATACAATTTATTGTAATAGGTTACCATTGAACAGTCTTTTGTACATTACGTAAACTTAACTACAATTGAATTCATTGGAATTGTGGTTTCATTTTAAACATGCTCTAATCAAACACTACGCCAAGTTCAACACAATCAATAGGCAATGTAAGTCAAATATAAAGATTAGAAGAGCAATGTTCTGCTGTGAACAAGACATACAGCATATACTGCAACAAATACAGAAATCATCTGAAGAATGATGATAACATAATGTTTGTATCAGCAAACAGGAAATCCACATGTTTCTCCATGGTAAAATATACTACTCAAAAGAAATTAAGGATCACCCGTTAACTTCTTCTGAGTAGTATAGGAATCAAACATCATACAATCCATTTACTATGCAGGTTTGTTGAATTGAACAGCTGGTTAAAGGGTCATGCAGATAAACATATTTTACATGACAATACATATGACTTCATAACTTTATCATAACAACAGAACATTCAGTGCAAATTGTGAAATGAGCATGTAACACTGACAATTCATTCTCTCTATCTGAAACCATTTCGATGACAGGGTCACTTTTAGTGTGTGGTTTATAAATTCTGTGATCACAGTCACGCTAAAAGGAAAATATATCCATTTTTGGAGGGCTAGAGGCAGTTTCTTGGTATGGTATTTCCCTAGCTTGTTATTGTAGGGAATACACTGACAGGCCTTGATCTGATGGAAGAACTTCGTCCAGGTCATATCACATATGAGAAGATTCCAAGTGCATGCTGATATTGGTGACAACCTCTATACATGGTAGTACCATGGATGAGCACTGGGCACATCCTCATGACATGGCACACAGCTTGATACAGTCATCAGCTCCAGCCACAGCAAACAGCCTCCCTCCCATGCTGGAGTCGAGGGCCTGCACAGGCTTGTTCATCTTCACCTCACCAATCACCTGCCACAAAGACATATATCACATATACAGGGCCTGCACAGGCTTGTTCATCTTCACCTCACCAATCACCTGCCACAAAGACATATATCACATATACAGGGCCTGCACAGGCTTGTTCATCTTCACCTCACCAATCACCTGCCACAAAGACATATATCACATATACAGGGCCTGCACAGGCTTGTTCATCTTCACCTCACCAATCACCTGCCACAAAGACACATATCACATATACAGGGCCTGCACAGGCTTGTTCATCTTCACCTCACCAATCACCTGCCACAAAGACATATATCACATATACAGGGCCTGCACAGGCTTGTTCATCTTCACCTCACCAATCACCTGCCACAAAGACATATATCACATATAATATAACATAGCATTATAAAGAGTAGACTAACATTATAGTCAGTGAAATTTTTTCTTTCGAAAAAACAATTTTTCTAGTGTGTAATTTAGAGGCTGAGTGATATGGCCAGGGGTTACAATATGATATGTATCCCGATACTATAGGTGTGATATGATTTGTATTACGATAGAGTACTTTTGTTTAACAAGTAAATATTCTTTCTTTTAGCAGATGAATCACAACCCTGAATCATTTGTAATTAAATTTCAGAGATCAAAGATGGGATAGTGTACATATTGGTAAAAGGCACTATGAATGTTATGCTATTCATGTCATTCCATGAAATACTAGAGAATCTGCATAAACTGGTGGTTTTACAGTCCCTGTTATCATTCATGTTTTACACCAATATAACTTGTAATCACATGTATCATATGTATCGTGATACTGGGGTTGTAAATCAATATACTGTATTGTAGGCCTCGTTTACAATACTGTATTGCCATATCGTTTCACCACTAGTGGAATTCAGATAGCTAGACTTGTTTTATTCAAAATCCAGCTTGGTGTTGATTAAATTAATTGCAGATATTTAATGGTGATTTTGATGGCATGCAAATGAAAACCCAATATTTTTATAGCCCAACAAGTGATGTTGCATGTGCATGTCATGTTGGTGTGTTTTGGCGCCAGGCTTTCACATGTTTGTGTTTTTTTTGCGATTTTTTCATTGTTTCTCCAAATTTCTGCAGTACATCATTCTTTCTACACAACTCAATCCTAATCCATGCAGAAATGACCAATTCATTTTTGGTATTAATTTTGTATCGATGTCGGCAACACTCGTCAAATATCTACGATATTACTACTATTGCATTTCTATTTTTGCGGAGTATAGTTAAGGACCACCTGATTCTTTAATCATGATAGATTAACTTAAGTAATATGAAAGAATCGGGAGGTCCTTAACTTCATTTGAGTAATATTTTTCTAATATATGTATGTAGCATTTCTCACACAAAAATACAATTGGCTAATAAACTCTAGCTAGCAGTTAGGTGTATTACATAAAGACGATGTCTCTTTTTCTGTAATTACTGTAACAACATATTGACTGAACTGGAATTAGGCAACAAAGCAGGGAGTATGGTTCCTCCAAGCACCCATCACTTTAGTCACTAGAGTGCATTGTAAACTGGAATTGGGCCAAGAAGTTTAACTTATGCTTCAGATAATATCAATGATCTGATATCATTCAATAATGGTCAAATGGCCAGTTCCCTTCCATCTGAAACCTATGAAACAGACTCATCCGTTTCATATTTGGATCTATCCACAAGACTGTATGGCAAGAGAGATGACTTCAACTTTCCAATAGTCAACTTTCCCTTTATGTTGAGCATTATTCAAGCATCTCCACCCTTTGGAGACTACATTTCTAAACTTTGGAGTTACAATCAAGCCTGATCTTTCTATGGTGATTTCAAAGAATGTCATATGACTCTTGGTCAATAGTTGTTTGATCATTTGTTTGTTACAACACTCAAGGCCTCAGTAAAGCTTTCAAAACGTTTTATGGTAGACAAGAGAAGGACATTGCAAAATGTGACGCATCAGTGAAAAAAAAAATTTCCTTTGCAATTACCTACTTTGACTTGTACTAAATGTTTATATGTTCTCTCAGGTAAACAATTGACTTGCCTTTGCATGTGTTTGTGACTGTGCCACGATGTAGCAGAATATGTTCAGTTTTATGCGAACACCTGGCATCATCACTACTTGATAGTGATTCCTAAACACACGCTAATGATATAGTCAGAATCATACAATGGACAATGGATTTCTTATGTTTATGGAAATGGTTTTGTCGCTTTTATTCTATACAGAATGTAGGTGCTTAGATCATGATCCTTCAGTTCTAGATTTGGTGAAATAAGATTTAATTGCAAGAAATAGTGACCGTGATAGTGGCTGGTCTAAGTCAGGGCGCCATTCCACAAAGCGATCTTGGCACTACCACTGTCAAAAGTCCATGTTAAAGTATAGGAGTTACAATCATCTTAGTGCTAAGATCGCTTAGGTGGAACCATACCTGGCCAACATCAACCATTGGTTGACCTTGTGAGCAGTGCACCATGGTATTTGGGTATGATGACACTCAGTCAGTTACTGTCAGTCAGGTGCTCACCAATCCAGTTTCTATTCTATGTCCATTTGCATTTGTCAAATACATTGGGTAGTGGGGACCTGGTCTGGAATCCCGATTTGGGATTCTTAGGTTGTCATCCATAGTCACCCATGGGGATTCCAGATTAGAGTAGGACCCCAGCAACCCATGCTATTGTACGTGGCAACTAGAGGTACTTTGGTGACTTGGTTGATTGCGTGTCATCGTAGTCTGACCATGTGGGACATTGCTAAAAATATCAATCACTTGTTTGTCTGGTCCAGTGTTGAATATTTATAGGCTGCCATCATACAGCTGGAATACTGCTGAGTTGGGACTGATGAAAATACAAAACAATGAGGAGTTATTTATTAAAGGAAACAATAACTTGAACTACCAACTGTTCAGTTAATCCCATCTGGCTAAGACAGCAGTGTCCGAAATAAAAGGGAGTCTCGGTGCCCTTGGGGTTTACTGCTTTACTATTGAATCTAGGGACTCCCTTAATCTTTAACTTTTACACTGGGGTTATGGCAAGCACACTGATCTGGCGACATTGATCTGGCGACATGTGGATTTCATGATTTCATGATTGACACTATTACCGGTACATATGTAAATTGTAATGTAATGTAAGAAATATTTATGTCCAATGTGCATCTTTCAGGAGAGGAATATTATAGATATTATAGATATGAAGTCATGCTTATGTTGGGCCAGCACAAACTCAAGGGGAAACACTGTTGTTTAGATACAGATTATATAATACAATAAGACATGTTCCTAGATTTATAATATGCCTGTTGCTTCAATGTATGTTTGTTGTACACACAGCAGTTCTAACCTTGTTGGTATCCATGTTGATGGCCTTAGCACTGTTAGTCCCACTTCCCCCTGCCAGCACCACATCATTGTCACAGAACTGAGCACAATACAGGTAGGCGCCCTTAGGGCCCGGGAAGTTTACAGACTTCTTGGCTTTGCCATCTGTGTAGTTCCACACCTTCAATGCATCTTCTGCTACCCAAGATCCAGTCAGAATGTCGTATCCCTGAAACAGTAGTGAGCTTTATTGTTTAGATGAGTACAGTGTGTACTCCGATATAGGAGTGAAAGATCTGATTTTAATGAGACTGACCAATAACTTTTGTTATCATATGGACTATTATTAGCTGAGCCTCTTAGGAGGAAATGAACCTAACAAGACTTGGACTAAAGTCGCAGATTGGTGCTTTGGGAAATGTAATAACTGGTAGAATATTCAGGGTTAGAAATTAACACTAGCCCGTTAGGTTGGGGCAAGTGAGTAAGTCAGTGAGTTTACTTTTACCAGGCTTTTAACAATATTCAAGCAATATTGTGGCAGGGGACACCAGAAATGGGCTTCATACATTGTGCCCATGCCGGGAATCGAACCTGGGTCTTCAGTGTGACAAGCAAATGCTTTAGCCACAAGGCTACACCCCCCTCACCCCCCACCGCACCCCCCTGGGGCTGGTACAAATTCCTGTGGGCTAGCACAAATTTCTCAATTTCCCCACCTTTTTAACATTACAAGGGCATTACATTTACCCCGGCTAGTAAAGCTTTTCAGTTTAGTTCTAGCCCCGTTTAATATTATGCATAATATTTTCCTTGGAAGAGGTAAGACTTAGAGATGATTACATCAACAACATCAACCTGCAGTAAATATGGATGTAACAAACTTATTTGTGACCACAATGATTAGTTGTTTCAAAATGTTTCAATGGAAAAGGAACATAACAAGCAAACCCTTAACCTGGCACTCTGTGTGCTTTTAAAGAACTCAATGTTTTGGTGTGTCACATGTATTTGGGTAACATTTCAACATTAAAATAGAGAGAGAAAAATATTCATTGAAACATGTGAACTCTTTGGGTATGACAAAGCCATCATAAAGTCCAAGAATTTAGTTTTGGACAATTGTTCTGAATGTTCCTAACACAGGGATAGTACTATATCAATAAGTATTACCCTCAGATCCAAACTGTCCCCACAAATGTGAGGTCCCCATATCTGTCGTTTGATTCCATCTGTTGATCTAGAATCCCAGATCTGAAACAAGACGTAAATGTTTATTTTAACTTGGACATTTTATCTATCATACACTTCTAAGGTTACAGTAAGGATTTCAAGGGTAAGGCTGTCAGCTTATACACCAGGTGGGCTATACAGTTATATTTTGCAAACTCTGTAATTTCAGAGACACAATTGCAAACTAGCAAACATATGGTGAATGTGCTCTATGCAATGTCGTCTTTGAAAACAAAAACTTGTCAAATTTATCGTTACTTACAGTACACATACAACTTTTTGTTTAGCTTGTTACAGCAGTATTTCATTGTTCAACTTCTCCGAAGAGAGCATAATATATGGCAAGAAATAACAGTATCTTTAAAGAGGTGACTGGTTAGCTATATAGAGCTTAGCTTTAATTCTGCTGTTTGTCATTAGGTTTTTTAAGATCAAAATCCAAGGGGAAAGAAGAGTTGGTCTGCCAATATCATAAATCCAATATTGTAAATCAATGATTTTTCACAGATACACCAGTCTTCAGCAGTATTAATGTATATTCAAAGCTCACCCATAAACTAAAACAAATGTGACCAACCATGACCTTATGGGTGGAAAATCACATTTTGACTTCTTATAATATTTACAACTACAGTACCTGAGGACCACAAAAATACAATTCATATTTATTACAGAGATACATGACATCAAACATTTGGACCCATTTTCTGAAGTCCCAGTTTCAGACATAAAACTATTTAGGTAACGATTGCAGTTTCTAGATATCTCTGATCTATTGAAAGTAGACATGTATGCTGAAACGTTTTGAAATAATGTTTTTATTTCATTACGGCCTAACAAGAGAAAAATAAGACATTTTTTGACAATTTGCACACATGGTGAATTGTTCAGATGTATGTTGACATCAAACGTCTTTCTTATGATGTCACAGCACAACTGTATCCTAGCACCTTTAATAAAACTTACACCTCATTTTGTGAAATATATGTCAGTCTGTACCAAAACCATTTGAGTATACAAGCCAGAACTTGGCTATAAGTATCATTTTCTGTAGATTTATATGTAATACTAATAATTAGACAATCTTTAGCTGAGCTTACTAGACTCGAGCTAAAGTGACTAAAATCCCCGAACCTGTGTCAATGATTCAAAACGTCAATACTAGCACTAATCCATGCTTGTTTGGGAGTATTACTGAATGATCAGATTAAAGTCATGTTAGAGTGAGTAAGTTGGGTTTAACGCCGCTTTTAACAATATTCCAGTTATATCGCGGCGTGTCAGCTTAATGTGAGAGGAAAGCCTGAAGTGATGCAGGTCTCAGACGTTTACCACTTCGGTGAAACCCACGAGCACGGATATGGTGCTGACAAACCTAGAAACATAATCGGGGCGAACCGGGATTCGAACCCACAATCATAGGTTTCAGGCGTGCCCAAGGGACGCGACTCTGCACAGCGAATCGCGGCACCTTAGACGACTGGGCCACCCGTGCCCCCAAGTCATGTTAGAAACAACATACATATATTCACCTATAAAGAAAAAGAAAGGAGCATAGATATCACTCCTTTTCTAAATGTTCATGGGTTTGTGCCACCAACCTTCACGTGGTTGTCCCATCCACCAGTCAGAAATATGTCGTTGTACTCAGGGTGGTATTTCAAAGCAAAGACTCGCTGTGTGTTTCCCAGGCACTTCATGTCCGAAGGATCCTTGGAGTTGTCATAGCCATCGTACTCATTCACCAGCTGCAATGTGATATATTCACCTTTATCTGCATTGTGGTACAGTGAAAATATAACTCTATATTGATAATGCAGCTGATTCATAATGCAAAACACACATGCATTAATGATACAGAATCATAAACAAAACAATTCATGTTGCAAAACAACCTTTGCATGGTTCCCACTTTTTTTCTTCCGAAAAATTCCCTGACATTTCCCTGATATTTCCAGAGAACTTAGAACTTTTCCAGACTGCATTACACGGCCTCCATTATAACAACTGGGAGTGGTGTTTTAACTTTATTATATAAACAGCTTTAAAATAGACCAGTGGAAACGTCTTTTTTTAGATATTTCTGTACAAAAGTGTGTTATGTTTGGTTTAAGGAAAACAAAGTCACCAAGTAATTATCCTCCCCTTAAGGCCATCCATCTGCCACCATTTAAAGAGTTCAAACAACAAATTAACTCCATCAAACATTGCCTAATCAAAACAAGTATTACAATTTTTGAAAATGGACTTCAGGACTAGGATCTCACAACTTTAGAAACATGAACATGAACTAATTAGTAACATTATAATAAAGTAAATACCATCACTACTTTCAGTGCAACATTCATGCACAGCATTTCACAAACTAACCATTCAAATATACATCTGCACTTTCAAAAGGTCACCAGGGAATAGATAATTATAACCACAACTGAAGTCACCCTAAGTTTTTCCAATGATTTATCTAACACTGATACACTTTTCATTAACAAAGAGCTTTATAGAATCCTAATTGCATTATTTTGTTTGTTCTTGAACAGTAGAACTTTATGAGATTTGAAATTTTACATTCAAATTGATTTCTGAAATTCAAATGGTAAACTAATACCAAGGCAATGTAATATTTTACTCAAAATATTTTAAATTTAGAATTTAGTTAGCTCTGGAGGTAAGGGGCGCAAATCCCTATCAGCCACATTGACCTTGACCTTGATATAGTAAAATTTGACAAATACCTCTTTTTCAAACGAATTAACTCCATTGCTTAAATTTGAGTGGCTGCCACAACCATTAAATAATAGAGAGTATGAGTTCCAAGAGCAAAAAATCCCTGATAAATCCCTGATTTTGAAGTTTTTAGTGAATTCCCTGATATTTCCCTGACTGGAAATTTTTCCAACACTTTTCCAGGTTTTCCAGGTTTTCCAGTGGCAGTGGGAACCATGCTTTGTGTTTCACTTTTCAAGTGAGTAACATATCTAACAATATAACATATATGGCTTTCATTATTCAAACCAGGGCTCCAGAAAAGCTGCATAGTAAATATACTAAATAATTTAAAAAAACACCACTAAAATATTTTGGTTGCACATTTTCTTTCAAGTGAAACCTGGAAATCTATAAGGACTGCTGTATGATTAGATCACTCTTTTCAGTAAACTGTACTACACATATTTGAGTGTATCGGTAAAGTGATGAATCTTTCAAGAAATTTCCCTTTTTATTACACATCACAGACATAACATTACACAACCTAGGATATTTCACACATTTTTCATGCAGATTTTCTCAAATCATCATAACACGGAGAAGGTAATAGAATGTGGAATTTGTCATCTATACCATTATTGCAACCTGGACATGTTCTAAGTGAATTATTTATTGTTCAGTCTCTACCTTTGTTGTTTTTCACTTTTAAACAACCACCACTAAATCGTACAATAACATCTCTAAACTTTCTATCAATTAGAACTGAAAGATAATTCTCAGGTTGTAATAGACATATCTCATATCACTTTCTCCACTACTTTGCCATTTATGCCCAATGGAATCGGTTTCGGCAGATAAGCAAGACTGGTCATTCTCTGGCATTATGTTAATTTTACCTACTTTCGAGTAGTTTTGGAAGAACATATTGATACATGTATTTCTTAAATAAACATAGATTCAAAACCCAAGCAATTAAGAAAAATACCAATGTCTGGAGTCTTGGGGAGTCAACACAGTTACACATTACCTGGCAAGTTTTTGTATCATATATTCTGACTGCAAGGTCTTTGCCTGATGTAGCAAAGTTGTACCCATCTTCACAGAAATCAAGACAGTTTATTTCATTGTTTTTTTCTGAAAAAGAAATAGATATAACAAAATAAATGAAAATGTTTCAACTAGAAACAAACACTAACAAACTTTAATAAAACCTTGAGAAGAAAACGTAATGCCGATGACCTACATATAACTTTGTAATATTCATGACTGTCCCAATATTTTATTGACACAACAACAGACAGCTGGTTGAAAAAGAAAAAGAATAAGTCAGAGTGTAATGATAGTGGTGAAGTCAACAGTATGACAGTGCATGGACACACATGTGGGCATACATCCTGTGCATTAGCCCACGAATTCACCTGTACTGTCACATTGACGTAGTTGATTATCATAGTTTGTGTTATCAGGTTGTTGTCTGTCATTCTTCATCAAACTGACTATCAAATAATGGGTAAAAATGAAATATTTGAGAACAATTAACATTTTTGAGAATAATTAAATTAATGACATATATGAGAATAATTAAGTCTCCCTTTCAAATGTTTTTCCCATTGAAGCAAGAGAAAGAGAATGATTTTGACGGATTCTGTTGTAAATCCTGTAGCTGTTGTTCGAAATACCCTGAGTTAAATTGTCTAAGGTTGCATGATTAGAAAACACATTCCCAATGTCATTTTCCTGATCTGGTAAGCGACGCTCTGATTGCTTGGATGAAAGGTTGTTTTCACGTGACCTGTCATGGAATGTCCCTAAGATCTGATTTTAATGAGATTGTAAATAAGGGCTGCAACGAATACACTATGAGGCAAATACAATTCATATCATGAATAAAGGGTAACGAATACGAATATTTATTCACGAATACAATAACAAGTCAGCAGTTGATCTTTAATTTATTACATTCAGTGAAAAATAACAACATAATTTATTTGACATGGTTGGATAATTATTAATATATTATACATTTATATACTGCATTTATCCAGGTACTAGTATCTGCTCAAATACGACAATGACCGGTGACCACAATACTGTTAAATTATATATATGAGTGTTGTCTTTAAAGAAATCTCTGCATATAATATGTTCTTATGGATATTTTTAGGTACTGGGTATGTAGATGCACATGATTGCATATTCGTAAATATTCAATTCTAGTGACCACGAATAACAAATTCAATTCATGAATGGATACGGTTCGATTCACTGAATACGCGAGTGAATCGTAACAGCCCTATTGTAAATATCTGAGACCTGCATCACTTAAGGCTTTCCTCCCACATTAAGCCGACATGCTGTGATATAACTTGAATACTATTAAAAGTGGAGTTAAACACTACTCACTCACAAACTTATAGGTCAATGACATTGGCCCTTTTGAATGGGAAGTATTGAAGGGTTTTTATTTATTACCTATCAATGTACAGAAACCAGGCATGAAAGTCAATGTGTCCTTGTCATTACCCTAATGTTACAATCTAAAGATTTAGGGGTCCCAAGATATAAATCCTATAAGAGCCAATGTCAAGGACCCCAGGATCCCCTTAATATCAAACACCATCTGTAATGATATATGTATTCCTCTGTGCTGCGTGTTTGAAGGTTCAACAAGACAAAATCAAGATACTAAATGGTACAAGTATCCACTTCACTGACAAGTAGGTTAATGGCTGTGCAAAACAAATATGTAGGATGTATCACAGTGAGAATGAAACTTTTACTGCTGTTTCAATATTCTCCAGAAAGAATATAACAATAAAAACATGCTTTTGTAATGCCATCCTTGCTCAAATAAAATTACTGTGTTCTTCGTATTAGCCCCTGACCAAATTCTGTGAGTAATCTTTATGTGAGAATTACATTTTATTTCATTTAAAATTGTGTTGAAACTGATCTGTATTTTGCACCCACTCATATTCTCTTTCCAATACAGTCGTGCCTCGTTTATACGGACACTTGCGTCATTTCACAATTCGTCCGTATAAACAAATTTCCATATAACTGAAACCATCTACTTACTGGAAGAGTTACTTCCCTTCAATTATGCAACTCATGACAGATGACAGAGCAAACAGATACATCCACTCAATCTTTATTCATACACGTTTCAAAAAGACTGTCATGGAAGTTTGAACTGTCACCAATTGTCGATTTTCCTATGGTATGTCCAAATTCAGTGCCATAATGCTTACTGATGGTTTCTAAACTTGCTGACGGGTGTTTTTCTTTAAACAGACAAATTTCCCTTTTTCCGCGTGCTGTAACTGCGTGTCGCTTACGTTTCGCTGGTTGACAGGCCATACTTACACAACGTACAATAAACAAGCTTGTCTCAAACGTAAGTCAGTGTCACTTGGTTAATTGACTTCTCATGAATCAAAGGATTACCACCAGCGGAAGGATTACCACCAGCGGAAGTGTATTGTCCGGATAAGTGAGACAATTTTGTGTGCATTTCAGCGTTTTGTGTATGAAAATGACCGTCCAGTTCCGGAAACTGAATTTCCGGATATACGGATAAATTTATATAGTATTTATTTCGTTTTGAATGAAAATCGTCCGGGAACCGAGGTTTCGGATATCTGAAGTCTGTATAAGCGGGGCATGACTGTAGTCTGTTTATGAATACAGAACATCTCCAATCAAAGAAATGATTTGTTCCTTATTAAAAAAAATCAATATAATACCCCAAAAACATGTTATGACAAGATCATAGTAGGAGAAAATGAAAAGATGAAAAAATGTTTTACATGAAGTAAAAATAACTTTTAATATTTTTATTAAATGCTTGCTCCACCATTTTAGGGTGCTGACATTAACAATTTCACTGATAATACAATGTATGTAAAACATCAGGGGGAAGATTTCAGTTAAAAGAGTCCTCTGTTTTTCAGAGTGTTAAAAACAATTGTTCCTCTAAAATCTCACCACTATATAGACAGTATGTCCAAGTCTAGACTATCAGTCTGTGTCTGCTACCGACCAACATTAATTCAACGACTGAGTACCATTTTTACCTTGTATTTCTATACTGATATAGTAAGTTGTTGTTAGTTAAGAATGATAATTCTAGTTGTCTTATGAAGGACCAAAGTATAGAAAATATCCTTTCAGGCACATATAGCCTACCACTGGCATGGCCCTTTTGCCTATCAAACAAATTCAGATTCTTCTTTATTTCTCTTTTAACCACCATCAGTGATACGTGAGCAAAAGTATAAGATATGATATATAAAATGTGAACAGTGAATCAATGAATCAAGATGACAGGGAGTATATATTAATATATAACCATGGATATAATGCAACTTCAGATTGTATTCTCTATATATAACTACTTACTTAAGTTTATATTAATAAGTGCTAGGAATCTGCCAAAATGCTTTAAGTCTTTGCATTTAGGAGTACATAAGAGGCGTTTCAGATTTGAAATGTTTGGGCAGTTTAGGTATTTATTATCGATATATTTTATACTTTGTTTTCTAAAAGCCTCACAAGAAATAAATGGTGAAATTCATCTGCAATGCCTGGTGAGTTACTGTCAGTTACTTAAGTTACATAAGCGATCTTCTCTAGGAGTATTGTTCTATCTTCCGGTCTCAGTGGGATGATGATAGTTTGATGTTCAAAATTTTAGTAGTGGGTATGATATTGATTTTGGGTAGCAAAAGGTACTTTTCAAAACTAGGTATATGTTTAAAATATTTGTAGTAAAATCCTTTAGAGCTTGTTGCGACTGTACTATGCCAAGTTTGATAAAATTGATCGTTCATTGGTCTCTCCACAGCTGTTACAATCCAGGCAAGTCGGGAGGAGGAAAAATGTTTCACATGAAGTAAAATAATACATGTATCAGTTTTTATACTTTTATTAAATTCTTGCTCCACCATTTGAGAGTGTTGCCATTGACAATACATAAAATATCAGGGGAAGATTTCAGTTAAAAGACTCCTCTGCTCTTTAGAGTGTTAAAAATAATTGTTCCTCTAAACTCTCACTACCATAGAGACAGTATGTGCGAGTTTAGACTTTCAGTTTGTATCTGCTAGACATTGGCCAAGGGACCAACACTAAATCAACCACTCAGTACCACTTTTACCTTGTATTTCTATACTGATATAGTAAGTTGCCGTTCTTTAAGAATGTTATTTATAGTTTTGTTTTATAGTTTTGTGACAAAAGTATAGAAAATATCCTTTCGGGCTCATGTGGCCTGCCACTGGTATAACCCTTTTGTCTATCAAACAAATAAATGGTATTTTGATGGAGACAATCCTCTTTGTGTATACTTGTAGGCTTAATCTGTGGGTATTAGCCTAAGAGCAGGCTTACTTTCAAGGGCAAGGGGTTCCTGACACATAGGGCAGAGCATTCCACCAGTCTGTACATATACAGCATTTATGGCTAAAGCTCTAGACTAACCAGTCATTTGTCAAATATGTATTGTAAACATCTGTACAAATATCTTGATAAATATTTTTGACTAAATATCTTCACCCCATTTCTACACATTCCAAAAGAAAATATATCAGTTCACAGTATGAATACACAATGCATTTTGAAAGTGGTCAAATGTAACAAATGTTATTTTTGGGATAACACTTTCTTAGTAAAGTACAGATTCTCATACTTTTTTGGGTTGAGTTCCGTCTGGGATTTGAACCCACACTTGCCAGAGTGAGTCACCTAATTGCCAGCACACAAAGACAGCGATCTAACCCATTCAGCCACCGAGGCTTCCACCAAATGAAAGTCTGACAACTGGTAGTCTAGATCATGTACTTTGAGTACCCCTCTGACAAGTGTAAATTGGCACGGCTCCCATGGCCGAAAGCTACGAATACACAATGCCATTCAGAAAGTGGTCAAATGTAACAAATGGTATATTTGGGATAACTCTTTCTTAGTAAAGTACAGATTCTCGTACTTTTTTGGGTTGAGTCCCGTCCGGGATTAGTTCGTTACAACCTTATATTAGCCACTATGAGGCTAATATGATTTGTATCACAAATATAGGGTAACGAATACGAATTTTAATTCACAAATACAAAAACTAGTCAGCATCTGGGGTATTATTTGTCATATTCAGTGAAACATTAACAACATTAATCATTTGGCATGGTTTGTTAATTATTTATATTTTATACATATATATACTATACTTATCCAGGTACTAGTATCTGCTCAAATGTGACAATGACCAGTGACCACAATACTGTCAAATTAAATATCATAAGAGTGTTGTCTTTGAAGAAATCTATGCATATATGTTCTTTTTAGGTACAGGGTATGTAAATGCATATGCTTGCATATTCATAAATATTTTATTCTAGTGGCCACGAATAAGAAATTCAATTCATGAATGGATACGATTTGATTCACAGAGTACGTGAGTGTATCGTAACAACCCTAATGGTCACTATAGGAACTGTCATGACATATGAGCAAGCACAATATATATGTGTATATGTTTGAGCACTGAACAGGGACCATTCCCCTGATACCTAATTATCATACAGTAAAATATGTTTATCACAAACACGCTTATAACAAACTGACGGATATTACAACCTTAATTATTCGTCCTGGCCATTTGCTGTATAGATGTTGTATATATGCTTATAACAAACTACGGTTGTAACGAACTAAATTTAGTGGTCCATTTGAGTTCATTATAACCGTAGTTTACTGTAATATGACAAAAGTATTTCAAAAGCTGATGGCTACACTCATTTAACATCACATTAGGAACTGCTACAAATGACACACATGTAACGTGTAGGTAGCAATCTGCCAACCAAATGATATTTAAAGATAACATTAAATCTGCACCAAAATACCACACTTTCCTGCTTCTGTGATTTGTAAGCAAAAGCAATAAAAGTGTCAATCGAACACATACATCCCTAATGAAGGTTCTGATGCCTGGATAGCGTGGTGAAGTTGATCAATGTCAATGTGTTTGCACTCACATTTGCCCAAGTTAATGCTCTGGCTTGATCAATATTTCAACAAAGAATTATATTCCAACAATGTAACTGAATTCACTCGATTTACTTTGCATTGATCAACAACCAAGAACTGTGTTGAACAATTCTTATTCTTAGTAATTTAGATTGCATGACCACCAAACATCGACAATCAATCATTAGGATTGCTAAAGAGAGAATGAAATATTTATATAAGATTAACCCCTTAACAGTTGTGTATGCTTCTCAATACAGGGTAGGGAAGGAGCAGGAAGATCACAACTCCATACTGTTATATTTGGTGTAGTTTCAGTATGATCAAAAAATTTGGGAACTATTAACCCAAATACAGCTCCTAGCATCATTTTCAGTAACATTTAGTGTTATTATATGGACAATTATTAGAGGAGTTTATTGGACAGAACATAATTTTTTTTTCAACTCAGGCTTCAAACAGTTAGGTAAAGTTAGAATTAGATAATGCCTCAGACTGTAGTTTGTTTAATCTGAATAGCTTCAAAATAACAAACTTAACTACTTTTTAGACCGAGACTGGGGCTTCAAACTAAAGATAAATAAAGTTAGATAAAGTGGCATTATGGTTTCACAGTTTTGCTGTATTTCATTTTTGAAAAAGTAATGCATAATGTGTGCTCTGTATCAGTACTACACCTCCATGTGGCCGATTCAGTGATCCAGATTGTTAGGTGGCATTGTCCCATGACAAACACACATGACCCTCCCATGCTGGGCGATTTACATGTATAGATAGAGAGAGAAGTTGTTTACATTTGTTCCACTTTCTGCACACAGTACAGTATGAAATACATTTTCCCTATTCATGTCAAAACCACCTTTAGCATGCTTAGGGTTATGAGACATGCAAACAACAAAGCAAGGGTTTAAAATTTGGACATTAAAACAAACCTTAAGTAAATAAGATTATACGCCATATACACTCATCCAGTTCATCATTCATTCATCAATCTTTTAAAACAGTGAAATCATTCAAACTTGTCAATTTGTTCCAATCAGTTGGGGTAATCAGTGCCCTGGCTCCATAGTTCTGAAACCTTGTTTTCCCAGGTGAGGAGATGCTTGACTCGTATGCATCAATGTCAAACTGAAACTTTGCGATTTTATCTTAAATATCAATTCTGAAACCTGGATAACAATTTATCAGACATAAAAACGACTATTTGCCACACTCTTTCTCAAAAGCTGCCCAAGAATCAATTGTTTTTATCATTTCAGTCCTAAATTAGTGCTGCCCTTGTTGAAGCATCAATAGTATTATGAGCTATTCTACCCATTTGATTTCCTGCTTGTACTATAAATAATGGTTGTTGATTTCAGAAAGGTATTACTTGGGAATAATAATTTCTAATCACTGCTTTGCATTGAACGGTTTGGTAACAGACCAATAAGGTTTTCTTGATCACATTATGCCAACCCATGTTCAGGTTAAGATTGAAGTCAAGCTTGTTTGATGTTAGTTACATCACAAAGGTGCCAGTGTCCCTTATGAAACTAGTTCTTTCAGCACAACAACAATCACATTGAAATTATTTTCTTTTTCAGACAAGACAGTTTATATAGGTTAGAAGGTTCTTACTTTATCAATCATGATCAAAAAACCTAAATGCATGACTTGATGAATATATTATATTTGATTAGATCTTCCAAAAGTTAGTAGAGCGCTCTATTACCTATTTAAAGACATGACCAGTTTGGAACTTTTACCACTTCAACAAAATCCTTGTCTAGTCAAATTTGTTCTGGTCTAGTTAGCAGTCTAATAATAGTTTATTTTTTCACCTGTATCTACCGTCAAGTGACAAGTCTGGGCTAGCAAACTAAGATTGTGAAACCTTTGTAAATTTACATATGGACATACATGTACTAATAATATGCCCAGCATGGCGTACCTGTGAGCACCTGCTTGAGGGTGCCATCATCTGTGTTACATGCATACACATGCCCCTCAGAAGTGCTCGCTAGCAAGATGTGGTGCTCTTTGGTGTGAAACTGCATGCACATTATAGCATAGCCTCCGTGTCTTGTTTTTCGTATCTCCTTGATCATTTTCCCCGTGTGTGATGAAAACAACTAGCAACAAGCAGTAAACATCATGCAACACATACAACAGACAGGACACATTAATCAGTCATGTTTTCACATTGGACAATAAATTGTACAGAGATATGTTCAACAAAGGCACAAAGAAATTCATCAGCTAAAACAGTAGTCTTTAGTTTGTTTTTTTTATCTATAATAATTATGTTTAATTGTAACATATGGATTATGCTTTTTTGGTGATTAAAACAATGATAAATGACGACAATGAAATGTTCACTTTGACTAACTATCTGTCATGCCCAAAACTCAAGGTGAAATTTTAACATTCAATGTTACATCAATTAATACATGTCACTGCACATTGTATCATAATCATGTTATTTTCAGCTCCTACCTGAATTGCACCATTTCTGAATCCGACCGCCAGCATTTCTCCATCATAAGAGTATCTCATAGCAAAGACACCACCTAATGTTTTATCCAGTTTCACTTCCTTCAGGACTTCCACTTTTGTGAATTCTCCTTGAATAATAAACACTCCAATCTAAACTGCATCAATGGTGAGTGAGATAAAGTTTAAGTCACGTTGGCAATATTTCAGCCACAAGTGACTTGATTTAATTATATTATATATCAAAAACTGTCATTGAAGGACAGTATAACCCATTCTCGCTAATCACCTCTGGCTGCTGAAGACTTATTCTACCCCGAGTCTTCATATGTAGAATATGCATGAGATATAGATACACACATACAACATATGTATCAGAAAATAGGGGTAGCGGGGTTCTGCTAGTGCATTTATCTAATGTAAATATTTCATTATTAACATCAGGGTTATGACAAGGAGTCCTTTGGACACCAAACACTGCATACATTTTGTTCATAATATCTTCATAAATATCAACTGTGTGGGGCATTAAACAACAAACAATATAAATATCTAAAAGGTAGCACAAGAAATTATACATCTTCAGTAATCAGTTCCAAATTAAATTAAAATGCACTACATTAATTGATAACTGACACCATTTTAAAGCTCAAGCCAACATGTTCAATGGTAAAGGTATCCACCCATAGGACTCGTAGGAAATAGTTAAAGTTTTAAGGTTTTGATATACCTACACATCATTATGAAGACCTGTAAATTAAAACAGATGGTATCTAAATTATAAGTTTATTCATCTAGGAAATAATTATGTTGAACCAAATCAATAAATAAATGATATATGTTAAATATTAATGAGAAAGAGTGAAAAATACTGAAGCTTACCTTTATCCATGGCCTTCCCTGCCTCCAGAGCATCTTCCAGCCTCTTCTTGTACACACTCTCTATCTGTCTGCGGGCCATTGTTACCCTGCTGCCACTGCCACCGACTCAAAGCGACCAACACACGGAAGTGAACTGACAGGTGAGATAATATCTCCTGGCAATGTGATCAGAGCAAAGCTGTCAGGAAGCTGGATCAGAAAAAAAGCATGGCTTGCTATAGCAACATGACAATCCATATTGGAGCCTCACTGGAGGCAGGAGGGTGGAGATGGTGGGAGCATCACAGAACTGGACTCAAACATTCACACATTTGTTATCTATGCCTCAATGTCTGTAGGAACTACATTGCTCAATAATGTTCACATAAATAAGCAAGAACCACAATACTCAATAGATGCACGGACCTATATACAAGTCTGTGATAGATGTAACCTTGGAAGGTATGGGTCCAATGATTATTGAATCAGAAAAACACGATGCCATTGTGTTGAAACTGGATGTCACAATAAGTTTCATTACATGGTAGCTTATCACACATTACTAGACTAACTACACAACAAATAATTATGAATAGTTTGAGGTGCAAACTTTCTGATGAGTTCAATATATTGCGCAAATTTGAGTCCAACATTGTCTATGGACTTTCAAAAATGTCCATAGTTGCTATCAAATACGTATAAGAAAACATACCAGAACAACTAACAACAGCGGAATGTGTAAAACACATATGCCAAAAATTACTTTTCACAGCCAATTGCAGATTAAATTTTGAGCAGTCCAAAGCCCCAGTCTTGTAGCATTATGTTTGGTCAAGTAAGCTCAGCTAATAATAGTACATATAATAACACTTAATTCCACTGAACATCGTGCTAAGAATCATGTTCGGGCACATAGTCTCAAAGGTTTTTGGCGTAGACTGAGTGAGTACAATACCAGAATACTGACTGGCCAAGACCCACCTCCAGGCTCCCAGGTAGTGTTTAACAAGTAATAATACCTAAAGCAGAAAATGTGTATTGATTGTGTGTTGATTGCGAACCTGCACCTTGTGTTATTGACTATATTAGCTACACTGTGGACAGAAATACCTCATCTTCTTGACCATGTCATTGTAATTAGTAGTGCATAGGCCCACTTGATCAGTAATGTCTCCCATTGCTCTCAGTGGGTTTAGTAGGATACTTTTGGTTCACAATTGGGGGTGCTCTGGAGGGTCTTAACTAGTACTGGGGGATTCAGAGGGTGTGTGCAAGGGGTGGGTATCAACCTTGTTTTCAGAAACCATAAGTGAGTGTTGGTTGGTTGGTTTGATGTTTAACGTCGCACTCACCAATATTCCAGGTATATGACAGCGGTCTGTCAAAAATTGAGTCTAGACCAGACAATCCAGTGATTGACATCATGAGCATCGATCCACGCAATTGGGATCGATGACATGCATCAACCAAGTCAGCGAGCCTGACCACCCGATCCCGTTAGTCGCCTTTTACAAGCATAGTCACCTTTTATGGCAAGCATGGGTTGCTGAAGACCTTTTCTACCCCGGAAACTTCACGGGTCCATAAGTGAGTGAGTTGGGTTTAATGCCTCTTTTAACAGTATTTCAGTTATATCACAGCGTGTCAGATTAATGTGGGAGGAAAGCCCGAAGTGATGCAGGTCTCAGACGTTTACCACTTCGATGAAACCCAAGAGAATGGGTATGGTGCTGACAAACCTAGAAACATAATCGGGGCGAACTTGGATTCGAACCCACAATCATAGGTTTCTGGTGTGCCCATGTGACGCAACTCTACACAGCGAATAGAAACCATAAGTGTCAGGGATGGAAATTAATGCTTGCCCATTGGCCTTAGGCTAGTAGAAATAATCTCAGGCTAATAGCCCGTAGGGCCTGTAAGTTTTTTTACACATGCTGTAAATTATGTATCATCGATCAAAGTTTTCTTATTTTATAAGGACTAGTAACCTTTTGCAAGGATAGCTGAAAATAATTCCACTAGCCCTGTGGGCTTGTTTGGTTTTGAGTTAATTTCCATGAGTGTCAAACCATTTCAGTCTTACTGTGTGTTTTTTCTTAATTTTGGGACCATGTGACCTAGGTGTGCATTCCCCTTTTCAAAATCAACCTTGGAATAGTTCCATGTTGGAGTCATTTCATATACAGCTGACAGTTCTGAATCAACTAATACATGTATGTCAAATTCAGATTATTCATGAAGCAATACATGACTGGCACAACTTTCACAAACTTGTAACAAAACAATCAATGGCAGACTATTCCAGCTTGTGTTCACTCAAACTTTGATACAAGATTTTACCTTTAATCTACTATGCCTCAACTACTTGGAATAGATCTCAACTACTTTGTATAGAATTACAGGTGTAGATTTATCAACTGGCAATAACACCCTCCTCATATAGCACTCCAACCTTGAAAGGAACCTGACAGCCCCATTCACGGTAACATGTTGATGAGTGTCCCTGTGACCTCCCAAAGTGCTGAACACTTCTTTTAAAGACTGGTATTAAAGTGTAATTAAACAACAACTAGGTAATAATACATTTCACTTTGTCTTATACTTGAAACATGCCCATTTGTATCACATGCTGGTACTTGTTGCAGTGAATTTTCTGTATAGGGGTATTTCAAGAAACCTATGCTAATATATATTGGTATTTAAAATAAAACAAAGAAATCATCAATTTTGTACTTCTTAATTATTAATTGATACTCCTAATACATGCACATATTCCAGAACAATTAACTTCTGCACTGTACAATACTGAATATAATATACTGATAACGCATGCATGTACATATTATATTTAGCTTATTAGTTAACACTGGATTCTATAAAGTAATTTTTAACAAGTACAGATAAGTTCTGAAAGCATTGAAATATTATTAATTTCAGCACATGAATTAATATCCCAATGAATTTTTAACATTGTAACAGGAAAACGATCATAATTAACAAATGTAGGTTCTTTCTTGTGTGAATTTTAATCTATAATGATTTCGACTAAAACATTTCCCTATTGCATCACAACATCAAGATATGATACACCATATATGTCAATCTCTATCTGTACCTATTATTCCACATTTTGTTTTATAATAATGTATAATGAAGCAAGTTGTATCATGAATAAAGTTAGATGATGCCATTGTTTGAAAATTCTTGAACCAGTCACTCGTCTTACTGAACCGTTTTGTATCAGATTACCGTATTCAACGTAATAAGCGCCCAGGGCTCTCTCAAAATTAGAAATAGGGGGCTCTTATTGGAATATTATTTTGGTGAAAAAAAACAGAGTTGAAAGTTCGTAAATTTCGTGGTTCATGCTGACAACCTGAAATGTTTATATACGACATGTATATTTTTCCAGGATTTAATTGCTCATAATGAAGGGTGCATATAACACACGAGTGCGTATTATACACGAATAAATAAGTCTTGTGTACATTGATGGAAGGATTGCTAATTGAGATTGTTCACTAGCCAATATATTAGCAAATATCGCCGTGGGCGCTTATTAGAGCGGGGCGCTTATAACGTCGAATACTGTAACTGTTTTCTTATCAAAATATTCATAACATCTAGAGTTGAAGGTACAACTATCAAAACAGATCAATTCAATCCACAATGTTTCCTGACTGCATTATTTCCTGTTTTGCATGGCCTGATCTTGAATCAGATTAAGCATATGAAAGACTTGTGCGAATAATTAATACATCAGATTGTGACAATATTATTATTGATAGTTTCATAAATGTAAATGTGAATAAACTGCAAATGATCATTAATCACATTAAACTGGGATAACAAATACTAGTTTGTACCTGTTCAAACCGGTTAGGAATTTCAATCAAACTGTATCCAAACAATCATGCGGTCCTAACAAAATATAATATCGTGATTTCAGTAATTTCAGTTTACAGTTGCAGCCAAGTAAAAATACATTAATCAATCCTTAAACCATGACATGTTCATAGTCAGTATGTTGTGTCATATTAATTTATTAATTTCAAGATAAATAATACAGCAATACTGAACCTGTGAATATAAAATATTTCTTCAACAATTTTCCAAACAGTATTCCTCAACATGTACTAGAGGGCTGACTGGATATGGCTTTTAGTCACCATGTCAGTCGGCTCCCTCTCGTACAAGCTCCCAAATGCAAGTATGGTAAGGTCAGCAGTATTACTGTACTGACTGTAGATCTATTCAGTTCTGTTAAAGAGCATAAAATTCCCATACATAACTCCATTAGTGTTTCCTTCAAGGCCAATACATTACATGGCATATCATTTCACCCAGTTGTCAAAGCTTTACTATGCGTATTATTGCCGCTTGTGTGGCCTGACCTATGTTGCTTCAATATGCACTGGACTAGTTTAGCTGATCTATTCAACCAGACAAAATGTCAGATTATCTGTTGATGTATACAGCTATGACGCTTGTGTTAACACTGTAATATCAATGGTAAACGGCATTCAGTGATTAGCAATCTTGATTTCCAATAAGATATTATCATATCGTTTCAGATGGTATTTATTGTAATCCAAAACTATAATGATACTTGTGTTAACACTGTAATATCTTTTGACAAAGGGCATTCAGTGATTACCAAAATCAATCTTCATTTCCAATAAGATATGATAGTATCATTTCAAAAGGTATTTATTGTAATCTAGAACTATAAGATAACTAGATCACTGGGGTTTCACCGGATGCAAAATAGTGCACTGGGTGACCCAATACACATAGATATTGAGAATGGATGCAAATAATATGCACTGGAACCCTGTGGGTCGAAAAATTATCTGTTTGAATCCTTGGAACTTGTTCACATGTGGTGTGCCTCTTATCATAAATGACATTTCTGTTCTCATTAGAAACACAATTAAAAGAACACCATTTCTGATGTTTCTCACTCAATCACTGAGTCTTGCTTGAAACAAAGAAACCACTTTCTATGATTAATGCAAGGACCCACTAAATTTATAGAATATCTTGCACACAAAAACAGACAGTCCCAGGCAAATCCTTGATCACTTTAATTAATATAAACAGAATAAGGAAAAGCACAAAAAGGCAATTTACCAACTATTAGTTTGAATAAAATAATATTACCAGACAAACTGTTGACATTCTTGTGTGTACAAGAGGTGCAAGGAACTGTTATGTTTTAGCATATTTGTTTCATTTAAACTATACGATAACACGTAATACCAGTAATGTTTTATCCATTTACATTGACTCCATTGTTGTAAGGAAGGTAGTGCATATACCAGCCTGTGAAGTATTCATGATGTCTGGCTAATAACATTGATGAAAGACAAACTAGTACAAAGATGTGTCATAAATGAGACCCCATTCTGGACCACATTGTATACTTTTTTACACCACAAACGATAATCCAGCAATATCACATATAACCAAAACTGGGTAAGACAAAAAGGTGTTTGATAGTATGGTCCCATGCAGATTGGGTATGTCACACAATGCAGCTGAGTTAAGCATGTGTTACTGGGAGCACAATCTCACATAGGGTGAGTGAGTGAGTTGGGTTTAACGCCGCTTTTATCATTATTCCATTTATATAACGGCGTGTTAGCTTAATATGAGAGGAAAGCCCGAAGTGATGCAGGTCTCAGACATTTACCACTTCAGTGAAACCCACGAGCACGGGTGTGGTGCTGACAAACCCAGAAACATAATTGGGGTGAACCGGGATTCGAACCAATCATAAGTTTCTGGCGTGTCCAAGGGACACAACTCTGCACAGCGAATCGCAGCGCTTTAGACGACTGGGCCACCCGTGCCCCCTTGGTGCTTTAGGTCATACAGCTAGTTCAGGGTGACCAACACAGTAATGCTTCCAGCAAATATGAACAGTAAGCAAAAGGAAGTTAGAAATGAGTTATATGGGAGGGATTTACTTTACAATATATTTGAATGTTCGTTACTTTCTTCTCCTACTTCTGTTTGCAACATATATTCCCACTAAGAAATGTACAATGAATACATTGTTGCAATGTATTTTTCTCAAAACAATATTTAGGCTCATAGTTTAAAGAAATATCTGGTTTTGCAGCATGAGGTGAAAAGATAGCTAGACTCCCCCTGAATATCATATGGTCCCTCCCTTAACTAACTTGACGGCAGCTGTGATTGTTAATCAAGTAAACTAAGCTATTTTAATTGAACATTGTGTGAGTGAGGCTTTATGCAGATTTTCATTGTTTGACTTTCACATATATACACTGGTGTTATACATTGTTCTTTAGAGCAAACACTTGTACAGTAATATCGCCATCATTGACCCCTCAACATACTGCTGACCTCTGTCCTTGACAGTCTGTTGCATAAGCATTCTACTCGTCTTTACCAACGTTTTCTTTCAGTATGATTTCAGTACATATTTAAGTCTTGAATAGCCACAAATATTTGCTTTGTAGACTGAAAGATGTTTATACCAAATTCTGGGTTTTAACTCGTGGCCTAAGTCAGTGTGCATGCTATCATGCGATGATACACTATACAATACTTAAAAACCTGACACTTGCAATGTTAGGAAACATTTTTCCATTATCAAAGAGAATGAATAGAAACAAACCGATTCATGACACAGTGGCTTGAGACCTCTTATACATACTGCTACAAAACATAATTCTCAAATGAATCCTTATACAAATTTACATGTCACACTTTTATATATACAGCTTTTCTAAATAAGGTTGGTCCTTATGTTTCATTGGACACACAGCAAAAAAAACCATGTTCCTTTACAGGTTAGTAAGCAGTCAACACCATGACAGGCTCTAATGACCCAGTACGTTTTACCAGACAGATTGTTTTACATTTCAGAGTTTTACCTAAAAAGTTGGAAACTAAAATGACCACTATTGTTCACCATACCTGAGTATACAAAATATCACTGATTTATGTAGAAGTTACTCCTAGCTGACACACCTGCTTGCTTACTGGACATGTACCATAACTGAATCTACCATCTATATGTACTAAACATGCTGGAGACATGAAATATCCATGTTAATATTTTGTCATTATTACACTTTCGCAGAAATGGTTTTGTAAAGTTACACACAAGGAGCACTTATGATATTGTGAAGTTACAGGGAGTGTCTGTCTACAGTAGCACGTGTCCCTTTATCAACTTCTCCAGATATCGTATGTGATCATACATACCTATGGAATGAGCCTCTCGCCGATAAACTCCCTCAACACTCAATAAGTTCAATCCACTGTGCGGCCTCAGGGTTTTGTTTACTTGTGCACATTAGCAGCTGAATGTACGGTCACCAGGAATTCACTTAAAGTAAACAGTGCCGATAAACAAGTTTAGGCAATTAATCTACCTGGTCACAATGCGCACATGCCCTACACCCAAGTGGATCAGTGTCTTCATACCATATAGAGATAGATGTAATTCGAGGAAGAAATCAACTTGCTTCACATTACACAAACCTTCCCTGCTTGATGCCTTGCATAAAATCTTTGGAAGGGTTTGACAGTCACATATTCATAATCACATTTATATTCACGGTCCAAAACACACAGTGTTTACCAGCTGAGCCTGAAGACAGAGAGAATCAACCCGCCTGGACTTGAATCTGCTCAGCTGGGGATTACTTTGTGTCCATGAGGTCAGGGGTTATTAGCCGCATTCAGTCCTACACAGTGCTTTACAATGTACGTCAGTAATACCCATTTTAACATTAGCAATATAGCAATATGATTGTACATTGATTATTTGTGTTCGTCTCATGCTATTTTCAAGTGAATGACATTTATATATTTTCTGTTGCTATAAATCTCTGGCTCCTTCTGTCATATGAAATCTTATGGCACTTATTTCATAGGTAGCCGAAAATGTTAATACCATAATGCTGATGGGTACCTATAAAAACATCAATTGCAACATGATGAGCACCAATTCTATATTATATCTTTTATAACTTGACACTAATAAAAGGCAATTTAGGTGCATTTCAAGATAATGCTAAAGCATGATGAAAAACAAATGAACATTTTCTAAATGAAATTTCCACCCATGTTTATTTTAATTAGTTCTCTTTAACATGTTAAAAATATATTTTTCCATAGAATTGTATTTCGCTGTCATTTATAACTTTAATCTATAAGTGCATTTCAATAACATAAAAAAGGGTAAACTAATTTGTTTTTTAATTGGATCTGATCAGTTAACTAATAAATAAAAACATTTTCTATAAGGTTTCCATTGTTGCCCTTACTGAAATATCTTTTAAGTGAGCAATGATGTTTTAAAGCAGATTGAAACTGTGGGAGAGCTGCAATCAGTAATAGAAACCACTGGTGGAATTATCCACACAATGTTTCAGCCTTCAATTCTAATGGGGCAAAATAAAATATAACTAAATTAATTGTGAAAATTAAGTCAGTTCTTAAAATGGAGCCTGACAATCCAAGAATGGTAACATTTCAGCAGGATTGTGAATGTTTTCAAATTTAGTCAAGGATCATATTTATCTCCACATAGAGAGCTCCACAAAACATAGAACATCAACTGAACTCCTTATAAAATTAAATATTGCATGAACAAACTAAAATTTTATACAGGCAGGTGATTAATAGCCATTCATTTCCTCAAATATACTGACCATGCCACTAAAATACTAAACATGACATTAATTGTGCCTTGTTGAAATAACATGTTGGTTTTCAGTCTGTGGAAATAATTTTAAAAAGTAGACACAATTTTATGGATAACAACTTCTTTAATACTGTAAAAAGCGATGTTTCGGTATAGATCCTTATACCGTTGTCAAGCAAGACTGCTTGACAACGGTATAAGGATCTATACCGAAACATCGCTTTTTACAGTATTAAAGAAGTTGTTATCCATAAAATTGTGTCTACCTTGTCACCTGTCAACTTCTAAATAATGCCTATCAAACAAGCAATAATTTTAGTGGATGCGGATGTACCTTTATTACATTGATAATATTTTATTTCAGGGCTGTTTGTACCTTTGGACTAGTTTATAATATTTATTAAAATATTTCAGTAATAATTCAAAATGTAATTATGCCATAGATCTATATATATTCACACTTACTATATTTTAATGCACACACTTATATCGGGAACATATATTAATTTGTGCACCAATCACATGACCATAAAGAAAAGCGCTTAAATATTTTTCACGACTTGCAAGCTCAGGATATATATATGTATATTTTTAATGAAAACCTTAATTTAGAATTGATGACGATATTTTAAAATTGCAAAGTGCAGCTTTAAAAAACAGACACACACAATTATGTAGAAATTGTAGTTTTAGTACCCAACATTTCACTCAAACAATTTCCAAAGTAATGAATTTGTAGTTGTACGAAGAATATCGATTTTCATTACCTATGTATCCTTTGGCCCCGAAGAATACAATGATTATGAATAGCTATGAACTCCTGTCAGTGCCTGTGCCTGTGAGCCCCACACATGACCTATTTCGTAATAAGTTATGTCCAGAGTCTACCTAAGTTTGAAACAAGGGCAGCGACAAACACATAAGTCATAAAACCACTTCTTATTATTATTCCAATTTATAGGTCTTTTGACATGTGTTTTTTACAGCATCATGTGTCGTCTCCAATTCGGTGTCATACCTGTCTGACCTCTTTTGTCTCTCTAGAGAGTTTACAATCGTATTTTAAACGTAAAAGGGTAATAAAACTTTAAGACTCACATATCAAGTCTTTTGCTTTGAAGATGCTTACAATAAAAGCTCAATTGAAAGTAAAATAACAAACAGGTGCTTGTCGCCAAGTTCCACCAGTACTATCGTTAGCAGACGAAAAGTTTCAGCCGGATCGACAGCCGACGAGTTGTTGTAAAACCAAATATGATTGGTCAAAATCTGATTGGCATGCGTACATTATCCGGAAGTTCCTAAAGAAAATGGCGATGGTTTTCGGAAATCATGTGAAGTAGATAAAAACCTTAGGTTACAAGGATAAATGAAAAAGATGAAGAAAATATAGTTGCAGGATTGCATGTTTTCGCGTAGTAGAATATAGAATCTAATTTGATTCTGAATGGACCGAGGGTTTTAGGCGTTATCCCTATTCATCAAAATGTGACATCGTAAATTCACTTTGCCCTTGAAAAGTTGTAGAATATATTTATTGTTATTATCAAACGTTCTTCATCATTCATCATGGGATCAAGAAGAGACGTGAGAATATTACTCGTGGGAGATGGTAAGTTGCCAAGTTAACGCACACCTGACAACTTCCCCCAGAATCCACAAATGGAATAGAAAAGTTCGTTTAAATGTCCAGTCCTATTGTCGAGTCTCATGTCAAGAGAGATCTTTATAATACTAGGTGTAAGAGACTGTTGTCTTGAACATAGTCACATTTGACTCACCCAGTCTTAGTGAGACTCTTACGCTGAAAGAATTTTGTTTCATAAACATGATAGGGTAGGTATGATGATGTTGCATCAGCAAGTCAAAGATAATATTGCATGTGATTACCCAGCTCACAACATCACGTTACCACGTTGTGGTAACATTATGTTTACATTGTCACAATGTTGTGATGTTACATCCATACAATGTTATTCTGTGGACTCCCATGTATGTTGACAACTTTGTGGGATAATGTTTTAATACGTCATTTTCACATCAACAATATTTGGGAATGTTGTATTCAACATTGTGGGAATGTTATAATTTTAGGTTGTGGGAACATTGTACTTTATGTTGTGTTAATGTTATGATATTACATCCATACATCATTATTCTGTGGACTACCATGGACGTCATAAAGACGTGAAATAACGTTGTGTTAGAAGGAAGAAATACGTTGTGACAACGCTATCTCATGACCATACCAGCTAAAATGTTTTGGAATATGTTTTTGTCACATGAATGCGTATGGTTCAAGATACGTTTTACCAATGTTTTGCAAAAGAACCAGGGTGTTGTAGAACCCAGTTAACAGTTAGGTTGTGTTTTGGTGACACTGTTCAAAACGTAAAACACCAGCTACCTGTTAACAAAATACATATGACTATGTCCCACAACCTCGCAGTACAATGACACACAATCAACCTTCATTTTGTTGCCCCTTAGGCAGCTGTTTGTACAAACATGGATTATTGGGGACTTACTCTAAACCAGAATCCAAACGTGAATAGATGTATTAAACAGGCATTGTTACTAGCTACGATTCACATCACTGTGTAGTTTATAGCTCTGTAGCCAGACTCGTACAGTATTCAATCTTTTTGTTCTATCATTGTCAAAATCTCTCAGTGAACCAATTATATGAAATTTGATTATATGACTATCATGAAGCAGACTGTATAATGTTGCACCAGTTTTAGAAACGTAGTTACAAAAACTTGAGATTTCCGATGCACAACATTTTCACACCATAAAAGTGCATCGTTGTTGGAACTTTGTGATAAAATGTTACACAGTAACATGATAACCTTGTGAAAACGTTATATCTCAACGTTACCAATCCACAACATTACCACAACGATGTGAAAACGTTACGCTGTTTATGTTGATTTTCTTGGCATGGGTACCACAAGAATGTACCTCGAGTACAAATCCTGCAAAAAGGAAGCCTACCTCCAATTCCAATATATGTACCTTGTGCATTCAATGCTGTGTCACTGTTGTTTGTGAAAAACGCCCCTTTACCATCCTTAGAGTTTGTTGTGAGTCAAGATAAATAAATCTATATTTTAGTGACTTTCACCTCAATGAAATGTGTAAATCATGTGATGATACGATACACGATACGTTTTTCTCTGTATCCATAAAGACATACACCATGTACACATGCTGAAATAAATTACTTACTACTCGTTTAATGATCCCTGGCATTTTTATCAGTCAGATGTAGGAAAATGTGTTGTAATAAGCATTTCAAATTCACAAAAAAGACATCACACCTTAATCATGACCATTGTCCGCATGATCATTGATTCATTCCAGACTCAAAGGTAATTACCTAAACATGCAGTACGCTACACAACACCATTTCATTAATTTACTGTTGCAGGACCCTCATTTTGCCTACAAGGACCCTTAAAATTAAATTATTGGGGTTCCCCTGAACCCCCACTTTTGTAAGTCAAGGTAAAACCCTGTGTTTGTGGATGGGACTGGGGTATGGATTTTACCCTACAGCATACGATTTAGGGATCCCCAGAATCGTAATATTGTACTTAAGTTTATTTCAAACACTGAACATATTAAATGACCATGAACTGAGATGACACCTGACCATGCTCATCGGAAATGTCTGAGATAGGTAAGGTTAATTACAGATTGTCTTAAAAAATTGAAGGAGAAACATTGTGGCCTATTGTATACCACAGTAACATTGTTAAAGATTTAAGGCAATAAGACAGGTTCATGTTGGGCTTGTTGGTAGAATATTCTTCAATATCATTACAATTGTGGAGAAAAAACTTCAGGATATTCTGAATAACAATTAGTCCGTGTCCTAGACTTGCAATCGATCTAAACCCATGATACCCAATTTTCCTTATTTCCAGCTGGGGTTGGCAAAACATCCTTGATATTGTCACTTGTAAGTGAAGAGTTTGCTGAAGATGTGAGTATTTTATGATTATTGATCAACATAGCCCATTTTCAGTAGTTTTGTGATTATTTTAATCAAATATATAAGAGCTGTCAAATTCAGAGAGAATCCTTAAACTGAAATCTTGTTAGGCAAGTTTGAGGAAGCAACATGTAAAGCTCTGTAAGATCTTGTACTTTTATCTGAAATCTGCATCTTGTTATTATTGTTATTATTGTTATGTGGTATATTATAAAAAGTAATTCAGTTTTACTGGACACAATGTTTTCTAGTCCATTGATGAAGTACACAACATTTTGCAAGGTACCATCCCGGGCAGAGGAGATCACCATCCCAGCTGATGTAACACCAGAACACGTACCTACGCACATCGTAGACTACTCAGGTAGGTTCTCACCCAACACAATGAGCAGAATAATGATCATGTATCATGTGCATTGTATCACGATGCTTCCTAAAGAGAATTTGTAGAATGACTTTAAGCATTGATCTGCATCACTCACTCACTCACTCACTCACTCACTCACTCACTCACATGAACCTCATTAAAATCAGATCTTAGTTTTCGCTACCGCTAAACAAAGATCTGAGGACATCCTATTACGGGTCATGTCAGAACGACCTTTCGCGAATTTTGACCGACAAATGAAATGACTGACAAGAAATCGACATAGCCAATCAGAAGGCAGCTTTCTCGAGCTTTACAACACTAGTTTTAAACTGGCGACTACGCTTCGAAACATATTTTGACGTATTCTCAATTAAATAAAATGATAAGAAGAACATTCTCGAATGGCTTATAGATGGCCTAGATTGTATGGATATAATCATAAAACCCATTACTGTCGTTCGGAATACCCCGTGTTAAATATTTCATGGTTGCATGTTAGAAAACACATTCTGACTGTCACTTTCATGATCTGGTAAGCGGCTCTCTGATTGGTTGGATGAAAGGTCGTTCTGACATGATCCTTAATGGGATGTCTTCAGATCTTTGTTTAGCGATATCGAGAACTAAGATCAGATTTTAATGAGATTGTGGAAATATCAACTAGACACTTGATGTCATCAGCCATGTTGCTGGTCATTTGCCAGAGGGTTGTTCGTGAAGTTGTCCCAGAGTTATTTCCCTTACCCAAACCATTCATACAAATATTGTCGCCAGAGGGCTGTTCGTGAAGTTGTTGTCCCAGAGTTATTATCCTTACCCAAACCATTCATACAAATATTGTCATTTGCAGCTCAAGAACAAGATGAAAATGTGCTTCAAGAAGAAATTCTTAAGGTTCGTTCACAAATTGTACATTTATGTATTGTTACACATGTTGTTAAGAAAACTGTTCAGGTCAATGACAGCAAGTAGATTGTTTTATCTGTCACAGTGCTTCTTTCAGTTGGTTGCCCTGATCAAGGATTTTAATGACACTTCATATAATAATGTATTATTGGTGATCCATGTCTGGAGACAATCTCGACAGTGAATTCCATTTTCTGTTAAAAACTGTTATAGTGTTAGTCTTTTGAACTTTTTAGTTGTTTCTTTGATTGTTTGTTGTTTAATGCTGCACGCAGCAATATTCCCGCTTTATGATGGCGGTCTGTAAATAGTTAGTCAGGACCAGACAATCCAGTGATTGACATCATGAGCATCAAACCATTGGGATACAATGACAGGCATCAACCAAGTCAATGAGCCTGACCACCCGTTCCCGTTAGTCGCCTTTTATGGCAAGCATGGGTTGCTGAAGACCTATTCTAACCCGGATCTTCACAGGTCGAACATTTCAGTTCTCTGAATACCATTGAAGTATAGATTTACATTAAGTATTAGCATCAGATGGTTAATCAGTGGACAATAGAACTGGCAATCCAAACAACATTACTCTTTCATAAAAAATATGGTTCTCAGTAAGTATATGTTTAATCCATTTTCCAAATCATTGATTATCAGTATGCATAATTTGGATAGATGCATACTATTTGATATTTGTATTTGATAGTTTCAACATGCTCAAGACTAACATAACTAAAATGTGATTCGAGGTAACTAAGTTAGTCATGTGTTAGTGAAGGCTGTGTTGTTAGCATGGTTAGCATATGACATAAGTCCAGGACAATATGTTCTTGGTGCAAATCAACATAGATTATTTCTGAATGATTTCACTAGGCTCAGAAAACCATGGCCATGGTGTGTTTAAGGGTGTGAAGGAAGACCGGTTCTATTATGCTGTGTAACAAACACCTTTGTGATATTACACTTGTAATTTCCCCCTAATATCTGTGTTTGTTCCAGGCGAGTGTCATCTGTGTGGTGTATTCTGTCACAGACGAGGATTCCATTCAGAGGGTAGGTGCTACTATGGGTCTTTGACAGGCATTTGGAAGTGATACACATAAGGAAGAGAATTGATGGATGTCAACTTCTTTACTTTGAGGAACACACTCCTTCAGCATGTGAATGAATGTCATGAGGCAGAGGGCATATATATGTACCTGTAAGGGCAACAAAATAAATAAGATAACAAAGGGTGGAAAATGACAATGGGTGGAATTGATGGATGTCAACTTCTTTACTATGAGGAACACAATGTTTCGGAGTATATGCTTACTCCTTCATCATGTGAATGAATGTCATGAGGCAGAGGGCATATATATGTACCTGTAAGGGCAACAAAATTAATAAGATAACAAAGGGTTGAAAATAACAATGGGTGGAAACTAACAAAGGAAGCCAACAGATGATTGGTGCTGATAGGTGATTAGCAATAGACAATGGAAGCCAATACTTAAGTAATCAGAGCTAGGTAATTTGTAATGAACACTGGGCAAATGGGGGTGGGGGGTAATTAGCACTGATAGGTGTAAGAATGGACATAGCAAGGGGCAAATTGAAGCCAGCTCAGCAATTTGCCCCGACAACGTTCAAAGCAATATGTCCAAGCACACTGGTGCTGTGAATCCAGTTCACCATGGAGACCGACCATATATTCTCTTCCTTAGTTTGCTACTATGACATCTTTGTATGAATACATATCAAAACCTTTTGTCAAAACCACAGTTCCCCATGATAAAGGTATTCATGCAACTAGTAGAAATTATGAAGGATGAAATTGTGGAAAATTTTGTTTCCAAGGCTTTAACATATCAGAGGATATTTGGTTTTTTGTTGTTTGCAAGAATCATGTTATAAGTGTAATAATATATGCATTACAGTTATCTAAAGCCTATTCAAACATATGTTTCCCTTCCATTTTAGTTGACCATGTTCTGGCTGCCGTTACTGCGTGCAAGTCTGGGGGATGAGCACCGAACCCCAGTCATTCTTGTGGGGAACAAAGTTGACCTAGCAGACTTTCCATCTCTAGAGGTAATACATTAACCAAGAGTTATCTCCCATTTGTGAACCTGAACCAAACATGGCAGCTGACAAGCTGTACTCTGGAGCATGTTGTGAAACTGGATATTTCATAAAAGTTGGCACACCTCTCTAATTCTGAATATGACAAAGACTAACCTGTAAGATAAGTTTGCTGTATTTCTGAGACAATATCCATGTTGCCATGAAGGGTGATGAATGTTGCTGGGGAATTATTTTGTTTGTTGAAGCCGATTATTCATTATAATGGAGTTTCTTTTTTTAGGAGTTAACTTTATCAAATAACAATGGTTATTAATTATCATAATTCATTTTTTTCTTTCGTCAGACCTCAATTTAATTACTTTTGGTGTTTCTAGGGTAACAACATTAAACGTCCTTCATTTTGACAATACTTTCTTCTTGCCAGACAATTCTTCCCATCATGAACGACTTTGCAGAAGTGGAAACATGTGTTGAAGTAAGTATCTAAACACTTTGATTGAACAGATAAGCCTCAAGATGACACCCTGGAAGTATTAGCAGGAAGGAACAGAATCAACCATGTTAACAGTAGTACACCACTTGAAGTATTTAGAAATACATTCACCACTATCTTCTGATTTGATTCATATCAGCATATAATATTTGAAACAGATTTGTAACATTTGCATAAAGATGCTGCAAGTGCATACACAGATTCAAAGCATACCAATCATGTTGACGTATAAAAAACATGAAACCAAAGCATTGGGTGATGTGATATCACTAAAATAATTAATTAATTTTTGTCTGACAAACACAAATTGTTTCCCAAATTATGTGCTAACATTTTTGTATCCCACTTTACTAAGGTGTACCGTGCTTGAAATGTGTTTCACTTTGACTTTTGACAGTGTTCTGCACGGACTTTGAAAAACATCAGCGAAGTGTTCTACTATGCCCAGAAGGCAGTCCTACATCCCACAGCCCCTGTATATAACCCTGAAGAGAAAGAGGTAGGTGCTGCATTACTGTCACAGGGACAGAAGGGCTATGTCTAACTGTACTTACAGAGTTGCGTCCCTTGGACACACCAGAAACCTATGAAATGGTTCGAAAACCTGGTTCACCTCAATTGTTATTCTAGGTTTGTCAGCACTATACACATGCTCATGGGTTTCACTGAAGTGTTTATTTGTTTGTTTTTTGTTTAATGCCACATTCAGCAATATTCCAACTATATGATGTGTTCTGTATAAAATCAGGTCTGTACCTGACAATCCAGTGATTGATATCATTAGCATTGATCCACGCAATTGGGATATGATCTCATGCATCAACAAAGTCAGCAAGCCTTACCACCTGATCCCTTTTGTCGCCTCCTGCGACAAGGATAGTCGCCTTTTAGGGCAAGCATGGGTTGCTGAAGACCCCAGATCTACCCCAGATCTGTCCATTGAAGTGTTAACCCTCCCACATTAAGATGTCATGCTGTGATATAAGTGTATACTGTTCTCAGCGCTGTTAAACTCAACTCACTCACTACAATGTGAGGCCTTTTACATCTCTTAGAGATGTCCCTTTCTGATTAAAGACTTAGATATGAGATACCACATTGTTGGTCAAATGTTTAAGTCAGTGGTAATATGAGGTCCTAAAACCTACTTCACAATCCGGACAGTCACTTATTAGGAGCTTTTCATTCTCTCTAGTTAAATAGGTGTTGAAAAAAGTGTTTATTTTTCAGTTGACGCCTGGTTGCAGGAAGGCTTTAACAAGAATTTTCAGAGTAAGTGTGCTTTTGACATTATGTTGTGAGTATCATTATTAATGTGGATGTTTTCAAACCTGGTTTTCATTCTTGCTGACAGGTTTCACCACGTCAACTCTCTATCTTATACTAATCAATCACCAAGTTTACAAATTGATATTATTTACAATTTATATTTCAGATTTGTGATTTGGACAATGATAACAACCTGAATGATCAAGAAGTGAACGCCTTTCAGGTAGGAATGAACAGACTCAAGTAGCTGTTGACAAACATGAGATGAAAGGTTTATAAATCTTCATTATATCTCGAAGCAGACCTGCCATCCTCATCACTTACAGACTGCCGCAGTGATGTAGTGGATAGAGGTCTGCCTGGAGAGAGGAGGTTCTGTAGTTCATATCTCGAAGCAGACCTGTCATCCTCATCACTTACAGACTGCCGCAGTGTTGTAGTGGATAGAGGTCTGTCTGGAGAGAGGAAGTTCTGTAGTTCATATCTCGAAGCAGACCTGCCATCCTCATCACTTACAGACTGCCGCAGTGTTGTAGTGGATAGAGGTCTGCCTGGAGAGAGGAGGTTCTGTAGTTCATATCTCGAAGCAGACCTGTCATCCTCATCACTTACAGACTGCCGCAGTGTTGTAGTGGATAGAGGTCTGTCTGGAGAGAGGAAGTTCTGTAGTTCATATCTCGAAGCAGACCTGTCATCCTCATCACTTACAGACTGCCGCAGTGTTGTAGTGGATAGAGGTCTGTCTGGAGAGAGGAAGTTCTGTAGTTCATATCTCGAAGCAGACCTGTCATCCTCATCACTTACAGACTGCCTCAGTGTTGTCGTGGATAGAGGTCTGCCTGGAGAGAGGAAGTTCTGTAGTTCATATCTCGAAGCAGACCTGTCACCCTCATCACTTACAGACTGCCGCAGTGTTGTAGTGGATAGAGGTCTGCCTGGAGAGAGGAAGTTCTGTAGTTCATTCACCTGGCCACGTCATACCATAAGTCATTAAAAGATGGTACTTGTTATTAGCCTGCATGGTGCTCGACTTTAAGGGGATCTTACAAGCACTGGTCAGCTTGGAGTCAGTATACTGTGTCTGTGTGGAGTTTCCATGTTTAACTGTGGCATGGTAGCTCGGGGGCTAAAACAGGCATATATCCAGACTAGTACAAGCAGCTATGTAAATGCATCACGTTAAACCAATGGTTATACTTTAAGAATGAATAAATTTCATTTCATAGCTCATTCGTGCAAGTAACTTATAAAAATAGAGATTTTGCTAATTAAATAATTACGAGTCTTGTAAAGCACATACATGTTGTTTTCCAGCAAAAATGTTTCAATGCACCTTTACACCCGCAAGCATTAGAGGATGTGAAGGCTATCGTCAGTCGGCACACCAGCGAGGGCATTTGTGATGATGGCATTTCACTAAAAGGTAACCAACTGAACACCATATTGTTCTTGAAAATGCCTGGAGTTATTTTCTGTTATTTATACTTTTATTGGTGGATATGATATAAGTATACTTAAACAGTTAGTAAAATTAATAATGTAGTAATGATGACATGATATACTGTGTTGTCATCAGAGGTACATCTGCCATGTATAGGCTCCACGTCTGCTGTACCTCTACAGACAAGTGGCCGTGTCTCACCCAGATATATTGTACTTCTGCTGTACCTCTACAGACTAGTGGCTGTGTCTCACCCAGATATGTTGCACGTCTGCTGTACCTCTACAGACTAGTGGCTGTGTCTCACCCAGATATGTTGTACTTCTGCTGTACCTCTACAGACTAGTGGCCATGTCTAACCCAGATATGCTGCCCAGAGCAGCATTAAACCCAACTCACTCACTCACTCACTCACTCACTCACCCACCCACTCACTCACTCACTCACTCACTCACTCACTCACTCACTCACTCACTCACTCACTCACTCACTCACTCACTCACTCACTCACTCACTCACTCACTCACTCACTCACTCACTCACTCACTCACTCACTCACTCTACTGTGTATGTTCTAATGTTTTTACCTCTGCTGTATCAATGTTGTATATCTGATGTATACAATGGTATACGTTCCAGTCCTTTTACCTCTGCTGTTTATCTGTTGCAGGGTTTTTGTTTCTGCATACACTATTCATACAGAAGGGAAGACATGAAACGACATGGACGGTGCTACGCAAGTTTGGATATGACGACAACCTGCAGTTAACGAAAGACTTCATTGCGCCTAGGTCAGGCCATTACCCAAGTACTACAGATCTAAGCCTCAAAATAAAGCCAAAATCTTATAAGATAGGCCTGATACATTTAAAATGAACTTGTTCTTCCAGAGAATTGATGTCAGTATCCAGTGAAACCTTGTCAATTTGGAAACCCTGCTTTACAGGCCATTGTGTACATACTTCAAAAGGCATAAAGGGTGGTGGGGTAGCCGTTGTAGTTTAAGTGTTTGCTTGTCATGCCAAAGACCCCTTTTTGATTCCCCACATAGGGGCAGTGTATGAAGCCCATTTCTGGTGTTCCCTGTCGTGATATTGCTGGAATATTGCTAAAAGTTGCATAAAACAATACCCACTCACTCTAAGTTGAGGTGCCTTCACAGGGGATTGACCTAAGTAACAGGATTTTAACTGTACTAATTCCACCCATATTGAATGTGAGTGATATTGTGATTATTTGCAATCTGTGGGTCATTTTCCAGGTTGCAAGTGGGACCAGGAAGTACAACTGAGCTGACACACCAAGGATATTCTTTTCTCACGAACCTCTTTGACAAGTATGATGAGGTAAGTGTTTGCAGCATCTTTATGCTTACGTCCATCCCCTGAGGGACTTCCATGGGAATCATCACGTGTGGCAATTGTGCCTCTTGTAGGCACATTCTGTTCCCTTATTCCAGTGAGGTGAGATCTGTAGGATGAAAATCATTTGGACTTTAGAACCTCCCCATAGGTATTGCAGGGCAGAAAAGGTCCAAGATTCCCAAGCTTGTGTGTCAGAAAAGCTGACGTTTGAGGATTGGGGGAGACAATGTGTGGCCTTCTGGTTTGTGTCAAGAAGCTCAGGCACACACGCACATGACTCACTCAGGCACACGCACATGACTCACTCAGGCACACGCACATGACTCACTCAGGCACACGCACATGACTCACTCAGGCACACACGCACCTCACTCACTCAGGCACACACGCACCTCACTCACTCAGGCACACACGCACATGACTCACTCAGGCACACGCACATGACTCACTCAGGCACACACGCACCTCACTCACTCAGGCACACACGCACATCACTCAGGCACACGCACATGACTCACTCAGGCACACACGCACATGACTCACTCAGGCACACACGCACCTCACTCACTCAGGCACACACGCACATGACTCACTCAGGCACACACGCACATGACTCACTCAGGCACACACGCACATGACTCACTCAGGCACACACGCACCTCACTCACTCAGGCACACACGCACCTCACTCACTCAGGCACACATGCACATGACTCACTCAGGCACACACACACCTCACTCACTCAGGCACACACGCACCTCACTCACTCAGGCACACACGCACATCACTCACTCAGGCACACGCACATCACTCACTCAGGCACATACACATGACTCACTCAGGCACGCACGCACCTCACTCACTCAGGCACACACGCACCTCACTCAGTCAGGCACACACGCACCTCACTCACTCAGGCACACACACATGACTCACTCAGGCACACACGCACCTCACTCACTCAGGCACACACGCACATCACTCACTCAGGCACACACGCACATCACTCACTCAGGCACACACGCACCTCACTCACTCAGGCACACACGCACCTCACTCACTCAGGCACACACGCACATGACTCACTCAGGCATACGCACATGACTCACTCAGGCACACACACACCTCACACAGGCACACACGCACATGACTCACTCAGGCACACACGCACCTCACTCACTCAGGCACACACGCACATGACTCACTCAGGCACACACGCACCTCACTCACTCAGGCACACACGCACATCACTCACTCAGGCACACACGCACATCACTCACTCAGGCACACACGCACCTCACTCACTCAGGCACACATGCACCTCACTCACTCAGGCACACACGCACATGACTAACTCAGGCATACGCACATGACTCACTCAGGCACACACACACCTCACACAGGCACACACGCACATGACTCACTCAGGCACACACGCACCTCACTCACTCAGGTACACACGCACATGACTCACTCAGGCACACACGCACATGACTCACTCAGGCACACACGCACCTCACTCACTCAGGCACACACGCACATGACTCACTCAGGCACACACGCACCTCACTCACTCAGGCACACACGCACATCACTCACTCAGGCACATGCACATCACTCACTCAGGCACACACGCACCTCACTCAGTCAGGCACACATGCACCTCACTCACTCAGGCACACACGCACCTCACTCACTCAGGCACACACGCACATCACTCACTCAGGCACACGCACATCACTCACTCAGGCACACACGCACCTCACTCACTCAGGCACACATGCACATGACTCACTCACTTGACATGTGATTTGAAAGACCTTGTGTTTTATTTATCAAAAGCACGTTGATAGTTTTAACTTTCATTCCCATGGGAGCGGTAGGCTTGCCTGGTGGGGAAATCATTCACAAGTCATGCCTCAGACTTGAGTTTTATCACTCCTCAATGTGTGAAGTCTAGTGTCCCCACCGTGATATTGCTTGAATAGTGGCTTAAACCTATACTCCCTGAATCATGATCACAGCTCTTGTCATATTTTCATCATAGCAGTCGTGTTGATGATTCCCGTCCTCTGTGTTGCAGGATTGTGATGGCTGCCTGAACCCAACCGAGCTGCAGAATCTGTTCAGCACCTGCCCCATCATGCCGTGGGGGCCCGACGTCAACAACACCGTGTGCACCAACAGTGAGGGCTGGATCGCCCTGCAGGGATACCTCGCACAGTGGACGTGAGTCGCTACAATATTTTCAGTAGTTTGTTATCAACTGTCTCTCAAATTTTAGGGATTGTGTTTGGCATTATCTGGCTTATAACTAGATAGCTTCATAAATGTTGTGGTGACCGGTGTCCAGCGTACAGGTCCGAAATCAGGCGAACTGAAGCAATGTTGGTCACAGGGAGTAGTTGGATTGGTGACAGTACGGCAGGTTGACCCCTGAGCGTTTCTTGGGCTTCGGGCCTGCCCCACACTGAAGCACATGTAGTTTGTTTGTTTGTTGTTTAACGCTGTAGCTATATGACCGCGGTCTGTAAATAATCATGGCTGGACCAGACAGTCCAGTGACTGATATCAAGAGCATCAGTCTACGCAATTGGGATATGATGACACGCATCAACCAAGACAGAGAGCCTGACCAACCAGTCCCATTTGTTGCCACTTACAACAAGCATAGTCGCCTCTTATGGCAAGCATGGGTTGCTGAAGACCTATTCTTTACAGGTCTGAAGTACATGGAGCATGTGTGTCACATTAGGCAAGTAACAATATTCAAAATATGCCTCTGTTCACCACGCGGTGAATGGGTACCTGGTGGGATGAGATTGTAATGTGACTTCTAGCGCCTGACAAGGCAGCTTGAGTTGTATGCTCCCTAGGGAGCTCAGAATGAAAATCGTGTGCACACTGATCCCATGTTGGAAGTAAGAATGAATTCTGTTACTAGGTTGGTTTGTTGTTGTTTTTTACGCCGCACTCAGCAATATTGCGGCTATATGACTGTAAATAATCGGGTCTGGACCAGACAGTCCAGTGATTGACATCATGAACATCGACGATAGGAGTTCTGCTATACTTTACAGGTTTACTTGACTTTTCACTATAACTTGACTGTATCTGATGTATTTATTTCAGATTAACAACATTACTAGATGTTCCAAGGACTTTAGAATATCTTGGACACCTTGGCTACCATTACCACCATGAAACTCAGCTATCAGCTATACAAGGTAAACAATCTACCACTGTCATACTGTTCTCGGCTGGTCAAAGTACTGTTGAAATAACACGGTGCTGGCAACACGTGTCAAAACAAAATGATAGAAGGATATGTAAGATGATATGATGGTAAATTGAAAATTATACTTTTTAGCTGTTATGTTCAAAAGCCACCATATCACTAGTGGACTCTATTAATTGTCTATCTGATGGCAACCTTACTGTTGTGATAAGTATCATAAGTATCGTATTACAACATAGTATATCATACAGCCTTGTTGATCTTACCTCCCTCCCAAGGGGATTCTGGGGGAGAACTTTGTGCAGATTCTGGGTTAGAATAGGCCCTCAGCAATCTCTGCTGATCGTTGGAGGCAACCAAATGGGTGGGTATTGGGTGGTCAAGCTCTGTGACCTTGTTAACAGTATGTCGTCATACCCCAACAGTGTAGGTCATTGCTCACAACTTGAATCACTGGTTTGTCTGGTCCACATTTGATTATTTAAAGGATGTTGTCAAGTAAGTGAAATATTCACACATTCTCACACACACATGATGAAGATGTGGTTAGGTTGACTGACTGTGTCACCGTGCTCGGATGGCGTGGATATTCCCTCATGCTGTCTGTCACAGGTTTGTCTGGTCCAGACTTGCCGCGAGATGATAAAGATGGAATATGGTTTAATTGCATCCTTTAACAGCTTTCACTCATTACCACACGTCGCTATATAAGTGCAATAATCTTGGATGCGACGTTACACCCCATTTCACCTCACCTCACTCATTATCAAATGTTGTCATTGTTCATCTCATCTTTGCAGTGACACGAGACAAGAAGATCGACTTAGAAAAGAGACAAACAACAAGAAATGTATTTCGATGTCATGTATTGGGTTCCAAGAATGTTGGGAAGGTAGGTACAAGTTTGGAAATATAGTTTTTTTCCTGTTTTTCATCAACATGATCAAATAATACTGTATTTGACAGCAAAACAAGAATGTGTAACAAATTTACTGTGATAGATCTCACTTTTTTCAAACAAGATGTAAGTGTAATAATTAAAAAGACAAATGTGTTTTAGACTTATCCTATCTTACACTATGCACTTCTTCTTCTTTCGATCCCATATGGAAACGTGCTTGACGTTTCATTCTTCTAAAAGTCAAATCACCTGAACACACAGGAGTAGAAACTAACATTTTGAGTCCGCTTGTCCTTATACTGATTACATTTAGCAAAACCCTAAAAATGGCAAATTTCTACTAGTCCTTATGATACCTTAACTATTGGGCAGATTGGTTAGGACTTCAGGACTAGTGCCAATTTCTGAGGCTACACATCCCAGCATCACATTGGTGAACACCCCAACAAATGATTAAACACTGTAATCCCGTGCGACCTACACGACCTGATCTTGTGATTACCCCTACCAAATCATTCTCTTTCTCATCGCCACACCATGTACACGTGCCCTGAGTGTTTAAGAGAATATAGGTTTGGGTTGTTTTTTCTTGCTGTATATCCTCAAACATCGTATACTCTGACCCTCTTGAATTATGTTGTGACTACAGTGGCAGGTGTAGCGTTGTTCAAAGTGTGGACATCTGATTCCTTCTACATGTATTTACACAATCGCCATTGAAGCGAGATTGACTGGCACTTGAAATCCAAGAACTCGGACAAGCCGTCAGCTGTTGAGAAAACTCAGAAGACAATTAAGCCGGCTCCCCTTCACCAATACAGTGAAACCATCTTCCGGAACCTGCCGTGCCTGCTCTATTGGTGGCTGATGACAGTGTCTCGGATAGTTTGTTTACTGACGACGTCTTTGCCGGATCAACAATCAGTCACCGGAGTGTCCAGGTCCATGTCTACCTTGGAACCGCCAGCTACCTTGGACGTCCTCATGGTATTTTTTTCCGTCGATTTGTCCGAACCTGCCTCGATTACGCCTCAGGTTGACCCCTTTAGAGCTCCTAGACCGCCTGCTACCAGTCTCCTGCTCCTTCGTGTGATGTTCAGGTTGATGACGATTGCTCCTCTTCAACCAATGCTACTGTTGCTCGTGATCAACTTTTGCCAACTTCAGGATGCTCAGCCTTACAAGCCACAAGTGTTTGAAAGCATTTGAGGCCTACTGTTGACCTTTCGACATCACAACACCCACCACTGCTTCTCTGCAACAGATCGCCAATAAACCCCCATCATTTACAATCCATGCAAAAGCTTAAGGGGTCTACTTTGGCTACTACTCTTGATCAACTCCATTTATATTGCTACTAAAACTGGAACAGTTGGCAGACCATTCATCTCAGTCACATCCACTGCCTTGGGATTTAAACGACATACTTTATCATTTGACTTTGGCAGAGTATGAACTGCTTGTTGACAAGAATTTTGAGTTGATCACCTTTAAGACCATTTTTATCCTGGCCCTTGCCCATGCCCATGCCCTTGCACGAGTTGGCGATCTAGCCCTGGATGTTAACAGGACCCAGTTCGAGAGGCTCCAGAATGGGAAGGTTTTTCCAGTCTTTTCTGGGATTTTATCAAGAAAAATCAGCTTCCAGGGAACAAGATCATTTGTTTACCAAAGGGTCGCTGGCATCCATCCTGAGCCCTGCTGACCTGGAGGATATATCTTTATATCCGGTTCGAGTGCTTCGAATCTACCTTGAGGCCGCAAGAGCACTTCAGTGCTACCAGAAGAGGCTCTTCATCCTACTTTCTACAGCGGCCACAACAGAAGTTTCCTGCACTAACATCTCCTTTTGGCGTCAATCGACCATCCGTCAGATACAGTCTTTGCTTCCCACTGTCTCTGTGACATATCTATTACAGACGTTCAGGGTCTTTACTAGTTTGGTCCCTTGATCCTGGCATATCAGCTGTCAACTGCACACCAGTGCAGATAGTTGATGCGTGTACATACAGAATATAAGTTCCCAGTCAGAGGGCGAATTATTCCGTCTGTAGAGACTTCGGTCTTCAACATCGACTTGGATATCTACGCCTCACGGTCCAACCATGGGATTAATGCATAGTGTGAGATAGGATAAGTTAAAAAATTAGGAAATTTTGCAAGAAATTGTATGTTTATATGCTTATCCAATCTCACAAGCTATATGCCCTCCCAACCATCCCCACAACACAGCTCATCACATCCTGTTAGCTCTAACATAGAGAATGATGTGGCAGGGGTAATCAGATCGTGTAAGTCGCTGTGCATGGGATAACAGTAAGTGACCCATTTGATAGGGCGGTGACCATGATGATGCTTGGATGTGTTCGGGTGATTTGTTTTTTAGAAGTTTGAAAGTTTGTTCAAGCACGTTTCCATATATGAACGAAAGAAGAAGTGAGTAGTGGGAGATAGGATAAGTATATAAATACTGTAACAGTATACAATTTATTGTAAAATTTCCAATATCTGTAAGTTGGATGGTGTTAGCATCCTTCTGATACAAGGCTGCTTGCAGTATTGGCTAAATTTTGACCTTGTTATGTTTGTGATGTTTGTAGACGTCATTACTGCAAGGGCTGTTGAGTCGGAACCTGAGGTATGTGGCCACTCTGAACAAACACTTGCTGTCCAGCTTCACCATGAACACAGTGCAGGTGTACGGACAAGAGAAGTACCTCATGGTGAGCAGCCTCTCTCGTGTACCATCTCCCCTTTCCCTCATGTACAATCTCCCCTTTTTCTCATGTACCATCTCCTCTTTCCCCCATGTACCATCTCCTCTTTCCCTCATGTACCATCTCCCCTTTCCCTCATGTACCATCTCCCCATTCCCTCTTGTACCATCTCCCCTTTCCCTCATGTACCATCTCCCCTTTCCCTCATGTACCATCTCCCCTTTCTCTCATGTATCATCTCCCCATTCCCTCATGTACCATCTCCCCTTTCTCTCATGTACCATCTCCCCTTTCCCTCATGTACCATCTCCCCTTTCCCTCATGTACCATCTCCCCATTCTCTCATGTACCATCTCCCCATTCCCCCATGTACCATCTCCCCTTTCTCTCATGTACCATCTCCCCTTTCCCTCATGTACCATCTCCCCTTTTCCTTCATGTACCATCTCCCCATTCCCTCATGTACCATCTCCCCTTTTTCTCATGTACCATCTCCCCTTTTTCTCATGTACCATCTCCCCTTTCTCTCATGTACCATCTCCCCTTTCCCTCATGTACCATCTCCCCTTTCTCTCATGTACCATTTCCCCTTTCTCTCATGTACCATTTCCCCTTTCCCTCATGTACCATCTCCCCTTTTCCTTCATGTACCATCTCCCCATTCCCTCATGTACCATCTCCCCTTTTTCTCCTGTACCATCTCCCCTTTCCCTCATGTACCATTTCCCCTTTTTCTCATGTACCATCTTCCCTTTCTCTCATGTACCATCTCCCTTTTCCTTCATGTACCATCTCCTCTTTCCCTCATGTACCATCTCCCCTTTCTCTCATGTACCATCTCCCCTTTCCCTCTTGTACCATCTCCCCTTTCCCTCATGTACCATCTCCCCTTTCCCTCATGTACCATTTCCCCTTTCTCACATGTACCATCTCCCCTTTCCCTCATGTACCATTTCCCCTTTCTCACATGTACCATCTCCCCTTTCCCTCATGTACCATCTCCCCTTTCCCTAATGTACCATCTCCCCTTTCCCTCATGTACCATCTCCCCTTTCTCTCATGTACCATCTCCCCTTTCTCTCTTGTACCATCTCCCCTTTCTCTCATGTACCATCTCCCCTTTCCATCATGTACCATCTCCCCTTTCTCTCACGTACCATCTCCCCCTATGTACCATCACCCCTTTCTCTCATGTACCATCTCCCTTTTCCCTCATGTACCATCTCCCCTTTTTCTCAACTACCATCTCCCCTTTCTCTCATGTACTATCTCCCCTTTCTCTCATGTACCATCTCCCCTTTTTTTCATGTACCATCTCCCCTTTCTCTCATGTACCATCTCCCCTTTCTCTTATGTACCATCTCCCTTTTCCCTCATGTACCATCTCCCCTTTTTCTCAACTACCATCTCCCCTTTTTCTCATGTACCATCTCCCCTTTCTCTCATGTACCATCTCCCCTTTCTCTCATGTACCATCTCCCCTTTCCCTCTTGTACCATCTCCCTTTTCCCTCATGTACTATCTCCCCTTTTTCTCAACTACCATCTCCCCTTTTTCTCATGTACCATCTCCCCTTTCTCTCATGTACCATCTCCCCTTTCTCTCATGTACCATCTCCCCTTTCCCTCTTGTACCATCTCCCCTTTCCCTCTTGTACCATTTCCCCTTTCTCTCATGTACCATCTCCCCTTTCTCTCATGTACCATCTCCCCTTTCTCTCTTGTACCATCTCCCCTTTCTCTCATGTACCATCTCCCCTTTCCCTCATGTACCATCTCCCCTTTCTCTCATGTACCATCTCCCCTTTCTCTCATGTACCATCTCCCTTTTCCCTCATGTACCATCTCCATTTTCCCTCATGTACCATTTCCCCTTTTTCTCATGTACCATCTCCCCTTTTTCTCAACTACCATCTCCCCTTTTTCTCATGTACCATCTCCCCTTTCTCTCATGTACCATCTCCCCTTTCTCTCATGTACCATCTCCCCTTTCCCTCATGTACCATCTCCCTTTTCTCTCTTGCACAAACTAGGTAGCAGAGCAAAGCCTGCTACATCTAATCTTTACTCTTTGAATGACTTCACTTCCTTTGTCCCAAAATCAAATGCATGCTATCTTGAGTCTTCATCAATAGTTTAATATTAGATCAGCTGCAGTCTTTGTCCTTCAGATCTTACTCCATGCTTAAATATATTATTTAAATTATAAAGAAATTAATTTCCCAGGTTATAAATTAAGGCATGGATTTGTGTGGTTCATAGACAGTCTCTTCCTACCATGTAGTATGGGATTTATTAGAAAAAACATCAGCTGAGACAAACATCTGATGTGCACTTTGCTTTGCAGCTCCATGAAGTAGATGTTGCCATGTGTGAGATGTTGACGCCGACGGAGCTAGACTGTGATGTGGCATGTCTCGTGTATGATGTCACCAATCCACGGTCGTTTGAATTCTGTGCTAGAATGTACTTGGTAAGATGCAGGTTTTTGACTTGTAACTGTTTTCGACACTATCCACTAAGGAGATTGTTATAACACTTGTCAATTCCCTGAACCGGGACCTGAAAATGTGCAGACTTAGTTTGGTTTATACAGAGTTTCACAAAGATGACAAACTTCTACTTTACTATCAGAAGTGAATGTATTTCTGGAACATAGCTAAATGTCAGTGTTAACATTATTGCCTCCTTACTGAAGGAAACAATTACTGTCCCCATCATTTGTTTTCTGGAAAAAAAATCTTCAAAACACATAGTATAATCCTTAGTGTGTCCAGTATATGGAAGAGAATAATGTAGAGTTACCTTGTCTGAACCTATTGAGCAGCAGGAGTAATAGCACAGGGAGGTGCACCTGAAACCTACCTCATGGGGATTCCAGGGTAGAACAGGTCCCCAGAAGCATGTGCTTGTTGTAAGAGGTGATCCTGTATAGATTGGGTTGGCAGACTTGGGTACTTGTTGTAAGAGGCGATCCTATATAGACTGGGTTGGCAGACTTGGGTACTTGTTGTTAGAGTCGATCCTATATAGATTGGGTTGGCAGACTGGGTACTTGTTGTAAGAGGTGATCCTATATAGACTGGGTTGGCAGACTTGGGTACTTGTTGTAAGAGGTGATCCTATATAGATTGGGTTGGCAGACTTGGGTACTTGTTGTAAGAGGCGAATCTATATAGATTGGGTTGGCAGACTTGGGTACTTGTTGTAAGAGGCGATCCTATATAGACTGGGTTGGCAGACTTGGGTACTTGTTGTTAGAGTCGATCCTATATAGATTGGGTTGGCAGACTTGGGTACTTGTTGTAAGAGGTGATCCTATATAGACTGGGTTGGCAGACTTGGGTACTTGTTGTAAGAGGTGATCCTATATAGATTGGGTTGGCAGACTTGGGTACTTGTTGTAAGAGGCGAATCTATATAGATTGGGTTGGCAGACTTGGGTACTTGTTGTAAGAGGTGATCCTATATAGATTGGGTTGGCAGACTTGGGTACTTGTTGTAAGAGGTGATCCTATATAGATTGGGTTGGCAGACTTGGGTACTTGTTGTAAGAGGTGATCCTATATAGATTGGGTTGGCAGACTTGGGTACTTGTTGTAAGAGGCGATCCTATATAGATTGGGTTGGCAGACTTGGGTACTTGTTGTAAGAGGCGATCCTATATAGATTGGGTTGGCAGACTTGGGTACTTGTTGTAAGAGACGATCCTATATAGATTGGGTTGGCAGACTTGGGTACTTGTTGTAAGAGGCGATCCTATATAGATTGGGTTGGCAGACTTGGGTACTTGTTGTAAGAGGCGATCCTATATAGACTGGGTTGGCAGACTTTGGTACTTGTTGTAAGAGACGATCCTATATAGATTGGGTTGGCAGGCTTGGGTTCGTGTTGTAAGAGGCGATCCTAGACTGGGTTGGCAGACTTGGGTACTTGTTGTAAGAGACGATCCTATATAGATTGGGTTGGCAGACTTGGGTACTTGTTGTAAGAGACGATCCTATATAGATTGGGTTGGCAGGCTTGGGTTCGTGTTGTAAGAGGCGATCCTAGACTGGGTTGGCAGACTTGGGTACTTGTTGTAAGAGGTGATCCTATATAGATTGGGTTGGCAGACTTGGGTACTTGTTGTAAGAGGCGATCCTATATAGATTGGGTTGGCAGACTTGGGTACTTGTTGTAAGAGACGATCCTATATAGACTTGGTTGGCAGACTTGGGTTTGTGTTGTAAGAGACGATCCTATATAGATTGGGTTGGCAGACTTGGGTACTTGTTGTAAGAGGCGATCCTATATAGATTGGGTTGGCAGACTTGGGTACTTGTTGTAAGAGGCAATCCTATATAGACTGGGTTGGCAGACTTGGGTACTTGATGTAAGAGGCGATCCTATATAGACTGGGTTGGCAGACTTATGTACTTGTTGCAAGAGGCGAATCTATACAGATTGGGTACTTGTTTGATTGCATGTCATCATGCCCCAAATGATATGTTGTACATAATATTAATCACTGCTTTGTCTAGTCCAGGCTTAATATGGCAGTTTAAAATTGCAAATTTAAACAACAAACTTTTTTACCTTCGACAGTTCCTCTTAAGAAGTCATGTGACAGTATTAAGCTGATATACAGTGAAAATGTAAGATCATTCCCTTGTTAGTCTACGTTTGTGTTGATGTCTCTTTTCCAGAAACATTTCATCGACAGTAAGATCCCCACCCTGATAGTGGCGTGTAAGGCTGAGCATCCTGAGGTTCGCCAGGACTATGAGTTCACCCCAGCCCAGTTCTGTAGCCGCTACAAGTTACCTCCACCTCAATATTTCACCTGCATCGACAAAGTCAACTGGGATGTTTATGTCAAACTTGCAACTATGGCTGCATATCCGTAGGTTACACATTCTCTTAACATTTCAACTTTTGACATTTTTTCTCAAACGTCTCATCCTTTGTTCTAGGAGCTACTAATGTCACAAGCGCATGTTCCTGTTGGTCAAACCTCATCACGTCTACACTTGCCTCATTCGTGGCTAACTCGTGTTATTCCGGGACAAGCTAAATAGCGACTCGTGCCCCTCTCGTGGCCATTTTTTGCAACTGGGTTCTGTCTAAATGCATACGGGCATATTTGAGAATTGTCAACTTGTTGGTTAATGATTCACGTGACTTTCTCCATATATATTTTTTTTCCAGACGCTATTTAAAACACATCGGCACTTACGGTATTATACAGCATGATGGGACATATTTAACTGTTTGTTGGGGATATCTGTAGGTGCAAGATATATGTAAAGTCAAACATTATTCCTGAGGGATTCTTTTACCAAAGTACTTGAAGTCATACGTGCAGTCTGATTGGTTTGTCGTATTTTCACACATAACACTCATCGATAGGGGGACGAGTCTTCTTGCAGGTTACGGAAAGGGGCGAGTGGTGACGAATGCACTTGCCTCTCAAGCTTTCTTCCGTTGGTTAAGTCTACTGTTTACAACCTGGACATGCTCGAGGGCAACACAGTAGATGGATACACCTCATCGTTAAACTTATTTGATGATCTAGAACAACCAGCGTCTGACCCTAATGTCCAGATAGTCATGCTTCGTGTGTTTCAGATACTGAAGTTAATAACGCAGTTGTAGCCTTTCTTCTGTGTTTCACTCTTTGATTAATCATTTCTGTATTAATGTGGTTTTGAACACTTCATTTGCATCAATACTTTGTGTGGGTAAAATGTTTCCCTTTTATAAGATATGATGTTTTTTTCATTTCATTAATATTAACATTTATTTCAGCAAAGGCACATGTTGTGTTGTACATGTAACCACGATCTCGATCCCTTGAATGAATTTGGTTATGGGAGCCTACAGATGGATGGCTTAGATTATGGCGTAGATGGATGAATAATGATCCAGTGCTTCTGGGTGGGGTTTGCTTAGCTAGATCAGCATGTACAGGTGTATCGGACTCCTTTCAGGGGTTTGGGGAAGTCTAATGGTTTCAGCTATGTCCCAGGCCCATTCCCCAGATTCAGATGGCATCATATTGTTTGAATATTTCTCAAAGTGCTAAAACCGTGCTCACATACTCTACATATCATTATTGATGAGGTCCAGTAGGGTAGCCAAGTGGTTAAGTTGTCTGATTGTCCTGCCAAAGGACAGGGTTCATATCCCCACAAGGGTACAATGAGTGAAACCTGTTTCCCGGGATATTGCTGGAATATTGCTAACAGCGTTAAACCAATTCCCTCAGTCAGTCACTCACTCACTATCATTAATGGATATGAATACATATAGAATCCTCTTTCTCAAGAAGACATTGTATTCATACCAACAGAATCCTCGAACCAGCTCCATTGTCCTATCTGTATCACATTAAGCCATTTCATCACTTTGATCATTTTTCACAAAACAAGATGACTTCTAGTCTGGATGCCCTTCATCACATGAGCGTACATGCATTTCATGTAATGTGACATCTGTCCCACATTGTATATGATACTCAGCAGCTGTATCGAATGTCCTCGTGTCCTTCTGTACATGATCTTCCAGCCCTCCTCTCTCTGTTTGAGTGCAGCCTAGTTTGAGTGCAGCATTGTCCTGGTTGTGTTTTTCAGCAATCTGAAACGTCTAGTACACATGCTGTTGGTCCATCAGAAGTCTCTCTGGCTGGAGGAGAAGTTCAGGTTCTTCCCCTTTCCAACCTTCTCCTAACATGTCACCTCTTTAATACCGACCCACCTCATGGACATGCTATCTCCTTACAACATACTACTTCTGCCTTAACACAACTCTCTCAGAACCTGTTATGTGACATACTAAACATGCTTAAGCTTTCATATTCACATTCTTATTATAACTTTATAGGTACTTTTACTTATATGATATTCACATTAGCATTAATTTATGACTTTTATAACTACCTTTAGGTATATCATACTAAACCACCATTTCTTTTTGGACAACATTACTGAAGTTGACGATGTATGTGAAAGCATCTCCATGACCTGCGTGTCTCTATACTCTTTGTCTAACAGCATGGGGTTCCTCATTGCATCTGTATTTCAGTCTGTGGTGTATATATTTGTTTGATTTTATTTCTTTTTTTCCTTTGTAGATTTTATACTCACAGTGATTATGTCATTTGGTGTTTCGGCCTCTCTTTTCAGGGCTTGAAATTATACAACTGAAACAAAAACCCTGTTTGTTCAGATTCTTGGTTGGGGAACAAAGTTAAACAGTGCTTGTATCACTTTGAGACAGTAAATGATCAATGCTTGTATGATTTCTGTGTCTCCAGACGTTTAATTTGTTACTGTCATGACTTGCATCGTGGGTACCGATTGGTAGGTGCACAACCTTGTTTACTCTGTCACTCACTGGGGTGTTAACACATGATAGAGAATGGTTCCCAACCTAATATAGCACTTATACAAGGTCAACACTGAAAAGGTTTGCAAACTAGATGACCTTTGTTTAAACTAGTAGATGGCATGACAACTTAAAGACCACTGTGACCAGCGTTAGAAATTAGCACCAGTCCTGTTGTCCTTTCCAAAATGCCCAATAGTAAGGTATCATAATGACCAGTAGAAATTTGGCATTTTAAGGGATTTGCTATATGTTATCATTATAAGGAGTGGACTAGAAATGTTAGTTTCTACCGCTGGTGACTCCAGCATAGATAGAGAGAATTAGACTTGTGTCCCCATGTACTGTAGATGCTTGTACAGACAGTCCCAGGAGAATACAGAGAGGCTGTAGAAACTAAACCCTACTCAACTAGTCCAAGGCCTTATTCCACAAAGCGACGACAGTTGTAAATTTGTGCTACAATGTGGCAATTACTTCTAGCATCACTTTGTGGAACACGGCCCAGGAACATAACATCCTGTTGTGGCACACTTCTCTGTAGTTGCAAATCGTGGCTATTTACTGCTCTGTCATCACTGTCCTACGTCAACTGGTCGTTGATACTTAGCTGTGATTCACGCCATTATGACATTCTTGTAAAATCTGATACTGATTTTGCTTTGGCATTGCAGGATCTGTCATGTGCAAATTACAGAATATCATGGACAAACGTCACACCTGCTCCCTTCCTTGTTTGACGCTATTCAGAGGTTAACTTTCTGGGAACCAGGGGTATCAACTTGTGCAGGATATTCTGTAATTTGCACTCTGACAATTAGCATCTGTTATAGGTAGAACGTTATGAAGGCATGAATCGCAGCTCTCAGTGGATGTCAGATTGGAAAACCAGAGCAGTACCTAGCTACCATTTCACAGCTAACTTCTCTGCATTGCCATTGTTGCTAACATGATGCATGTGACTATACTGGTTAACCCTTTCTGTTCTATGTGGAAATGATGTTGTCATGTGGAAACATTTTGTTGGGTTTTCTCTCCTTCACCCTCCTGCACCATGAGTACGAAGCTACTGTTCATTAGTGTTACTGAATAGATAAACATCCTTTCTGATGGGAACAGTGTGGATATGCTTAGTCGGATAATGATTCTGCAGAAACAGATAGTCCTTGATTAACAGAACTGCAGGAAAGTGATGTTTACCCGTTTGTAGGAATACTGAAAGCAGTTCTTGGCGTTATATCATGAGGAAAGAATGCTCAATCAGTTATCAACACCGATGAGTTCCTGTGCCTGTCTGGCATAGTCTGACTATACTAGTGCCGATCTCATCAATTCCACCTCAAGGAAACAAGCAGGCTCGCAGTAAACAGGGTCCTACCGTTGTTGCAAGAGTAGTACCGGTAGTTAATTTGTTAGATTTCAATTACACGTGCTTTTTTGTTAGGTTAAGTTGTAAGAAAGCTGTTAAAAGATTAACCCATTTAGTGTTATTGAATTCGAAGAAAATGGTACACTCATGCTGTGTGTTATCTGTATTCCAATAATCACTGCTTTCATCGCATATGCTTATAGGGGGGGGGGTGATCTATCAGTTGGTAATAGAACAGGTGCTCCTGCAAATTTTAACATCTTAATAAGATGAAGATACACTGTGCCAGCAAATGTTTAAATCCCCGTTTTTAGAAGCAAAGTCCTGTGTTAGCCATCCTATAGTTGTTTAGGTCTGTGTATTTCCCCCCAAGTCAGGAAGTTTTAGTTTTCATTCTTTTCACATCAGGATGCCAATTTTTCTGCTTGTACATTTTGTTTTTTCATTTCAGTATTTGCCTGCATTTTGTTATTTTTCATGTTTTTCTGCAGAATGACTTGCATTTGGTTGATGTTTTTGTTTATGTTTTCAGTTGAAATTTGTTGGCTGTCCTGCTATAAGCAGAGGCTACAGTGCTCTTTCCTGTAACATGTTTATTATTCAATGATAAAACTATTAATACAAAAAAAACCTTCTCAAAATATAATGTAAATAAAATTCCTAATGATATAAAAGTGTTGGCCTTTTTAATGAAGATGCTTTAGTTTTAACTTCTTTTTCACATATAAATCCTGACCACTGATAAATAGTGAAGTAGAGAGACTTGTGTTTGAACACTGTAGAGAATCTGTTGTATAACCTGTGTGGTGGGCGTGTCTGCCATGTGTAACCACCTTCTCTCTGTTTGCAGACACCTGAAGGGCCTCTACACTGACGAGAACAAGGTGTACATCAGGCTAGGGATTGGCCTTGTAGCACTCACTGGTATGGGATTTGCCATGTATAAAATACTCAGAGCATTAAGATGAGGACTCTTGTTACTAGGATTTTAGCACAAATATACCGTGTGATCAAGAGAAAATGGACTCTCAAGCATTGTTGAAGTGAAGACCTGCCGTATCAAAGATTACCTGCACAACCCTCCAAGTTTTCTTGTTTAGGTTTCAAGCTTTTCTTCTCGGTACAGAAACTGTTGATGACTTCACAGTATTTGTTTGATTTCGTGTCAAGTATTTATCATCTAGCAAGGAAGAGCGAGGAGAGTCTTTGTTAACCTTATGTGATGTCGTTCTGTGTTATCTTGACAAGATGTGATGTCGTTGCTAAGATCAGGGTTTGTGAGAAGTACTACCAATATCGACGTCACGGTCATGTTGAGGGTATACCTGTATACATGTAACCTGCCGCCGGTGACAGGCAGGCGTCAATGGGATCGTGTGTTGAGGCTGAGTGTGGCAGCTGGGACGACTCAAGCCTGACAGTGGAGGTATCGACTCCCCACCCTCACCATGAACCTATAGGAACTCATCAGCAATCAGTGTTTTTGTTATAACTTACCAACAACTATTGGGTAGGTTACGGTATATCCAGGCTCTTCTGTTACAGGGTGTACTCACACATGAAGCTTGTACGTTCTGTGTTCCTGTGTTCGTTCCCATGTTCCCAACAGCGGCTACACATGCCCAAACATTTCTGAACAATCACACAGCTTGTTGAATCTACAACATACTTTTTGTGTAGTTTTATAATTATTGCAACTATTGTTGACTTGTCTTATGTTTGCTACATGAATAAGTTTGTATTTTGGTGTGTTTAGTACTTGCTTGTATAAATGTCTTCAAGCAATAATCAGTCCCAGGCAAGCTTCTACAAGTCTGTCCACTGGGGCAGATCTATTACTTTTAGAAGCTCCATGTGTTTGACGAGGCCACCACCACCAAAGACCGCTCTGCGGTCAGATTACATACCTTGTGTAACATTCCTTAAAAGTACCTGATACAACATACAAACTTGCGAAGCTACATTCTTCTATAAATGGTTATGACTAGATACTAAATAATATCTTAAGTTGCTGCATAGGACTGACCTGATTGATGATTGGGGATGGGGAAGCGGATTTAAAAAAGAAAATGTTCCCAATTATATTGGGAAAAAATAATTTGGCTAAAAAAGATTATTGTTCACCGGACATGTGTTTTGGACCCAAATCATAGAATCTTAGCTCCTCTTTTGAGAGAGAAAAATAGTAATAAAATTAGACTCAACCAAAAGAAAACAAAAGTTTTCCATTCATTTTCCTACAATGAAAAACTGTTTTGTGTGTACAAGTATGTTTTTTGTATCAATATCTGACCTCACATGGTATCGCATTGATCGAATTGTTTCAGCCCTCTTTGTTTGTCAATGGTCGAACATCTTCAGGTTTTCTTCAGTGTATGCAATATGTCAGGTTTTTACCTGACTTGTATGGTGCTTACTCCATGAACAAGATTTAAAGAACAGGTAATGAGACATGTAGTCACATGTTTTGTGATAATTGTATCAGTTGGGTCATTGTCATCACAGGTACCACAGTAGTGTACCCCGGGTACCTTTCTGTATGTCAACTGTACCAAGGTATCTTACTGTATGTTCCAATGTAACCTAGAGAGGCAATATTTACGGCGTTGAAGTTTGGGTGAAAAGGTAAATTGCACACTGCCGTATTTTGCACACGTGATGTGACAGCCAAGCTGGACCAGTGTCATGAGTTGTAGTAATACAGAGCTGTACATGTATAGCCATGCTGGATAACATTTGTGTACACAGGAAAGTACCTAGGGTGCATTTGTTTATGCAGGAAGTAGGGCTGGGACGATTCGATACGTATCACGAGACCTTGCTCACGATCCGATACATATCGCGATACTTGCATGTGCACTTATCTGTGGTACGTCATAGACAGGATTGCCAAATACCTGGCACACTAATGATTAACAGTTGGGAGTGTCAGGTATGGCGCAATGGATGAAAATATTTACGTTTTCACTACTCATTTTCACTAGTAATCACTGGTAGTGTTTGCTGTAAGACTTATTCAAGAAAACATTTAAGGTAAGAATCGATACCTTTTACTTAGTGTGCGACTGTGAATGATACTTGTATCGAGAAGTAAAAAATTGCGATCCACCAATGGTGCCTAGGGACATTTGTACCTTCGGTACGTATCTGTAGTACCTGTTCCGACAACAAGCCCAACAGCTTATGTAACCTGCATTGCTTTGTTGTTTTATTGTTTTGCACCAATGAATGCATGGTTATTTCCCATGAACAAGCGTAGGTCGATCACATACTGTTGCAATAGTTCCCGTGGATAGTTTACTCTCAGATATTTCGCAGTCATTCTGATGCAGAATGGCTAGATCTGAAGGTGTAGTTTCGAGGTAGAGTAACTCCTGAGTCATGGGTCCATGGTCATCGAGGTGGCTCAGTAAGTCTTCACTGTCATGTTGTCATCATCACTGTCTGGCATTGTCTTAGGTTCAGTTATCTGCAACCCACTAGTAGGGAAGCATTAGCTTGCTAGTCAAGGAAATATTCTGCCACTGACATTCATTGAATAAAAGTCTTTATTTTAACATTATCTGACAGGCTCTTTGTCAGATAATACTGATGTTCTGAATGGCATATTGAAGTTTTATAATGGGAAATACTTAAGGATCATTCACCTCGTTGACTGAAAGTGAAAATAAAGAGAGAATTTGTCTAACTAGTTCATTTTCTGATAAGTAAAAAAGGAAATGTAGGGGATTGACATGATGATTTTCTTCAGGTAGCTGATACTGTATAGTAACTTTTCATGTACAAATGTGTATATATTTCCATTTAGGTGTTGTGTGTACTGTTTTCTTTACACAAAGTGCAATGCTTTATTTAATCTCTTGTGATGGCGAAGGCTTGTCTTAGTGTCAAACTAGTCTCCTGTTTCCGTTCATATATCTGCTCTTAAAGTATAGGTGAGGTGACATGCGTGGCAGATCAAGGGTATTTATTTGGCAACAAACTACATTTGAACTAGACACAGGGTGTTGTAAGAATGGGGTTGCTGTGGCGCACGGGAACCTCATTTATTTAAGTTGGCGCATTTTGCTGTGCAGAGTTGTGTCGCTGATCCTCTGATGATACTGTGCAAATCCAAGAGATCTGGTATGTGCCAGTAATCTTGTTGGTTTCACCAAATAGGGTAACATGTTCGACCTGCATTACTGTTGGCATTTCTTTTCTCATTAAACTTAAAGGAAGGGCATTAGAGGAACATTGTCCATGGTGGATTTAATTCCAACTCACTCACTAGTTTAGCTAATGATGTTACCTTTTCCCCATTCCACAACGTAATGTTAGCACTAAGATGATTGTAACTCCCATACCTTGACATTGGCTTACACTGGTCATAGCACTAAGATGATTGTAACTCCCATACCTTGACATTGGCTTACACTGGTCATAGCGCTAAGATGATTGTAACTCCCATACCTTGACATTGGCTTACACTGGTCATAGCACTAAGATGATTGTAACTCCCATACCTTGACATTGGCTTACACTGGTCATAGCGCTAAGATGATTGTAACTCCCATACCTTGACATTGGCTTACACTGGTCATAGCGCTAAGATGATTGTAACTCCCATACCTTGACATTGGCTTACACTGGTCATAGCACTAAGATGATTGTAACTCCCATACCTTGACATGCTTACACTGGTCATAGCACTAAGATGATTGTAACTCCCATACCTTGACATGGCTTACACTAGTCATAGCGCTAAGATGATTGTAACTCCCATACCTTGACATGGCTTACACTAGTCATAGCGCTAAGATGATTGTAACTCCCATACCTTGACATTGGCTTACACTAGTCATAGCGCTAAGATTGCTCTGTGGAATGGGGTGCAGTCCCAACTTTTGTGATGGTCATGGAATAAGCATGATTCAGAATTCTAAAGCTATGCAGAACTAGTGTAGATACTTAGAAAGCATCCTTTAGATGCCAGGTTCCATAGGTCATGGATTTCAGATTTGCCCCAATTTTGATCATATGGAGCATATTAGGAATCATGGATTTGATTAAATTCCCAAATGTCTATGGCCTGCCTCACTTACTCCTACAGCAAGCTTGTGAGGTATTACTGAAATACTGTTCAGACAGAATCAATCCCAAACACTGTTTTTGCCTGCATGTAAACTGCTAAAATGGGCAGATGTCAAGGCATGTCAGAAGTCTATGACTGTTAGTTGAAGTCCCAGATTCACCCTGATTACAATTCTTGGTTTGTCAGCCAAGACCTTCATCAGTTCGGGCATTCTTCCCACATTAAGTTGATATGCTGTGATTTAAGTGAAATACCTTTCAAAGAAGTGTTGTAGTTAACTCACTGACACTAAGGTGAAACATCTGGCTCTCCTATTGTGAAATTAGCTTGACCATGTCGGACAGATACTGCTGTGTGCATAGAGAGATCTTGTACCTGCTGCCACTAAGACCTGTGTGAGAGATGTTTTGTGACAATGCATTGTATTGTAGATTTTATTCCAGAAATGCAAGAAAATCTTGAAAGAGTGCATTAAATATCATGACAACTATCTTGTTTTATTGTTGTTTTGTGTTAATAATCAATTACCTTCATCTAAAACATTTAGATCTGCAGATTTGAAGCATAGTTCTGCCAGAGCTATTTTCAAACCCCCTGAGGTGGCCCAGATGATCCTTTCAGGCGTATAATTCACTGTGCAAACTTGCATCCCTCGGTCATGCCACCATCTGATGATTGCAGGCAAGCTCCTCCTTTCTGCTGCGAATGACACTTTTTTCCTCACTACCATTACTAATGCACGAGCCGTGACGCCAGGAGCTTGGATCACAGGTTTGAAGCCTGATTCCTGCAAATTATGATGCTTGGTTTGTTGGTACCTTGCACTGCTCTGGGTTTCTCTGAAGTGGTAAATACTGCGTAACTTAGCTTATGGTAAACATATTTGTCTGAGGGCTTTGACAGTCCTGGTGAAGATCAGACATCTCAAGAATCTTTTGATGGCAAGGTTCAGGGAAAGGTGAATGTCTTGTCCATTCCTTGAGCAGAAATTGGTAGGTTGTGCGGACATCACTTGTTAACTTTCCAAGTAGAACTCTCTGACAGGAAACACCAGACTCAAGTGCTGGAAAGTGTTTGACCTTCAGTGCCTGGATACACTACTGGATGTGGCAACAGAGAGGTACAGATCCGGGTGAATCTCTGGTGACACATCTCGCCACTGTGATGCTTTTGGTCCCAAGTCAACCTTAAAGAATGTTTGGATGATTGTAACGCTAAGATCTCTCTGTGCATGTGGACCCAGATGTTGAAGAACATTCAGACCTCCATGGACAGTCCTAGGGCAGTACATCCTCTCTTTGTCATGTGTTTCAGAAGGCTGTGGTGCAGACATCTGTGCCAACAGTAGCCTTATTCAAAGCGGCTTTAGCGAGGGTGTGTGCTGGCCATAAGGGCCCTATTTTCTGCTGGCAGCCCCCTAACTGGTGAAAACAATAAAACAGAGGGCATGGACCATTATGTGTTTGACACTGTAACTCTTTATTTCAATCATTTAAAAAGTAGCATAAATCATTAGATGATTTGGTGTTTTTTCTAAAAGAAAAACGTCATATGTCACAAACACTACATTTATATATGTACATAGCTTAATTATCTCCAATATGTCACAAAGACTTTTACATGCATAAGAAACATGAATTTGCACTTTATATACATCACCAACCATTAATCAGGAGTGCGAAGTAAGAAGGAACTGGACAGTTCAACTGTAGTGTTTGGCGGGACTCGTACACAAATGTTGGATAACCCATACCGACTTGCACCTAATCAACTGGATTTCTCGTACACAATCACTCATCAGATACCAAAACTATTCCCTCGTTTCATAAAATTGGTATTACATGGGAGCTCGTTTAATTAGTATTCTATATGTAATCGAGATCTAAGGGACGCAACTCTGCACTGCCAATTGCAGCGCCTTAGACGACTGGGCCTCCCGTGCACCCGTTGAGGAATGTAATCGAGCGCTACAAGTTTGTTTGTTGTTTAACCCGCATTCAGTAATATTCAAGTTACATGACGGCGGTCAGTAAATAATCGAATCTGGACTAGACAATTCAGTGACTGACATCATGAGCATCGATCTACGCACTTGGGATACCATGACATGCATCAACCAAGTCAGCGAGCTTGACCAACCGATCTAGGCTGCTGAAGACCAGTTGTAAGTTGGAATCAACACGGGACATGCTACAAATAGATGCGCTTGTGTTATTCTTGGCTTGACAGAATATATAGCTGTTGGGTTTTTTTAGTCCCGGAGTCGCCACGATACCACCCGTGAATACTGAAACAAGTAAAGGTGGAAATTAATGCTTTCTAATGTCATGTTTTAGTAGACCCTATTTGCATTAAAGATTTTGGTTCAAGAAGTGTTTAACAATGAACGCTTGTAACATCTAGTTATATTATCCCCTCCCTCTTTGCACATGGACCACGAAAATCTGCCAAACAACGTAAGCCGAAAGTATTCCCTGGCGTCGCGATGAATCCCTTTTAACAAAGTTTTTTTCAACAAACCACATTGCCAAATTACCATTATATTTTATTTATATTTGTGAGTAAGTATGATTATACGCCACTTTCAGCAATATTCCAGCAATATCACGACGGGGTGCACCAGAAATGGGCTTAACACATTGTACCTATGTGGGGAATTAAACCCGAGTCTTCATTTTAGTGGACTTAATATTTGTGAATATAAACAACATTGTCCCTCTGAATTATTAGTTTACTGGAAAAAAAAGATAATTTATCGGTATTGGGAAGAAATCATACACATTCCCAGTTAAGTCCAATTAATTTGATATGTTTTATCACAAAGTAGAGAAAAAGCTCCTGGAAATTTCAGTGTGTAGTAAGCTAGGTGACCGTCTTGACGCAACGGTGTGAGGGTACCAGTTCACCAATGCACCGGCTGCAGAGTTACCTTCCCTGCTACATAGGCGGCGCTGGAGGATTAGCCACGCAGGTCGAGAGAAGAAGATGCTGAACTGTCAAAACTCGTTATGACGATAGATCTCATACGTGGTGATGGGGTAATTATACTGTTTTGCACTGTTGGTGTGTCTGATGTTTTGAGAAAAAGTAAGATGACATGACCATTCAGTAACTTCCAATTCAAAACAAGCTGGTAGTGCTCATGGCGAAAACAGACATTTTCACAACTTTCTACTGCGCTTATGTTTCTGAACATGTACTGGGCCTTTTCATAATAACAAAATCACAGCCGATTTATATGGTTATGTAGATTATTTTTGTTTTTCAATATAAGGGCCATATCTAGAAATTATTTTTTTGTCGACGTTGGTAGATTCGCGAGAGATGTTTGGTGTTTGTTGACGTGGTTGCTGATGAATTCGTATGTTAGTCGCATAGCTACTGGTGGGTACTGGTGGGTACTGGTGGAAAAAACAACAATTCGTACACACAAAAATTTGTACATTTGTCGCTCAGATATTTTCTATGAATAACTAATATAACCTGTTTCGAATGTCTAAATTTGAAATTACTTCCAACGTCTTATGTGTTCTTCAAGTAGAAAAACAAACTAGTTGTATATATTTTGCTGTTAAAAAGTGTGTTTTTTCAAACTGTAAGAAGTTACAGTTTGGAAAGATAAAGTAAACATAATAGCTTGAAACCAGTTACATTTTTCTCCGTATTAAATTCCGAAACTGATTTCAAGACCGTGCTGTTTGTTTTCTTCATATATATGCAGCAAAAGGTTGATGAACCCATTTTGTTTTGTGATTACAACCTGTCAGTTTATTAACATGCTAGAAGCCAACTAGTTGTATAATTAGCTGTCATGACATGAACAACTTTTGCTTTTCTTTCAGACTGTCAGGGGATAAACTTATTATGATTAAGTGCACTTGAGTTAAGGATATGATGAGAGAGCACCATTTTTAGTCCCCTTTGATTGATATAAATTTTCTATTTCAGCATTTATGATAACTACCATTGGTGATGTAAGAGTGTTTCCAAATCTCACCATCCTCCAGTAACACCTGACCAATCAAAATGTCCAGCAACAACAACATCGTTATTGAGATGAAGGGGGAGCCCATCACCAGCATGTCAACGACAGTCAAGGGGACAATGGCAGCAGTGTTTTATGGAGTCTGCTCTGTAGCCACAGCATTTATCAGCAAGGCCCTCATGACATCGATGATGTTTGACTACCCAGTGTTCATCATGGTTGTGCAGATGATGTTCACAATCCTCCTTCTGGAGACCCTCAGTTTTCTGGGTGTCCTTGACCTACCCAGATATAGTTTGGCCCGAGCCAAGAAGTTTCTGTGGCCGGCATTATTCTATGGGGCAAATGCAGTGCTTGCTCTTACAGCACTGGCCCACATGAACATTGCCATGTATGGCGTACTGAAACGATGTGTACCTATCTCCACCATGTTACTTGCCATAGTGATCCTGAAGAAAGGCTTTCCATCACGTCTAACCCTTGTGGCAGTTGTTATGCTGTCCATGGGCTGTGTTGTTGCAGGTGAGTATTAGCCTATAATTTAGGACTGGGACGATACACCAACTGTGCGATCCGATACATAACACAATACCTTGTTCACGATCCGATACATAACACAATACCTAGTTCACGATCCGATACATAACACAATACCTTGTTCACGATCCGATACGTATCACAATATTTGTATGTGCTCTTATCTGTGATTCTTTGAGAGGCAAGAGAGTTAACTGACTATAAAAGTCCAGTTTCCACCCTTGCCGAACTAGGCTGGTATTATGAACATTCTGGCTGGACTAACAAGTCTATGCATAGTCCAATCAGAATTGTGCAACGAAATCAAAATACGGTTTGTAAACTGTCGTGCAGATTTCGGTCGATTGCAGGATTTGCAAAGCATGTGGGCCACCAACTTGTTGTCAACAGATATTTTCCAAGTCTTTTCATGTTTTTGATCAAGGTGCCCACATGATTTGATGCACTTTGCGATGTAAGACCAGTTTTATCACAATATAGATCTTGATTATCTATCAGATCGTCTTGACTGGGCATCGCCATTTCTTTTGAAACAAATCCAAGTGATACGCGAAGTGGAATCTGATTGATCCATAGGAGAGGCTTAGAAGGGACGTAACTTGTAATAACCACTGGTGGTGCTACGATCAAGCCCATGAATTCCAGACTAGTTTGGCAAGGGTGGAAACTGGACTTATAAAGTCAGTTAACTCTTGTCTCGGGAAGATGTTATCTGTGATAAATGAGCCATCTTTTTCATAGACAGAATAGTATATACCTGCCAACTGACGATTTACTTTACTTTTACGATTTACTTTTGGCCAAGTATGGCACAATTGATGAAAAAAACCAACTTTTTCTCTACTAGTTTTCACTACTAATTAGTGTTTTGTGTAACAGCTACTTAAGTAAACATTTAAGGTAAGAATCGATATTTTTTACTTAGTGTGCAACTGTGATCGATACTTGTATCGGGAATTAAGATATCGTGATGCATCGGTGTATCGTCCCAGCACTAGTGAGTTTCATTGATGTTAGCTTGTGAATCTGTACTGGGAGCTTCAGAGCAGTTTTTGTAAAATCTGCCAAGTTGTCACTATGGAATATGCAGCACCCATCTCACATTCCTTGGCCATGGATGATGACTGACTGAACTCATTACTCCCTATACAGTATTGTATCCAGATACGAGTCCCACAGTGCAATACATCAATTGACAAACCCTGCATTGCGATACATTACATTACAACTATATAAGTTGTTTGTTAAAAATATGTGAATAATAGCAAACTGTTCAACAACCAGCTTACACATATTCTCTAATATTTCCTAGTTGGCTGTAAATAGCAAACATGCACACTGCCCACTATCCTACAAATTCAAAACAAATGATTCAGGGTTGTAGTTCACAACATATACCAACTTATGGAATAAAAGCACTGTATTGGGTACAAATCTTTACATCTAGTGTTCACATGCCATGACTATCAAGCTTCTGACATCTCCAACTGATGTCAATAAGGTTTGATCGATGTATGTTTATGTGTACATGGTATAGCCCTCATGGAACCTATACCAATATTGCAAGGATCAGCCTTATTGGCCAATACTACAGCCACTGGCAAATTCACTGTATTAACAGATGACACTTCACCTGTGCATCATGATACTTGGTGCAGATCAATCGTCTATTAACTATGTTCATCATTTATCCATGTGTGAAGCACAGTACATGTAGCTGTAACAGCTGTTGGAGATAGGATCACTTCTTTATTTAGACATGCTGCATGGGGTGTATTTAGACATGACAGATGGTACTGTATATCTCAGAATCACCGCTAGGGACTGGTAATATGTTATAGGGAGTAAGATGGAGGGGGTTGTCAGGAAAGAGTGACACAGCTGATATATTTGTACATTATTTAGGGACTGGGCATTTTATTATGGAAGGGGGGTGATGGGCATGATAAAATGCTACGTAAAATTAGTGAGTCAGTAAATATGATAGTCCTAAGATCAGTCCCACCGCAACATTCCCACCCCATGCCACCAACCCCCTATACTGTATGACCAATCCCACAGCAACATTCCCACCCCATGCCACCAGCCCCCCATACTGTATGACCTATCCCACAGCAACATTCCCACCCCATGCCACCAACCCCCTATACTGTATGACCAATCCCACAGCAACATTCCCACCCCATGCCACCAACCCCCCATACTGTATGACCTATCCCACAGCAACATTCCCACCCCATGCCACCAACCCCCTATACTGTATGACCAATCCCACAGCAACATTCCCACCCCATGCCTCCAACCCCCCATGCTGTATGACCAATCCCACCGCAACATTCCCACCCCATGCCACCAGCCCCCTATACTGTATGACCAATCCCACAGCAACATTCCCACCCCATGCCACCAGCCCCCTATACTGTATGACCTATCCCACAGCAACATTCCCACCCCATGACACCAACCCCCCATACTGTATGACCTATCCCACAGCAACATTCCCACCCCATGCCACCAGCCCCCTATACTGTGTGACCAATCCCACAGCAACATTCCCACCCCATGCCACCAGCCCCCCATACTGTATGACCTATCCCACAGCAACATTCCCACCCCATGCCACCAACCTCCCATACTGTATGACCAATCCCACAGCAACATTCCCACCCCATGCTACCAACCTCCCATACTGTATGACCACTCCCACAGCAACATTCCCACCCCATGCCACCAACCCCCCATACTGTATGACCAATCCCACAGCAACATTCCCACCACATGCCACCAACCCCCTATACTGTATGAGCACTCCCACAGCAACATTCCCACCCCATGCCACCAACCCCCATACTGTATGACCAATCCCGCCCCATGCCACCAACCCCCTATACTGTATGACCACTCCCACAGCACCATTCCCACCCCATGCCACCAACCCCCCATACTGTATGACCAATCCCACAGCAACATTCCCACCCCATGCTACCAACCTCCCATACTGTATGACCACTCCCACAGCAACATTCCCACCCCAATGCCACCAATCCCCCATATTGTAAGACCAATCCCTCATGATTGAGCATGTTGGGTTGATGGGTGCTTATTTTTGATTAATGCTCATGTTGAGAGACCCCGAACAACCACAATCTCATTAAAATTAAATCTTAGTGCTCACTGCCTCTACAAAAAGAACTGAGGGCATCCCATTACAGATCAGGTCAGGTCAAAACGACCTTTTGTGACGTTTGACCAATGAAATGACCAACATGAAGTTGACAGTAGCCAGAAAGCATTTTTTTCTACGCTAGTCCAGACTATGCTTTGAAAAATAATCAAAATTTGAAAAACAAACAAATATTCTGCAATGCCTCATAGATCATGTTGATGGTCGGGATTGTATGGCAGTTCTTCTCTTATGTTTCAAATATTTATCCCATTGAGGTGAGAGATAGGGGATGATTTTGCAGAATCAGACGTACAGTACAGTTGTAAGGTTTTTCTGATGTTATCTGTAATGGGATGTCCTCAGATCTATGTGTAGCTGTAGCAAGCTCTAAGATCTGAATTAAATGACATAAAAACAAGCACAGCCACTATGTCCAAAGCCATGTATATTTGTTTAATGCAACTCAGCAATATTCCAGCTATATGGCGGTGGTCTGTAGCACATGTAGTACTCTGGACAAGACAAGTCAGTGATAAGAGCAATGTTCCACATCATCTGGGTAGGATGAAAGGCTATCACCTAAGCCCCCAAGCTTCATAAAAACCTTCCTTTATCTGTTTGGTGTTGCTCCTGTTATGGAGGTGTCTAAAGATCTTCACGCAAAGAACCGAGATTGAGATTGATCTGCTAGTCTGTACATTAAACATTAGAAGCATCCTGATGATTAGTAGAATTTTAGGGTTGACCTTGTGTATGTTATCACTGTTGCCATGGTTATTGAATGTTTCATGTTAATTTGCATCTGTGATGTGGCTTCTTTCCTGCAGGTTATGGGGACCTGTTCTTCCACCTGAATGGCTACCTGTGTGGCATCTCCAGCAACTTCACCCAAGCTATGTACCTGTTGCTGGTACAGAAGTATTCCGAGAAAGAGCAGTCCACGGTGGAGACACTGCAGCTCAACAGCTTCAACACCCTTCCTCTCCTCATCCTGGCCTGCATAGTCAACGGGGAGCTGGCCACCCTGGCCCAGTACGACCAGTACCACCAGCCGCTGTTCTACGTGGTGTTTCTGGTGGCTGTGGCTTCTGGCTGCCTTCTCAACTATTCGCTGTTCCTGTGTACGGGCCTCACATCGGCTCTTACCACCAGTGTGGTCGGAGGTCTCAAGGCCATGGTTCAAACCACCCTCGGTCTCTTCACCTTCGGAGGTGTCAGTCACAACATAGCAACGTACACCGGCATCGGGATGAACCTGTTGGGAGGAATACTTTACATTTATGCCAAGTACACAGAGAACAAGCAGAGAATATCAGGGGACTTGAAAAAAGTGATGAGCTTTTCATCGTCAAAAGATTTACAAGAGCTGGCCAGTGTCAAATCAGGTCACAGACATACTGCTAATGGAAATGTTGGTTATTTCCAGAGTACAGTGGATGACAAGCATGATTCCCGTACAGTGTCTTGATGACAGATGAAGCCCTTAGAACACCGGACAATATCGGGATGATGAGGCCAAAATTCATCCAGTATATGCTGAACTGACAAAGTCTGGACACATAAGTGGTGGTCTCTTAGTTAATATGTTAATCAAAGCAAGTAGCAAAAATACAACTTTAAAATCTGAATGGGATTTACAAACACCTAAATACATATAATGATTTAAAACTGGACATGAAAGAGGAGGTCTGTAATTTACATGTAAGTCAAAGCAAGTAGAAATGCTGCTTTGACATATGCTTGTATCATGATCATTAATATTAGCAAAAAGTTTGTTATTTGACGAATATGATGTAATCATAGCAACATGGATTACCATTGACAGATTTGGAGTTTCCCACTACATGGATGAAAATCTTTCGAAAAAGGAATATGACTTTATATTTTGTTCAACTTGATTTGGGGACGTTTTCCTATAAAACATGTTGAAAAAATAAAGGCATTAGTGATTTTATAATTGCAGGCCGGTGAAACATGCGACTCTGATTTCAAACAATAATACTGTATTAATGGTTTCATTTTCTATACAAAGATGAAATGTGAAATATCATGTGCTTGTGTTGAAGAATTGATCATCTGAAGTCCATGAATTCTACTGTAATGGTATGTTGTGCAACAAGTAGTTTTGGGGCCAAGTATCCAGGCCCTATACATTACTGGCTCTGGAACTGTGTCGGCTGTTGTTGATGTGGATAAGGCAAGACTTTTGTGTCCTTGAGTTGTGGGTTCTACTGTCACTGATGGGGCTTCCATTGGATTACTAGAAGGGTTGGCAGTGATATTTTGAATGAATAGTTTGTTCAGAAATATGCCCAAAATAAATAGTTTGTTGACAGTGGTTAAAAAAATGAATAGTTTGTTTTGTGGAAAATGTCAAATCACCAAATTTTTGTACTAATACATGTTATGAAAATGAATGGATTTGATGGTGCTCAGAAAATAAGTAGGTTGTTGGACATAGCTGGGGGAAAATATATATTGTTCCAAGATGTGTTATGTTTATTTCCAGCAAGGATATTTCCCAAGGAAAGTCTATAAACCAAGAACTACATAACCTTGCCTAATTTAAATTATGTCTTTGATCAAACAAGTCAAATATGTGTCATGGTTTACACATAACAATTGTACATAGGGATATATATTTTAAGACAAATATTTGTGGTATGTGTACATGATGTAATCTTGTGTGATTATATTTGGTCTCCTGTAGAATGTGCTTGCAGGGACTAATTTGGGTCAGGAGTTCTCAGGGCGAAATTTGAATGTCCCTGGCTTGATCATGGCAATCCCTTGGTTGATCACTAAGGCCAAGATTATGTTTACAGGCAACGCATGACTTCCAAGAATTTGGTTGACATTTCATAAATATGAAAAGTCATAAGGCCACACTTTTTTTCTTGCTTTACAGATTTTTCACATCAAATACCTGTTGGTAGATCTAGGTGGGGAATAGAGAAGAAAAAAATGATTCAGTTTTTTGTTTAGTTTTCTCCTCCACTAAAGGTCAGCTGATATAAAAAATATAAATGGTTTAATGTGGGAGGAGAGCCTGCACACAATGCAAACCTGATGAATCACTTGGGGCAACTGTTGTGTTTCGATGCATCCTATCAATTTCAGGAACAGCTGCAAACTCCCATAACTTTTGACTCCCATGCCTAATGTAAACCTCAGTGGGCCCATCTTTTGAAATTATTTTTTGGTGCAATATGCTTTCAGCTTAGCTGGATGGGAAAAAAGGAGCAGATTTTTATTTTTTTCCATTTCAAAATATTTACTTTTGGCAGATCTGTAAAGCATGCTGGAAAAAGTGTGGCCTGACAATGTGCATGCTCTGGAACCCTGTGCTAATTATTGGTATGGCAGATGTCAATATTCTTGTGAAGAATGTGATTAGCATGATTAGTGATTGTTCATTTCTGATTTTCTATATTCAATCTAAATCATTTGATTGTTTTCTCATGCTACAGATGAATTAGTTTTTTACAATTCAAGCTGCAAAATGTGCATATTATTTGTGTCTATTCTAAATTTTTATGTCTAAAAGTGTACGATTTAGTGTCTAGAGAATCTGCACTTGTTGTCGTGCAGCTCTGTGATAAATCCTTCTGAGACAACATGTGGCTGGAGCAGCAGCCGTGATGAAATCCATTGCCTTGTGATAGTCACGATTTGTTGGTTTTATATTACATGATCAAATCTCTATTTTTTTTATTGAACCATATGTTGCAACTGTCACGGCTCACTGAACGCTAACCTGTGTCTTCAAGCATTAGCATCAGGTGGTAAATGGTTCGTACATTAATTCGCGATGATCCTTCCACATTATCATCCAGGCAAGATGGTGAATCTTTCAAATTGTCATTGTGTTTTTGTCTATTACTTTTGTCACAGCTACAACACAAGCATGTATGTTGAGTGATTGTTGGACGATTATGAGGGGCTGTTAGTTTTCATGTAATATGTACGGTATATGTTTGAGTTTAAATGAGGAGACATGCCTATTGTTTTTAACACTTTTAGAGGTATGCTATTATATATTTAATGGGAAGCAAAATGTGGTGTAAAAGGGGTGGGAAGTCTGTGACAACTTTAATATTGGTATAGTCGGTTTATTACCTTTCCTTCGGGTGGGACAAAGGTTAACGTCTTGATCCATAGGAAATCCCCAGAACACAAGCATTCCAGCCTTGGTGACGTCACATGACAACCTCCACATCACATGACAACCTCCAGATCACATGACAACCTCCACATCACATGACAGCCTCACACATCACAAGACAACCTCCACATCACATGACAACATACCCATCACATGACAACCTCTACATCACATGACAACCTACCCATCACATGCCAACCTCTACATCACATGACAACCTACCCATCACATGACAACCTCTACATCACATGACAACGTACCCATCACATGACAACCTCCACATCACATGACAACCTACCCATCACATGACAACATACCCATCACATGACAACCCCTACATCACATGACAACCTCTACATCACATGACAACCTACCCATCACATGACAACCTACCCATCACATGACAACCTACCCATCACATGACAACCTACCCATCACATGACAACCTACCCATCACATGACAACCTACCCATCACATAACAACCTACCCATTACATGACAACCTACCCATCACATGACAACCTACCCATCACGACGACCTCTCACATCACAACCTCCCCATCGCATGACAACCTTCAACATCTCATGACTAATGACTACACATGATAACCTCCACATCATGTGACAACCTCACACATCACATCACAACCTCACACACCTCATGACTACTGATATGACAACCTCCCAATCTCATCACAACCTCACACGTCACATCACAACCTCACACATCACATCACAACCTCTCACGTCACAACACAACCTCACACATCACATCACAACCTTACACATCACATCACAACCTCACACATCACATCACAACCTCACACACCTCATGACTACTTATATGACAACCTCCCAATCTCATCACAACCTCACACGTCACAACACAACCTCTCACGTCACAACACAACCTCACACGTCACATCACAACCTCACACATCACATCACAACCTCACACACCTCATGACTACTGATATGACAACCTCCCCATCTCATCACACCATTATCTCACACAACAGGCCAAAAATGACATTTTATTAAAAATAGGGAAATTGTAAATTGTTAACCCCTTTATTTTTTAAATTCAAAGCCATTTTATAATAATAATGTGTTATAGGCCATTTTTGTTTGTTTGTCCTGTAAGTGTCACTTTTGCAAGACTAAAAGCTTATCATAATCATATCCTGATTTAGAAAACCTTTGTTGGAATTTGAGAAAGTTGACTCACATTTGCTGTAGACCTGGGTCGAATATTGGCCTCTGAGAAATCTTATGTCAACTCCTTAAAAATTGTGCCTCATATTTTGAAAGGTTTACTGAACCTCCTAATTATGAATTGAAACAAAGCGACATGAACAACAGAAGAAAATGTCAATGGAACCATATCATGCCTCACATATCATTGCCTAAAAGACCATTTTGACCAATAATCTATTAAAAAATGTCATTTGACTAAATATTAGTCACAAATGTAGACTTCATAATCAATACGAATTACAGACTGGTAATTCAATATAACAATGTTTTTCAACAGGTCCAATGTGCTGCACTATAATTGGGTTGTATATATTGGTGGTATTGCACTTGATGGTACTTGTAAGCATTTTTGGTATGTTATGTTGTCAAGGTTATGCAATGTCAGTTGATGATTTTGGACTTAAACCTGATTTATAGAGGAGAATTTTCGGAGGTGGCAAGTGGGGGTCATGTTTGTCCACTGATGTGAGAGTTGTCATGGTAATAGGTTCTATTAAGTGTCTTGACATGTGCATAATGTATGACTGTTCTGCGAGCAGAGAGGAAGGATCTCATGTTGATTTGTGTTGGTATAGCAAGAAGCATTGTGATGATAGATGTTTCTTGTAAAAATGCATCTATTACAGTTTATATTTTTGTAAGGTCTATAGACAATGTTCAGTTTATTATTTGTTACTATTTGTCTGGTGCAAACTTCCCTTTGCATTTATTACAGGGGTGGGTGGGTCAGATTTTTTGATGCACTAATATACTGAAAATAATGACCCTCCCCTAATGCTTGTCATATTATTAGATCACCCTTCCCAAGTCTTCTTTGAGTGGCATTAGAAGTTGAAGTACCAAGTAAGGATAAGATATATGGATGATCAACTTCTTTATTACTTGCTTGATGACGGTGTTAGAACCAACAGTGAAACATCGCCCACCCCTTTATGATAAATGGCAAGTCCCTCATATAACAAAATTAAATATATTCTTATAAACTTGACATAATTGCTGATTAGTTTTACACAGTTCTAGACCTAGTCTAGTCTTGTGACCTAAAACAGTAGTGTTTTGAATGAAATGGAGACCTTCTATTCCATGTTTTGGCATGGGACTGATGAGTCTGTTGCTAGATCTGTGATCCAATGAATTGACCATGCCCTACTCATGCTAGTGGCTTTCAAAATGTGTGCAAAATATGTCACAGTGGACTTTCCTTCCACACAGAGCAGACACATGGTCCTGGAACTGATGCGGTCTGGATGCAGCTGTTGCCTTCACACTTCTGAAACGAAACAGATTGCAGTTTTTATGGGAACTGCATCAATTGAAATATATTTCATTTATACAGATCCAAGATACAGATATTAATATCATTCGTAGTTTTGTCGGGGGCACAGGTGTTCCAATCTAAGGTGTTGCAGTTCTCTGTGCAGTGTTGTGTCCCA